AGATGTACTTGTTGTTGTTGTTTTCTTATCAGAAGTTGAATCAGTGACACCATCAGGAAGCTCAGTCTCTTCACTTGAGCTCCTGGTTGTTGGAATGGTGGTAGAAATTCCACTGCTATCATAAGTTGTGAATTCTTTTACTGTTTTTCCATCAGGATATTCAGTGTCAAAGGATGAACTTGTTGTTGTTGTTTTCGTATCAGAAGTTGAATCAGTGACACCATCAGGAAGCTCAGTCTCTTCACTTGAGCTCCTGGTTGTTGGAATGGTGGTAGAAATTCCACTGCCATCAGAAGTTGTGAATTCTTTTACTGTTTTGTGTTCAGGATATTCAGTGCCAAAGGATGAACTTGTTGTTTTTGTTTTCGTATGAGAAGTTGAATCAGTGACACCATCAGGAAGCTCAGTCCCTTTACTTGGGCTCGTGGTTGTTGGAGTATGCGATGAAGATATCATTGGAGATATCGAAGTTTCATGATGATCTTTTTCAGTTGTTTCATCGGTAGGTGTTGTCACATTTTCTTCATCTGTAGTTTGTGTAGTTTCTTTCAAAAGATCTTCAAGTCTTATGTCCTTGAATTCTTTTGGTTTTTGATTATTGCTGTCAATGTAAATATTATCTATATGGGATGGGATTTTTAAACATGATTCCTCTGGATTACCAGAGAAACCAGGAGGACAGGAACAATGAATTATGTGTTTTTCAACAGTACATGTAGCAGACTCGCCACATCCTGAAGAACTACATGGATCATAGCAAACGCCCATGAGACACTGCATATTATCTTCACAATCTGCATTTTTTGAACAACTTATTACAAGATTCGGTTTGTCGTTTGCTGTGGAATTTTTTAACAAATATTTATTGAAATAAGTAAATAAATATATCTACTTATATTTTATATATTTTAAGAAATCTTCAGTTTGGAAATAGAAGGTAAAATTTTATCTATAGATTCTACTTTCAGATATTGGAGAGACGACTAGGCTTGTCGAAAAGTTATGTCAAGAATTAAGAAATTAATAACATTATCTCATTTGTCAGTATTTTTCACAAACTTACAAAAACAATAGTAGTGATTTATTAAATAGATAATTAGACGGAAAATATTAAATAAATGTTCAAGATCATAGTTAGGAATAAGTAAAGAGCATATGAGCATATGAGCATGTGTGTGAATGTTGTTTTAAATTTTGTGTGTGTGTTTTTTTCGATGTTGGTGGGTTCATTTGGTTTTGGTAAAAGTTATAATTCATTTGACTTCAGGAGGATTTGATATATACTTATAAACATTTTAAAGATAATGGAGAACGAAAGAGTGTGTCAATAAAATCTGTACAAGTTTTTAATAGTTTCCATAAAATTAATCAGAAGACAATTTAAACTATAAAGAAACGATAGAAGTTTTGTGTGATAGATTGAGAAACCTAGGAGTACTCATAGAAATAGGTAGATTTAGGTTGCATTTTTGAATAAGATTTTGATGTTCAATTTTTTTTTTTTGGAGACAGCGCTATTCGCTTTGAACTAACAAATTTTACCTTTTAGGCATCCGCTCATAGAGTCTTTAAGAAATCCGGGAGGGCAGAATTTACAAATTGGTTTGTGATCTTCAACGTAGCATGGGGAGTCTTCAGCGCATGACGCGGTAAGGCAAGGATTAACACACTGATAATTGCGACATGCCAAACCTTCGGGACAACCGCGATCACGCAAACAGATTGAAAGAGTGGGAGTACAATCTTCTAAACATATACAAACAGGCTTATGATTCTCCACTGTGCATGTTTTATTTGCGGGACAAGGTGGTGAGTTTCGAGATGTTTCCACACATGGATTCTTACATTTGCCCAACAAGCATGCCATGTTTGATTCACAATCGTCATCTATTAAGCAATCCTTTCTGTCCATCGCACAGGTTAGTTCTCCTTTTTCGTTCACGATAAATCCAAATTTACAAACACAAACAGGTTTATGTTTGCGAACAACGCATTTCTTAAATTCGTCACATTTCATGCCATTAGTTTCACATGGGTCTTCACACTTTCCATTTCTTGTACAGACAAGATTCTCATGACAATCATTATGAGTTTGACAAACTATAGTGTCAGGCTTCCTTGGTCTGGGTGTTGAAATTTCATCACAATTTGGTTCGGGCTTACAATGTTGATCAGGTCTGCCGGTATGACAATTAGGGCAAGAACATCTGGGACGGTGAAGCACGGTTGTGCACAGTGCATTTTCACCGCAAGCTCCACGCAATGTGCAAGGATCTATACATTGCTGGCCTATACATGCTTTCTCACTTGGACAATCTAGGTCATTTGAACACTCGTTGTCTGTGTTTCGTATGAATTTTAAGAGGAAAATCGATATTTGGTTTTGTGTTTATCAAAAGTTGTGAGAAATATTAATGATAACGGTGTAGCAGATCGGATGCATGAGTGTTTTTTGTGTCGAAGGATGGGTGTAAAAAAATAAATAAAAATATTTTTAAACAATATGTTTAAGTCTGGTGAACTGTTTGAAGGATTTTTCTTAATAAAAACACGTTTTCTTTACGAAGCAAGATTGTAGAACTGTGTGTTGGGGGTAGTTTCTCACAAAGGAATGAATTATAATCAAAACAAGTGATGAGGTAAATAATCAGAAAATAAATAACTTGATCAGTGATGCATTTACACATACGCTCGTGCCCGGAAAATGAAAATAAAATTTCATATGTATAGTCTGGTAGAACGGAACTTTTAAATTTTACTTTGAAACTTTCTAATAAGGGAAAAGTTGTGAAAAAAATAGAAGGATGAATATTTGATATGTGGATCGAAAAGAAAGTACTTTGCAGTATTTCATAGTTTATGAAAAAAAAAACATTATTTACATAGATGCAATTGGTGCTTTGACTCAATTAAATAACACGAAATATTCATTTATACCCATTACTAATTGATATAAAAATGACATTGAATCAACATAATTTAAAACTGTACATAAAAAATTTATATAGTCCGAGCCTGGTAATGCAACCATGTTCTATGTGAGAATGTCCCGTCCACACAATTCCCAATCTGGCTATTTTTACCAATACAAACATTTAAATATTCTTAAAAAATTCACAGACAAAATGTATTTATATTATTCACTAATTACTATGTTCAAAGCTACAGTTTGCATTCTTGCTTAATTTACTTTGAGTTTATTCACTCATAAAATTTGCAAAAATTGGGATCAAAAAGTGAGAATTGGGAAAGGAGATGACGAGAAGGAGAAAATTTCGAATTTGTATAACTTATAACCATACCAAGACAATATGATGATAATTTTGAATGACATATGATGTCGATTAAAGAGGATAGGAAAATGATGGAAGGAAATGATCAAGATTAAGGATTCCGAAGTAAAAGATTATAGGCAGATTGGGAATCCGCGGTTTGACAGTGACATCTTATAGAATTTTTTTAAATTATTAACTGAATGATGAATGTATAAATAGATAAAATAATTATAAATGTATGGTGTCTGAGTATCATAGTGTAAATTTTGTGTATGATGCAATTGAAATATCATATCAAGAAAATACTTTCTTTGATAGGATATATTTCATTGCTTAAACTTATGCATAGTTAAATCTTTACTCATGTTTAATCATTTCTCAATTTTGTCTTTTCATTTGATTAAAAATACAAATTTAACATTCCCAACAATTATAAACCAAAATTTAAAAAAAAAATATGTAAAATTAATTTGTTAAATTTTGAATTTCAAACTTGTCTAATTAATGTTATAAATTCTATTCCGTTATTTATTTATTTGTATTATCAAAATTAATTATTGAATAAATCAAAATGTTGAAAATGTTTACTTGTTACATGATGAATTGTAATATATAAAACGTGCTTAATACTTTATGGGAAAAATAATGATATGATTGAGTTGAATACTCACTTTTGACGCATGCAAACTTATTCCCTTGTTGAATACATTCTCCCGATAAGCAGCCTGATGTTCGACAATCTGTTGAATCAACTCGTGATAAACCTAAAACGTATAAAATCGATTTTTTTTTAATATTGTTCAATAAGTTTTTTCGATTAGATAGTGTTATAGTAAGTTACATTCAATGTTAGGATCTCCATTAGGATAAAGCGGTGAACAATGGCAAGACGGGCTATTGTTAGGGCCAATTTTGCACATTGCATTGATTCCACATCTGTGAGTTTCACAAGCATTCATTAGTTCATCTCTACAAGTACATCCTCGAATTGGATCCCCAACGCATCCTTGTTGACATTTGCATTCGGGACCACTGGGCGTATCAAGACAAAAACTATTCATTCCACAAGTGTTTTTAGTACAGGTAGCCATTTTTGGTTCAAAACATTCAACTGTTGGGTCTCCCGCAAAACCAGGAAGACAAACACAATTGACTTGTCTGTTGTCAATGCGACATTGAGCGTTTATTCCACAGATTCCCCTCTCTAAACAAGGATTCTTACATGAACCCGAAACACATTTTTTGTCCAAGTCGCAGTCATTATTTGTTTGGCATTCAACGCGAGTGCACTTGATTGTAGGTTCACCGGTGAAGCCATCAGGACATAAGCAGAGCGCTCGATGATCAGCAGCTCTGCAAATCGCTTTGTCACCGCATACACTTTCTTTACAAGGATCAACACATTTTCCTTTGTTGCAAGACATTTCATTTGTGCAATCCGAGTTCGTACGACAACCATCAATACAAATTCCATTTTTACACAGTTGACCAGGTAAACAGTTGCCGTTATTACATTTTGAACGGCACACACCACGATTACATTGTTCACCACATGAACAGCCGCTAGTTGATGTACATTTTCTTATGCAATATCGTTTGGAATCATCACATTGACAATTATCATTACAAGACTCCATTGGAGATGAACAACCAATAAGTGGATTTCCAATCATTCCTTGCGGACAACTACATTGTATACCGTGATTATGAACACTACATTCAGAGCACGTTCCACATTGTCCGGAAAGTGAACATGGATTCATGCATTGTTTTTCGATACACGCAAGATTGTTTTCACATGAGTTGTCTGTGCGACATCCGGGTTGGCATATTCGATTTTCACAAATGAAGTTCGTTCCACATTGAGTATCGGTGCTGCAAACTGAACGACAAGATCCTTTAATGCACCGTTCATCTGACAAACAATTTTGATCGTTACGACATGAAGCTCTACACTCTTTTCCAAAGCAAATTTGTCCTCTGCTACAATCTTCTTGTTTTTCACAAGGTACAACTGGATATTTACAGCTTTCTAAAGGATTTCCCACCAAAGGTTCCTTGCAAGAGCACACAATCTGATGATTTTTAACGTTACATATAGCATTTGCTCCACATGCTCTTGGATCTTGACATGGATCAACGCAGCGTTGATTTTGACATGCTGAATTTTCAGAACATCCAGTATTTGAGCGACAGCCTGCGGAACAGATTTGTCCCTGACAGATTTCTCCATTTCGACAATCGTCGTCTTTTCTGCATAGTGGTTTACATGCACCACGATCACATCTTTCGATATTCAAACAGCTAGCATCGTTCGAACAAACTGGTCGACAATAATCATTGAAGCATGAATGGCCTTCGATGCAATCTCTATTTTCAGCACAAGGTAAAGCGGGTGATCTGACACATCCAATTTTTGCAGTTGGACTTGGAACCATTCCACGAGTACATGAACAACTAGCTCTTTGATTCGTAACCGTGCATAATGCATATGGACCGCATGGGTTTTCTTCGCATGGATTTTTGCATTTATTATTGATACATGACTCACTTCCACTGCAGTCTTCATCGTGATGACATCCGAAAACGCATTTATTATGCAAGCATATATGACCTAAAAAGCAGTCATTATCAACGCGGCATGTTAGCATGCATGTCTTGTTTATACATTTTTCATTTAGGGCACAAACTTGGTCACTTGTGCAGCCTGGCAGACATACTGAATCGATACATGACATTCCACGAGAACAGTCAGAACTTGTTGAACATGCAATGGGTATTCGTACACATTCGACATCTGAGCTTCCAGTGAAACCTGCTGGGCATGAACATTCCTTGATATGGGCACGAGTTAAACATTCAGCATTTACACCGCAAGATTGTGGAAGTTCACAAGGATTCATACATTGACCGCCCACACAGGCTTCGTTTAATTGACATTCACTGCTCAAAGTGCATGCTGGTTTACAAACTAATCCATTGCAATATGAATCTGCTGGACACTCTGAATTTGTTTGGCATGGAGAGGGTTTTGGCTTGCAACCATTCACACGATCTTTTGGATTTCCATCGTAGCCAGGTCGGCAAACGCAGAAAGCAACATGATTTTCAGCTGAACATTCAGCATTAGGTCCGCATTGTAAGTTTTCACAGACGTCTTTACATTTTGGAACTCCATTTTCTTGCACACATTTTGCGCCTTTAGGACAGTCGTCGTTAATTTGACATTCGACTTCTTTCATACATCCAACTGTGTATGGATCGCCAACATGACCTGGTTTACATGAACATTTGAAAGAACCTCTGTTATTTCTACATGTAGCTCCTGATCCACATGGTGAACTTTCACAGAAATCAACTGGACCGCATTTCGTATAAGGATCTCCATTATAACCAGGTTGACATTGACAAATTTGTTTATGGTTCTCAGATGTACATAAAGCGTTTTCACCGCAAGGTTCTCCGATTAAACATACGAACTTGCACATATGATTCTCACATCGTTTATCATTGCTACAATTGTCGTCCGTTTGACATTCGATTTTTCGACAAATTTGTCCATCTGAATAAAATCCTTGTTTGCATTCACATTCAGCGTTGTGATTGCGGGCAACACAATCGGAATTACGACCGCAAAGATATCTTCCAGAACAAACGTTCTTACACTCGGATCGTCCATTGGAGTCAACTGCGCAATGTTCTCCTTCTTCACAATCGTCGTCTTTGACACATTTTGGTTCTTGAACACAAATATTATTTTGGCAGTATTGGAAATCAGGGCATGTTGAATTGCTTTGACATGTTGGTTGACAGACTTTCTGAATACACATTTGATCGCCCAAGCAATCTCTTGAAGTAGAGCAGATAGTGCAGCATATTCCGTTATTACATTTTGTTCCTGTGGGGCATTGATTATCAGCACTGCAATACTGCAATGGGACACATCCAAGCAATGGATTTCCAGTATTTCCAGGTTGACATGAACAGACACCAACGTGATTCTCAGGTGAACAAATTGCGTTTTGGCCACAAGAATTTGGAAGTGAACATGGGTCAACACATTTTGATTTATCGCATGCTTTTCTAGCATCACATTCGTTGTTGTCAGAACATTCTATCACATCACAGGATATCTTGGGGTCACCTTTAGTCTTAGGAGGACAACTGCATGATACAGTATGAGCAACAGTACGACAACTTGCATTAACACCACAAGCTTTCGATGATTCGCAAGGGTTCTTGCATTTTGATTTTTCACAGACGGCAGAATCAGGACAATCGTTATCTGTGAAACATTCACCAGGTTTGCGACATCCACTTTGTACAGGGTCACCAACTAAACCATCGGGACACGAACAAATGAAATTGCCTTCAGTATTTTTACAGACAGCAGTTTCATGGCATGGTTTGAATCGGCATTCGTCAATGTCTTGGCACTTATTGTTAATCATTGTGTAGCCTTCGAAGCATGAACAAATTGCTTCATGATTGAAAACTTCGCAAGATCCTTTGCCACACGAAATGAAATCACAAGGATTTGAACATTTATTTCGTTCTAATTCGCATGCCTTTCCTAATGGGCACTCATCATCATTTAAACATTCAACACGGAAGCATCCCACAGATAAGTCTTCTGGATTACCGAGATGTCCTGATGGACAGTGGCATTCAGCCACATGGTCATTAACTTGACACATTGCATTGCTTCCACAAGATTTAATTGAGCATGGATCAATACATTTACCATCAGCACAAGATAAATTGTCGGCGCAATCAGCATTCTTATAGCATTCATTAGGTTTCTGACAGCCAGTTTCACCATATGGATCACCTACTGTATTTTCAGGACAAACACATTTGTAAGATCCAGGAATATTTTCACAAATTGCTGACGGATGACATAATTTCTCACTGCATTCGTCAATGTCAGTGCAACCGTAAGGTGTTCCAATAAAACCTTTTCCACATTTACATTTTGACTGCAAACATATTTGAGTATGAGGACAATCAACGTCAGATGAACAACCAGCAACGCAAATTCCACCGTCATTACATATTTCTCCTGGTAGGCAATTGTTACTTGTGTAGCATACTTTTGAACACACATTATTGAAACATCTTTCTCCAATGGCACATGAGCTAACGTCGTCACAAGGTAAATTACATTTTCCGGCAATACACATATGACTTTTTGGACAATCTTGAGTAGTTGTGCATACTGTTGGTACTCGTACGCAACCCTGATCAGGTGTTGGATTTGCTTCGAATCCTGGTGGACATGTGCATGATATTTTATGATTTTTATTCTCACACTTTGCATTTGGTCCGCAAACAGCAAGGTTTTCGCAAGGATTTTGACATTTTGAACCAACACACGCTTCGTTGTTTGAACAGTCTTTGTTGCTTCGACAGCCTAAAACACATGCACCATCGATACATGCTTGATCTTTTCTACATTGAGCATGACTGGAGCATGGTAAAACACAAGCGTTACCAATACATTTTTCACCAGTTGAACAATCTGAAGATTTTCGGCAAACAAAACTGCATTGATTATTTTTACAGATGCCACCATCACATTCAATATCAGAAGTACATCCTGAAAGCTCTCGTACACAACCGTCTTTTGCGTTTCCAGTTAGGGGTGCAAATCGTTCAGGGCATGAACATACAGGTTTTCTATTAATAATTTTACATAATGCATTTGCCCCACAATTATTTTCACAAGGATTGACACATTTTCCATTTTTACAAACAGAATCTGTCGGACAATCTTTGTTTCCTCGAGGACAATCGCCTTCAACTTGCATTCGACAACCTGCTCTGTAGGGATCACCGATGTAATTTGGTGGACATTTACAAACAGGACCACTATTTGTTGCTTCACAAATAGCTGAAGGATGGCAAACATTAGCATTACAAGTTTCAATTGGTGCGCATTCAACGTCAGCAATTGGATTTGGTTTGAATCCCACTGGACATTGACAATTTGTTTTATGATTTTCAGCGATACAAACTGCATTTTCACCACATGTGTCAGTGCTACAGGCATCGTAACATTTGTGTTCTAAACGATTACAATATTGTGATGATGGGCAATCAGTATTGTAAACACAAGGAACTTGTTGGCAACCTTTTTCTTGATCATTTGGATCACCTGCATAAGAACCTGGTGGACATTTGCACTGAGCTATATGATTATTAGTGACACATATAGCAAGTGGGCCACATCGTATGCTTTCACAAGCTGGGACACATTTAAATATTCCTTGATGTTTGACACACATTTCCGATTCTGGACATTCTGCATTTATCGAACACTCATTGCGTCTTTCAATTCGCCAGCCATTTCGATCGTTAGGATTTCCGGTATAACCTGGAAGACATTGACAATTTCCCTCGTGATTATTTGCTACGCATGATGAATATGGTGGACAATTAAATTCTGCACAAACTGGTAAACATTTCAATACTCCAAGAACGTCTTGACGACAGGCATCAACTTGATGACATTCGTCATTATTGGAACATTCTGGAACTGAAGGTTTCTCACAATAAGAAGACACTGGATTCCACGAGTAACCATCTTGACAATGACAAACTGGACCTTGGCTCTCTACTTTACAAATTTCATTTTTACCACATGCAACAGCGTTGCATCCTTCAGGTAAAATAATTTTTTGTTCTTGATAACAACCTCTATTTAAGTCAATTGGATTTCCCTTAAATCCTTCCATACAAATACATGTCGATCGATGTTCATTTGTCACACAAAGAGAGTTGGGTCCGCATTGAATCTTACCACAACCATCAACACATTTTCTAAGCCCTCTTCCGTTTTTCAAACATATTTCTGAGTTTTGACAATCCAAGTCAGTTCCGCATTGTCCAATCACAGAGCATCCGTTTGTTAAGTCATTGGCATTTCCTCTGTATCCTGATGGGCAAACACACTCACCAGAGATACAAGCGGCTTTTGGTCCACATTTTACTTTTTCACACAAGTCTTTGCACTTTCCTCTTTCACAATTAAATCCAGATGGACAGACTACTTCTTTGCTACATTTACAATTACTTGGATCATCGCAAAGACCTTTTTCCATTATGGAACACATTTCAAATGGATTTCCAGCGTATTTTTGTTTACACCTGCAGTCGTAACTTCCAGGAGTATTTATGCAAACTGCATTTTCTCCACAAATTTGAGTCGAGCATTCGTCGATATCAACACAACCAACATAAGGATTACCATTAAATCCTGAGTGACACAAACATTCAATGCTGGTAGCGCCCTCACGACATTCAGCATTATTTCCACAAGTTGTTTTGGTACATTTAGTACGTTGCTTTTGACCACAACCTTCGTAGGGATTTCCATAACTTCCAAGATCACAAACACATAAACTTCCCATTATTCCATATTCACAATGAGCATTAGCTCCACATTTTGGATTACAATTTGGTTTTGAAACAGGTGGCATGCAGATATAATCTGGATTTCCTATGAAGAACGGTTCACAAACACAACGACCTGTACTAATATCGCAAGCTGCACCAACTCCACAAACGACTCCATCACATTTGTGTTTACATCGACCATTGATGCAAACTTGAGGTGATTGACAAGGACGCTGAGAAGAACATTGATCTGTTAAACATGAGCCTCCAGGGAAAGGATTTCCGAGTTGGCCAGTTGGACATTTGCAGGTTGGGCCATCAGATGTCACGATGCACATAGCCCCTTGTCCACATAAGAATCCTTCGCATTCTGAATTAATAAAAATAAATAAGTATTAATGAAATTTCATTAGCAAATCTGACGATAAAATAAACTTACGGGAAACACAATCTCCATTTGGACTTTCAGAAAACCCAACGCGACAGCGACACCAACCAGCATGATTTTCAGGTTCACAAAAAGCGTTTGATCCACAAAGAAGATCAGAGCAAGGGCTTACACAGGTTTGATCACGACAATGAAGATTTGAAGCACAGTCAGCATTTGTTGTACATTCTGATTTTCCAAGAACTGGATCGACATAAACACAGCCGCTTTTGTATGGGTCTCCTGACATTCCGTTTGGACAGATACATTTGTATCCACCTTTCTGATTAACGCATTGCGCTCCGTATGCACAGGGAGCATTAGCACACTCATCAGTGCTGATGCATCCTTGTAAAGGATCACCTTTGAATCCTGCTTCACACATACATTGCGGTGGATCTGTTGGACTACATTTTGCATTAATACCACAGGGAAATCTTTCACAAGGATTCCTACAGAGATTACCAGCATCGACAAAGAAAGGAGGTGGGCAAACGCATTCGCCAGGTTGAACACACTTTTCGTTAGATCCACATTCTTTGTCAGATGCACAACGACGTTGAGCTGGCGAACATAATCCATAAAATGGATCACCATTGTAACCAGCTGGACATTCACATTTATGACTACCTTCAGTGTTAGTACAAATCGCATCATATCCGCAAGCGCGGGGATTTTCAGAACATTCATCAATATCAACACAAGAACCGTCGGCTTGAGTGCGAAAACCTTTTGGACAAGCACAATAGCTTACGCCGCCAGTAATTGAAATACATTCTGCTCCATTGGGACATTTATTTCCGTTCAAACATCCGGCCAATATGCAATTACCGCCAACTAACTGATAAGGAGCTTGACATTGACATTCGGGACTATTACATTCATCACAAAAATGGAATGGATTGCCATTAAACCCGACAGGGCAAGCACATTCGTAGCTTCCCGGAAGATTTTTACAAATTGCATTGACACCGCAAGCTGGCTTGTCATTTTCATTACACTCATCAATATCACGACAGTTCTGTGAAACGGAATCGCGTGTGTAGCCTTGACCACACACACAAACGTTAGAACCTCCGGCATTTGTTACACATTTTTCACCGAGTGGACAGGGGTTTTTATCGTTACAATGCACTAGTTTTTTAATTTCGTTACATCCTTTAGTATAAGCATCGCCAGAACTGCCACTAGGGCACTGGCATGTGAATCTTCCTGGCATATTGTTACAGATTGCTCCAGGTCCACATGGTTGGTTAAGACATTCGTTAATATCGACACAAGTACCTGTTAAATCGGTAAATCCACTCGTACAGAAGCATTTAGCTAATCCCTTGTCCAATCGACATTCAGAGTTTGGACCACAGTTCAAAAGTTCACATGGATGACGACAGTCATTTCCTACATTAGGTTCGGGGCATAAGCAGCGTTTATAAAGATCGCAGATAGCATTTCCGGGACAGTCATCATTACTTTGACATGTGACAACTGCGATGCATCTTACTGAAGGATCTGGATCAGCGATAGTTCCTTCTGGGCAGACACAAGTAAATGATCCTTGTGAGTTTTGACAAATAGCATTCTCGCCGCAAGCATCACGACGAGTGCATTCATTGATATCAAAGCATTGGATTTTAGGATCTCCGGAAAATCCTGGTGGGCAGGAACATTCAAATCCACCATCGTGATTGGAGCAGAGAGCATTGATTCCACATAAACCTGAGGCACCATGGGATGGGTCACATTCGTTGATATCAACACAACCTTTTGAAATGTCTGAAGGTAAGAAAGTCCAACCTTCTTCGCATATGCAAAATGCTTCGCTATCTTCGGGTTTACAGTAAGCATGCGGTCCACATTTAACATCTTCACATGGAGCTTTGCAGGGTAGTCGGGGAGGTGTTCCAATAAATCCACTGTCACATTGACACTTAAATGAACCAGGAATATTAAAACATGTAGCGCGATCTCCACAAATATTAGGACTGCTTCGACATTCATCAATATCAAGACAAACTGATCCTGAAGCTTCGAAGCCTTCTTGACAAAAGCATTGACCTTCGATACACTCAGCATTATTTGTACAATCAAAATTGCTGTGACATAAAATATTAACGTCAGCTTGTTCGCAAGCAATTTTAGCATCTGGTTTTGCACGATATCCTTGGGGACAAATGCAGTTGTATCCTGGCGATGTATTTTCACATACTGCATGATTTCCGCATGGTTTTTCCAAAGCTGTGCATTCATCAATGTCCACACAACCTCGGAAAGGATCTCCAGTAAAATCAGGGATACATGAACAAATAAAACTTCCAAGTGTATCGGTGCAAATCGCATTCTCTCCACAGGGATTATTGAGACATTCGTTGACATCTGTATCAAGCAAGTGAAGCAAAATATTAGTTTTTATTCGAAGCTATCATTTTTAGCTAATTCCAAGAATAACTAAAAGTTAACTCGTTAAGATCACACAAATTGGAATTGAAAATTTCTTTGAAGTATTCTTGGAAAAAGTATTTTAAAGAACATTTTACACAAATTAAAAACTGTGCATTCATTTGAATTATTAGATAAAAATGTATGCTTGAAATTTCAAAATTAATTAATGTTTAGTAAATGTATGAAATATTTTTTGAATAATTGCATTTTTATGAATACTTATTCAAATATTATGTATGTTCAAAAAACCGATAATGATTAACACTAACTGTTGCAAGATACATCTCCTTGTCCCGTGTATCCTTTTGGACATAGACACTTGAATGATCCAGGAACATTTATACATTTAGCATTAGTGGCGCAAGCATTATTGTTAGAACATTCATTAATGTCGAGGCATTCGCCATCAGTAGTTAAGGCACTAAATCCTATGGGACAGCTGCAATTGTGGCTTCCAGGTGTATTTACACAAATTGCTCCTTTCGAGCAAGGATTGGTGACACATTCGTCAATATCTGAGATTTTAAATTATGATTAAAATATTTATGATGTTAATGTTTTGTGATTTTAAAAATATATATGCAATGCATTAATAAGTCGATTTGATGTACAAACAGACGCAGTATGAAAAATAGAGCTGAAGCCCAACACTTACAACTCTTTAAAAATGTGATTAAAACTTTCATTATTAACACCTCTTTGCTCCTTATTTTTTTAATGTTTTTATGAAAAGCACCCAAATTATCACTGATGCTTTTAAATGTGTACCATTTTCATTGAATTTTGAAATAAATAGGTTTTCTTCTCACCTGCACATTCCGTCATCGCATCACCTACAAATCCTTCAGGGCAAAAGCATCTGAATGTTCCAACTTCATTTGCACAGTGTGCATTACGTCCACAAGGTGATCTTGCGCACTCATTGTAATCAACACAACCTTCAGATCGGGCGTCTCCATCAAAACCTTCTGGGCAATCGCAGCGATGACCACCCTCGAGGTTTGTACAGATAGCACCCGGTCCACAAGCGTTTGGATATGTGCATTCGTCAATATCAACACATCCATCATATGGATTACCTTCAAAGCCTTCCCTACATGAACATGTATAGTTTCCAGGCAGATTATGACAATCTGAATTAATGCCACATGCTCCAGGTCGTGCACATTCATCAATATCAGTACAACGTTCTTCACCATCGCCTTCAAATCCTGGTTTACATTTGCATGCGAAATTTGCTGGCAGATTACAACATTCCGCATTTTCAACACATCGAGCAGCTATGGAAGGATCTTGACATTCATCGATATCTGGTATTGATAATAAAATATTAAGAATATTAAGGAAATATGCAGAAAACAAAATTGTACCTTCGCAATGAAGTCCGTCTCCAACATATCCCGGAAAACAGGTACATGTAAAGCTACCTAAGGTATTTGTGCAATGTGCGAAAACATCGCATGGTCTATATTTACATTCGTTTTCGTCTAAAAAAATGATAGACATTAATATCGAACGTAAAACTTTACAAAATGATAAATTTCTCAAATTACCTGCAACCTGACAGTTACAGCCTCCAAAGCCATCATTACAATGGCAGAGGTGATCTAGACATACTCCATTTGAGCATGTCGATCCATCTTCCCCGTCACAGTCATCTAAAAAGATTAAATAATTTAAAAAATTTCCAAAATGATAATTGTTTGCTGTATGAAAACTTACTTGTACATTTGAGCTCCTTTCTCAGTTCATCTGAGCCCATGTAACAATCTTGAAGGCCATCACAAAGCCTTGATAGTTCGTAAATTTGTAGGAACTCTACGGACTCATTAACTTGACATCCAAAGTATCCATCTTCTAAATTTAGAAAAAATACTTCGTGTCTGTTGCCAAAAAGATTTTTTCGGCTTGAAAATTGTGATAGTGCCTATGAAAAGATATAAATTATGAACTTTGTATGATGATCTTCTATGATAAATAATTGATTAGATAAAAAGTTTAAAGTTGAATAACATCATTGTTTGAAGTTGATGATATTGAAGGATAAGTTTTAAAATTTGCATTCAAATTTCATCATTAAAATACGTACAGATACTTAGATGTAATCTTTAAATTCAACGGAATACAAAATTTAAATTCAGAAAGTTAATAAAAAAACTACTCTCGTGACTTTCGTACGATGACTCTGGCAGATATGTTTTCAATTCTTTTATCCTAATAAATGTTACAAAGCATGTTGATTTCGATCTTTAAAGTGTGCGTAAAAATACCTAAAACATACTGCTTACAACGTGTATCGAACAAGATTTGTAAATTGTTTTGAACGAACTGCACGATATTGAACAGATATTCAAATTTATTTCATGTCACTGAGAATCCGGAATTTCCAAGTCCAATTAAAGACTGTTCAATAAAAATAACTACTGAGATCAAGATGCGAAGGAGAATCAAAAGATAAAGGAAGATAAAAATATGTTGTGAGAATATTGTGTTAAATTCTAAAGGCTCGCTGTATTGTGAAAAAAGAATTGACAGTTTAAGAATCTGGCAATGATGTAATCAGTAACATTTTCTTTTAAAAATATACATAATGGTATATAAATATACAACTTTGAATAATTCAAAGCGGTGTCACCGGAAACTTAATGGGATAAAATTTATTTGCATATTTTTGAATCAACAAGTAACGTGGCGAATGTTAATTACAGTTACTTTTTATATTTAACATCTCATAAAAGCTTTGTTTGGGATTGCTCTTCCTTCATGTTTACATAAATTACAAAATATTTTACCATTGGTAAGAGCGAATTTATCTTCAATTGTTTTTTTTTTTCTTTCTTGAATCAATTAGCTATGTCTTCTTCAAACAATGAAAATATTTGATTACTTGATTAAAATTTGTTATTAATATTGAAAGATAATTAAAAAAAGGAGATTTTGATACAATTTATTGAATAAATAGCTCTTGCTAAGCTTAGCTTGAATTATTTAATAAAACTGAAACACGTTAGTTAGAAATAAAATTCATTTGATAGTTGAATCTTGAATGGACAACTTACTAACTATCATAATGATCCGTTGTAACAAAAAGTTAATCAATTTTATTCGTTATGCAAAGCTTACATTTAAGAACTAAGCATAAATACAATAAATATGTGTGAAAACTTACCGAATTAAATAACAGCACTATCCATAAGACTAGTGGCAAAATACGTTTCATTTTGCTGTAAAATAAAGAAAAAATATGTTAAACATAAAATGCAATAATCAAAAGAAATAATTCAACATTCAGAGTAACTTAAATAATTTAAGTTGCTAAAATTAAAAATTTCCTTATACATATTTTTTATTGATTTACGAGAACTCAATTTGAGAATCATAAATAAAATTTTATCTTGAAAACTGAGTGATGTAATGTTGGGGTTTCGCTTATGCTACATAAAGAGAGAACAAATTTATTTAATAAAGCCTTTACAAGTATAAATCTCGAGTCATGGTCGATCTTTTACAAAAAATAATTATGACAGTCTTTATAAAATAGAATGCTTCATAAAAATACTTATAAGATATTAACATAAATATTACTCAGATTATTCTTAAAACGCAATGTGTTAGATTAATGATATACATTCATATTTGCCTATGGCAGAAAACGTCAAAGAGACAAATATGTTGTGCATAGACATAGATGCAAAGAATAAAGATTTTCTTCATTTAAGGATAATCAATATATTCTTAAATCTTTATTCAATATCAGTTTAAAAACTGATAGTGCCAATTGTCTTAAATTATAATCGCAAATTAAGTATAGAAGGAGAAATAAATCACTTGGCATAGCGCGATGGTTTTTCAATACTGTTTGTAATGCCTCTAAGTCATCATTGGAATGGAACAAGAAGGAAAATCAATCATCTAGGTACATCTCATAATAATATTTATAAGTGTAATTAAGCATGAATCTAAAGTGTATGTTCTAATGTGAAAATTATAGAGCTGGTTAAAGCATTAAGCTTAATTATAGCATAAATAGACATAAATAACACTATTTAAATTGAAGTTTTGATATTTTTTCTTTATTAAAGTTTCATTATCATCAATCCTGTTTTTATTTTTTTTTATTTTTTTCAATTGTGTCACGCTTGATTTCATATTAGAGTTAAAACATAATTTCAAAATAAAAGCAAATTAAATTTTACAGGAAATTTAATTTCTTTTTAAACTAGACTATTTATCACAGAAGATTTATTTAATTGAATATCCAAATGCTGATAATCTGATCACTGAAGCTCAACTGATGTTACGATTGAGCTTAAAAATTAATTGTTATTTTATGAACAAGCATTCTTGTTTTGATTTGACTGCGAGTATAAAAAGTCGATGTAAACTATAAACCTTTTTATTTAATCAAGATATATAATTCTATGTTTCAATCTCCCATGTTTCTTGAGGTCTTGTTGTATTTCCCGATCTGTTTACAATCTTTTTTCAATTGCCTTTAGTCAAAATTTTATAGATTTCAAAGCATATGGTGAAAAAAGGAATTAAAGAAATTATTTATAAAAATTTTCCAATATTTTTTAAATCTTTTAGTTATTCCTTATTCTGCATGCATCAAGATTGTGCGCAAAATCATACAAACCACAAAGTAGAAGAATGCAAATCCAATAATCATAAATTAAAGCTTGATGTCATGTTCTTATCAACTGCCTGTTTTACATGATGATGTAAACATTATTTATAACCTTGTGAAATGGAAATCTTGAGTTCTTACTCATCTACAGATGAACGTGAAGTCAACGACCAAATGCAATTTCTGAAAAGATGATTTTCAGTTTGACAGTGCGATGACATCTGTTTCTATTCAATGACTTTAAACTCAGTGCTGAAGGTTCGAAAGAAAAGAGAACCATAAGAAAATTGACCGTCTGTTAATACGACACTTGATTATCATATTTTTCCGCTTAAGAATTTCCTTAACAGCAAGGTAAGCAAAATTTTTTGCTTTTTGTATGATAGAATAGAAAAGAGATAAATTTTGCTTCAATATTCTTTATTGTCTAAACGTTCATACATTTTTTATTTGTTTCAAACAAATTTATAGTTCTTTAAAGTCATTCTTAACCCTCGCTACAAGTCTAAAAATTACTAGAACCTGTTGACAGTCTGTCATTAAACTCTTTGACTTTATAGAATAAACTTGATTACTTATGTACATTCCTAATTCTTACATCTATTACTTTTTCTGATTGCACAAAAATGTCACTTTTTCAATGTGCAATGTATTTCAATTAATCATAGAATGACAGGAGAAGAACAAAACAGTCACAAATTAAAATGACAAGGAGCTTGAAAAAGAAGCGTACAAAACTTGTTTCAACAAAGTTTTCCTTATTTTTATTTTTTGAAATGAATCAGAATGAGGTTGCGACCCAATATCTTTGATAAATACTTCTATGCTTACGCATGCATAATAAATTAATAAGCACCATGTTCTTAACAAAATTAATTAATGGATGAATAAAAAACATTAAAAAGAAATAAAGGCGAAAAACAAATATTTAAATCTGTTCGCGATTGTATAAAACGATTAAGTATGCATTAATGCTGCCTGGAAGATAATTCATTCCTAATACCTTCACAATGCTACTCTCAAAGAAACAGATAGATATTCATTAAATTAATTTATAGTCTCACAGCAGTTCATGGCAATAAGAACTTTTGAGTAAAAGCTGAAACTCCTTTTGACTTGTTATAAATTACGAGTTTTAGACGATGAGCGTGCTCCAATCGATAATTAAAAATGCAACACAGTTGATTTTCCTTTTAACTCTTTTCTCAGTATCAAGTTTATTAGTTTTTGGATCTTGAAAAACTTTATGTTTTTACATAGGAAAAAATTATCTCAAGCAATAATTACATAAATATAAAAAAAAGCTTTCTATTTTCTTCAATTTCAAATAAGCCACTAAATATTTATACCCAGAGCGATCTAATAAATGAAAGTTCAACTAAATATGACATCATCAGCGCCAAAGTGCTGAGTTGACTACATACATAAATTCCGATTCAATAAAAGGGAAAAGAATTGCTGATGAAATACTTTATTGTTCGTTTTCTTTTATGGTTTGGCTTTCAAGAACACGTTTCACATAAATTAATTAGGAATTCATGTTGATAGAATTACGTATTAACTAATTGTCTCTTTGTCACCGATTTAATTAAGCTGATTTCTTTATTTATAAATAAAATTTCAAATTTTTATGATGTCTATCAATGTTCTATAAGTAATGAAATGCTGATCGTTTCTTTTGATCGGTGTCAAGTTGACGCAATACTATCGAATTACATCTTAATATGGTTAGTTTAAATGAAAGCCAAAAGGAGAGAACAGAATGATTTGTCGTTCTAATTTTAATATCTAACTAATAAAGAATAAGTAGAATTTCATGAGTATCAAATGTTTGTTAGATGATTGCTTTGACAAATTTTGACTTGGCTTAATCTCATTGAAATCTTTCACTAATAGACATATACACGAATAGATATTTAAAATTCTTAATCATAATGTTGACATTCAGTTCACGCAATGAATTTCAAAATATTTTTAATTCTAATGTCTAGCTACCATTTCATCATTCATCAGGGTCAGTTAATGTTAGACCGCCTAAGTTTTTGAACGAAATATTAAAAGCAGAATTGAAACAGAGGAAAAGAGAATAAAAAATGATTTGGAAGGCTTCGTGATGATAAAGAAAACTTTTGGTCGAAGATTTCAATTCACTCAATTTGAGAGTAAGGAGAATCACCGAAGATGATTTTTTCGGCTTTATTTTTATTAAATCATAAAATTGACTGTAGATTCTAACGACTGACGACGTAAGAGCTTAATGTTGGTCTTTTATGACTATCCAGAAGTTTAAAGATAGAAATGAACGTTTTAAAATATTTATTAAACAAGTCAATGATTGAGACTCTCAAAAGAAGAACTGAAATGTAAGATAACACAGAATAGCTAACACCATTCTTTCAAACAGGAAGGTATTTCAATTTCTCATTTCTTTAATTGCAGGAAACAAACAAAGTTACGAAGCTAAGATATAATCTTACTGCTTCAGTAGTTTTTCAGAAACATGTATCATAGAAATTAAAGATTAAAGAAATTATATTAATAACTAAAAGTGGAATTCTCAGATTTTTCTTTTTCTACTTTGTCATTGAGGGTCAGATACATAAATGGCATTAACATGGTCATTATTTATGGTGGGAATCTCAGATAGTCATCTCAATCCTATAAATTGAATATTTATGATTTCTAAAACTGAATCACTATCACATTAACTTCGTGGACGATTCAGATAATCAATCATGTAATTTTGTGGTCAAGAAATAAAATAAACCGTTTTGTTCTTTTGGACGTTTGGTAATGAAATAAAAATAATTTTTAAAATCACTTTGATAAATACTTACTTGTAGCTCGTTTTAAATGGTTTTCGTGATGGAGTCACATCCCATCAAAATCGATTAACAAGATTGATTGGTGAGAATTTAATTTATCTCTTGTTTTTACCTTCCAACACAAATCAATGTTTTCAACAACCTATTTGTTAGTTAAGCTGGTAGAGACGCATTCTTGGTAATTTAAGCTTCCAACAACAGACACATTTAAATTACTTAAATGTCTGCTTCACAACATTTTTAAGAATCACATCGGAAAGAATTTCATCATCATGTTCGGTAAATTTATCGTGCGGTGCTCGTTTACATTGTTTTAATGGCCTTTCTCACAATAATCACAAGTTTCAAGACACTTACACATAGCTATAAAATATTGAAACTTTAGGCACTCAATTCTGACTTTCAGTTCGTCATACATGAGGCAAAATTTATTCTTATGTTCTTATGTTGGAACATAAGAAAAATAATAATTATTACAGGTTTTCAGAAATAAACATCTGAAAGTGAAAGATCTTTAGTTGATGATGGATATTCAGAAAATAACAAAATTTCTTTCGATTTAGTTTTGATGATTTCACAATTTTTAATGTAGACTTTAGATTTTCAAAACTTCATAGACTTTCATTTTTCTTGGGTGTTTCAAATCGAGATTAAAAATGACATAAATTAAATTGATTCAGAAATGACAGGAATTATGCTAAAGCTTGGAAAGCCGTAATAAATAAATGATAATTTTCATTTAAATTGCAATTACAGTGATAGTATTTGAATTCTGCCAATGGGCATATCTTTTTCATTTACATTCGTTTTTCAGTTCTTTGACTTCGTGCTTAATAACCCTGAGATGTATTTTGCGCGCTTTATTTTCGAATGTACACGAGATTACATAGAGAAAAAAAAATCATAAAATTATAAATATTTCATTCTTCTCGTTTTCACACGAACATACAGCAATTGCCAATACAATCGTTTAATTAGATTTGAAATATAAAATGCAATTTCATTAAAAATTGAAGAAGAAATAGCTCTAATTGCTGCATTTATTCTGTTAGGATTATAATAGCTTCAAATAAAATCTCAAAGAAGTTTTATAGCTCAGAATTTCAAAGGGAGTAAAGTCGCAAACCTTTCAACTTCAAGCGATTGTGATTCAGTTGTCCCGTTTCAGAATTCTTTTTTTATGTTTCTGTATTTTGTCTTCTCGTCATTAACTCTCAAAGAGACCCCAATCGAGAGATTTCACATAAACAGAGAAGAAGGCTTCTGCAAACAGATTTATGCAGATTTTTAAAAAGCCAATGACCTGATATCGGAAAAGTTATGATCAACAAGAAAACTTACTGAGCAACCCGAATAAAATTATGCAAATTTTAACGTTTAATCGTGGCATGAATTTACTTAGTTCCAGTCTACTGAATCAAAAAGTTTTTCGTTCCCTTTCTGCTTAAATAATTTGAATGTCATCTCCAGAAAGAAATGTTGGATGAAGTAATTTTAAAACATGTTTTGGAATTCACGGTTCGAAGCTCTCGTACCGCTTACCAATGATGTCATGCTAAAAGCACTTTATTGGCACACAAAGAAAAAAAGAATGCTTCATCAAATAAAGCAAAGATTTGTTGTAAAAGAAGAATTTCTTAATTCAAGCACAAAGTCAAAATTTTAACAACGATCGTGATATTATTCAATTAATTGATTTGATTGTGTTTCATTTAAAGCACTTACATGCTTTACTAGCCAATAACATTTTATCATGAACATTTCAAAATGTTCTTGCTTAGCATAAATAAAATCAAATTACTTTTTGTGAACAGCGAAAGACTCCAACTGACTTCATTTCGTCCAACAAAGAAATGTGATGGATTAAAATGATAGAAGAAATATTTTTATTAAACCTTTTAATTGTGAAAAAATTAATTCAGTGTGGCCAAGAACTTTGCAAAACATATCAAGACGATTATCTATCCAAAGAGTTTTTTTTCCTTCACACTGAGAGTAAAGCTAAAAGCGTCTGCTTTGTTTTGTGGATACAAAGTAAGACTTGACTGCTACAAAATATTTAACGTTGTATTTGATTCTGGGCGTTTTTATTATGTTTGTTACACAACGTTTCTGTTTCTATCGAATTCAACACTCACGCAAAAAGTTAAAATTTTCAAATATAAATATCTCGATCCACAAATGGCCTTGCAAAATATGGTGTATGAATTTATAATGAACCATCTCGGAAAGATTAGGCCAACATGAGGTTCTTCGCTTCTCAAACTTCACCGACTATTATAGACTTGAAGTTCATTGACTCGTTTGCTTTTGCTCTCTCGAGCTAGATGTTTGTTAACCATCATCGTTCTTTTTCTTCGACAATGGATTTTCATTTCTTTTTTATAATTCGTTTCGTAAAATCTTTTTTGAATTATCCATCGCATGTGTTTAAGAATTACATCGAGACCGCGATTATTTCTCACATTAAGCATTAAGATTCTTTCATTTATATGCCATTCATTGAAGATTATCAACACACATTCAGACTTATTCTTGTAATTATGGTCACTTATATTAATGATATTGGAAATGTGAAATATTGGGCGTGAAGGTCAATTAACTTGGAGAACGTTAATTCGCTAAAATTCTTTTTAAAAGAACGGAGTCTTTTGAAAACAAAATTAAGTGTCATTATTAATTAATTATCGATCCACCCTCATTCTCGTAAACTCCGTTTTGTTGCGAAAACTTTTGAAGAATTAGATTTACTTTTTTGTCTCTTTCCAAGTGTTAATTTTTTCCAACACGAATTATTAAATGAATTAACATCGCTTATGAATAGTTTTATGCGTGTGAATTTAGTTAAATCGGTAAGTTACATTGAATTTAATTAGGTTATGCGAGTAAAAATGGATCGCTATTCTTAGATTTCATAAAAATTAAAATCAAGCCTGCATTCCACATGAATAAAAAAGTAGGAATAATCTGTAAAAGGTCATGTCGTAAGTTCGTGTTGGTGTTGCGCATCGCCTCACCAAGCAGAAACTGAAATTTCATAATTTGAAGGTCATGCGGTAATTTTCAAAATATATTTGATACATTTTTTTTCTGAATATCTTTGCTTATCAGAAATGACATTTTTCATTTTTTATGACACTTTTCAAGCAGTTTAAAAATACAAAAACCTGTAGTTAACTACTTAGTTCAATTAAAATGCTGATCCCGTTAGTGCGTGTTGTGTGTTTATTTTTAAGCATCAAGTTCACCTCATGTGGACTTAACAGCATCGATTTAGAATATTTGAAAGATTTATGGCTGATGGCAATAAAAAAATCAAACGAAAGTTTTCTAAAGCAAAGCTTATACGATGATGATTACCAACATTTGATTGATGTGTTATCGGATTTGAAGAGATCTCAGAGTCGATCAAATGTGTATGAAGATATTCAAACAGCGATTTTGAAGAATAGCTACGAGAAAATATTTGGATTTAAGATTGGCATGTTCACGAACTTTTGTGGACCTGGCGACAGGGGGCAAAATAACCAAACTGTTGGTGGATTCCTTAACGGCGTTGATGAATGCTGCAAATCTCACGACCATTGTGATAATTTAATCATGGCACAATCCGACTACTCTAAATATCCAAACCTCCCACCAAAGCATCTTTATTTTACTAGCTTAAGTTGTGACTGCGACGCTGAATTTTACAACTGTGTAAAACGCACAAAATCAGTCTACGGTGAAATCATTTTAGCCATTTATAGTGTCGCTCAAATGAGTTGCTTTCATTATGAACACAAGGTGGAAAAATGTTTAGCATACGATAAGTAAGCTAAATATTCGATGTTCTCTCAAACCATGAAATGATTCATTTTTAATTATCATTGCAGTTCACTTATCTTCCGCAAGCGATGTGTACAATACAAAATAAACAAACGAGCCATCAAACAGTGGCAGTGGTTTGATCTTCCTTATTCATATCCAACAATCAGTGAATATACTTTTCCATTATTTAAGTTCTGAGTGCTTCTTCAACAATTAAGCAAGATGTAGCGGAATATTTTCTTAGAATATTCTTATGAGTGAACATTCATATTTTTTATTACATTCTTACTCGCAGGTATGTTAAAAAATGATGACGATCATTAACAACTTTGAGAGTAAAAGAAAAGAAAAATATTAATAAGCAAGTCACTAACGACTTTCCAAAACAAAAATCTTCACTCGGTAAGCTCAATTATGAAGCAGTTAAAGCAATTTTCTGTCACAACAGCACAGTTAAAGTAGTTCAATTGAAATGTATGAAATGCTTTTTCATATAAAAGAAATTCCAAAATTATTATTACGACATTCATGTGCCCCATATACTTATAAGAAAATTCTCCAAGTGTATATAAGTTGCTTATTTAGATACATAAATTTGCAAAATAGCGAAGCTAAGCTGTTAGTTCTAATTTTTGTTAAACGTTTTTCTCTCTTCTTTTATGTTTTTTTCTTTTTTATAGATCAAACATGGCAAAACTTAAATATTTTGAGAGAACAGAATAATGTTAAAAGAAATCCCATTATTGTTTAAAAACTTTTTTAGGACAAGTTCACGCATTATGATTTCGGCAGTTCGGAGAGCATTCATACATCCACTTGAGTCAGTAGATAATGGCTGAAGTTCTTTTAGAAAACTAATACAAATTAAGAATAACCAAGTGACTGTTAAGTAATGGCGACAGAAACTTTTTGTTGAATAAAGTTGGGAAAATATGAGATACATAAACAATGTTAACGGATGTTCATAATTCACCTTGACTTTTGAGACAGTGGCAATGATGAAAACATAAAATAAAAGTTACTCAAATAACTTATAAAAAACTTTAATCATGTCAATTTGTTTAGATAATCATAACAATCGTCGTGAAGATATTTAATGCAGTTTCTCTGATGCTCCAAATATGCGTTTGATTTTCTAGAAATTCCGTAAGAAATTTCTCGTAATTTCACATAAAATATTGATTGAAAAACCGTAAGTTTCATAAAATATTCGATAAATTTGTTGCGATAATGGCTTAGAGCATTACTAATTTATTTAATAAAATATCAATACGCTCCAATTAAAATCGAAATGGATTTAACATTTTTTTTAATTATATTTATTTTTCTTAATTTACGATTCATTATAACATCTTCAATGATATCACATCGTTAATTTTAAATGACACGAAGTATAATAATCAAAGGAACAATTTCAAATTTATCATATCTAAAGTATAAAACTGTATAAGATTATAATTCATTCTAAACTGAATTTTATTTATTGGAATATCTCTAACTATCTAAGTAATAAAACTTCGAGAATCACACAATTCGTTTCTTGGTTCTATATTCCAATTATCCACTTAACTGACAGAAAACAGTAAGAAAGAAAAACTTAGTTCAATAGAGAACTATCCAAGAACTGCATACGCTGCAATGCTCTCTTTTCCTCTCTTTTGTGTATAATTTCATTTTATTGCAAATAACGGAATCAAACAAGAAAATTGTTATGTAATGATGTGATGTAGACGAGGAACGAGGTAAACTTAATCTTTAACATAGCTTCGGCAATCCCCTTACTAATGCTTAGATAGTCAACACCAATGGATCAGCGGTCAAAGTGGGACAGATCATATTACATAACTTTTACTCCTTAACACTGATCTACTAGCTTTAAAAACTATTTCAATTAAATATGTACATAAATGTATTTCTAACGAAAGTTTTTCTTTAAATTAATTTTACATGATTTACGATATATGAACAAAGTTTCTTCTTTTTATCGTTAGAGTACTTTTAAGTTCAAATAACTTTTTGTTCTATAGACATGACAGAATAAGAATATCCAATTGAAGATGAACTTCATTTTATGTAAAGGAAAAGAAAACTAAAAAATTCTAGTTTGGTTAACAACTGCACTCTAATATGTAAAATATTTCTAAGCATAAAGTATAAAGTTTAACCTCACGAGCATGTAAAAATCTTTACATTGTTTTCCTATTCTTTACTTTATACTTCCTAATAATATATGACTTGATTATGGTACGTATTCATTGGTAAAACGTCGGTTTTAAATTCTTTAGTTTGCTTTTGGTTACTCGAGAAAATGTAAAAGGATCGAAAGCTATCGAAATTTAAATTAACACGAACTTTAACTAAGATTTATTCATCGATGATTGAACTTACCTTTAGATTTTGCTATGAACACCATTAGCAAAAGCAATTCTATAAACAGCAATCTGAAAAAGAAGGAAAAGAAGAACGTTACATAATTTATTTTAAGCATTAAAAAGATACTTCATCAGAATCAAACAACATTACAAAAGGGAATGCTTAAGTCTTGATGAATCAGTTAATAAATGTTTTTTGCTGTCTTTGACGACATTGTGAATAAATCTTCAAAGATACGTTCCCAACAAAATTTAGTGAGCACACAAAGATGGTAATTGTAGTCCAATAAGTTCTTCATTAATCATTAATTTTTTTCTTAATTTTCCTTTTCGAGCATCGTTATTGATGAAAGAAATAAAAGATTGCAAAGTCGTACACACAAAGATAAATATTTAATTGTTATCTATTCATAAAAGTTCTTTGATTTCTTTTCATAAATAGTTTTTCACAAGATCGTTTGTAAAGTAATTGTCCAATAGACTTATTATCATCATTCGTTCGTTCTTTTATCTACTAATCCTCCTTTTGAAGTCATTATTCTATGAAAAGATTTCATCTCATCTAACTATAGAAATATTCTGCCATTTTCTTGTAATTTAAGTATTAATTTCAAGATGAAGTGTTGATAGAGAATGGGGACACATACAATGTGTGAATGCATTTGAACTTGAAATAACTTATAAGTTATTAAACTTTCAATGTTTTCAATATTTAAGAATTTAAAAAGAATTACATGGTTTAATCATAATGATTAAAAATAACCAAAAGTAAATCTTATTGAATCTTTTCATCGCCTCTCTTTGTTCATTATGGGTATTTCAATTTCTACAAAGTTTTATTATGACTACTCGGGAGCGTCAATTAGTTCTGTACGTCGTCCATGAAACAAAAAGAAAATGAAGAATAGTTGCGCATGAGTTTTCTGAAAGTTTTCGTTTTGTATTTCTTAAACGTGTAACAAAGAGAATTGACGTAATCGTCTTAAATCTCTTCTACCGACTCTTTGTTTCTTTTTACCTTTGGATGAAAATGCGAATATAATATTTCTGCTAGAACTTACATATTTACTCTCTTTTGTATCACCACAAAAATGTTGAAGCATCGCACGAAGTCAATATAAAAATTATACGATCGTAATAACGGTATATTTAAGTTCTGACTTTCTCATGTTTGAGAATTTTCCTTACTTTTTGCATTCAAGCACATTCGATGGTTAGAAAAAAATCGTACACTGTAGAGGGAGAAGTTCATATCATAGGTCACGATTTCATGGATGAAAATCGATGAGATTTTACATCTAATTGCGATTTTGAAAAAAAATCATTACATTCGAAAGTTCATCAGGATCAAAGGGAAATTACTTTGGGACGTGACGTTGGTGGAGAATTTTCCCTGTAAATAAATTTCATTGGAGAATTCTGAAAAGATTTCTTCGCCATATGACATAAGCAACAAGATAGAATTATCTTGCTGACTCAAATCTTATTACTTATAAAACAAGCAATATTTTTCTTGACTTCTTTTTTTCGATTTGAAACGTAAGCGGTTACGTAATTGCATGAAAAATACTTTAATAACATTTGAATGCTCTTTCCTCTTATATTGAATTATACTAACAGCATTCGTCAGCGTCATTTACTTTCTTCCTTATATTTATCTCTTCGGTTATTCTTGCCGAATCTTTAATCGTTAAGAGGTCAATGAAATTAAAGAACGCTACAGCAGCACTCAGTTGTTTTCGAGGGCTTAGTAAATTAGCGTTTTCATCTTTATTCTTTCTGTTTAAACTTTATTCACAAAACAAAGCTACGAAATCAGAAATTATTGTTTTTATCATTTTAATGCGCTAGTAGAGAAAGTAACTAACTAATAATTTTTAAGGAAAAAGTAGCGGTAAAATGTTACGAGATTTCTTCATAGTGGAAGTTCCACTCACCGTTCTACAACTGGCATTATTCTAGAACGTTTTAAATATGCTTGAATTAGAAAAATCAGAGATTTCTTTTCTTTGCTCCAATATGTAATTATTAATTTGTAATTTTCACACAACCCTTCAAATTGCTACATTTTATTAGATCTAATTTGTGTTTTCTTCAAATATAAAGAGCATGGAGATTTGAGTAATTGTGCAATTTTGTGGAAATTCACGTGTAGATATATTTCAACTTGAAAAATTTAGAGTGTTCGTAATTATTTCTACATTAATTCTAGTTGAAAAACAAACAAAATTTCAATTGTAGTTTATTTATGTCAAATCTCACATTCGTAAGTAAGTAGAAGTTGTTTGGATTCGAATTGTACCCGATGCTAATGTTAATTCAAATATAAAGTGATGTTGAAAATGTTCCGTTAGCGTTTGCTGAGGTTGATTTTCATATTTGTTTCGCCAATCATATTCACAGCCAAAAACAGTCAACGGTCTCCATAAACAGTTGGTAATTGAAGTTAAGTATTATGTAAGAATTAAAGTATCTCTTCTCACTAACATTAAGTTATTAACGGACTTCAAAAAAAGGTTCTAATGAAATACCATAAGCCGTTTTTGATTTATTTTCAATACGAAATTGGTTATCTCGCATCTTTTGTGGTGGAAGTTCGTTGTTTGGATGTGATGAAAAAAAAATGTGGAAGAAGATGAAACAAAACTCTCGACAATCATCGAATCGCAAACTTCGTCTCAACCTTGAAAAATGTTCTAATGAACTGAAATATAAGAATCGTTTCGTCTTCAGGATTTTTCAAGAAAATAATCTTGATTTAAAGTTTATGCATCGAAGTCGAAGGGCAATGTTTTTCGTGGAAGAATTCACGTTTTAAAAAAATTGCAGTTCTCTGATGCTAAAACTTTAAATACATAAATGAAGTGGTGCAAGATAATGATGTTGACCACGAAATTATTGAAAATTATTCACTTACGCAAATTATAGTCTGAACATTAAGTTATAAAGGAATTTGTTTTCATATTTAATATTTATATTTAATAAATGACTCAGTTAATAAACCCAGTTTTATACATTTCTCATGTTTAAAAATAGCTATGATGATCGAAGCAAATATGAATGAATCTTGAGACGGTAATACATCCTTGACCAGATCATTCAAGCACTACTTGAAAATATTTCTTTTATTTATCTTCGGGAACAGTGGATGACCGGTCATCATAATCATCACTGTCTCGGATGTGAGATGGTAGGAAGATATTAATAATAGAAACATCAGTCATTGTTCGTTTTATTAACGTTAGTTATGTCATAACTGATTCTTTCAAGAACTGCTTAAAATACCATTTAAATAGCATGTCACTTTGATTGCAAAATAATTGTCGTTGCCATTAAAAAGATTTAAAAATTAATTTCATGTTTTCAAATTCTTTACTTAATTCAACTTAAGGAATAAGAAAATTTTAAGCTGACCTAACACACGAACAGTTCCAAATGAAACTTTGATGAAGATCATCATTTCAATGTTTCTTTGATATTGTTTTTCTCATGTTCTAAACTTGTAGCTTAACTTTATGCACACAAATACACGCAGAATTTAGAATTAATTTTTATATTATTCTATCTGTACGTTTAATGGAGTCATTTTATTGTTTCTCCTTACTATGGCGATGGAATAAAAGGATGGGTAATGTAACAATGTATTCACAATTGATTGCATCATACTTATGATCACGTTTTAATTAATTCTTAGTTGAATACATTATTCTGATAAAGAAAAATCCTTTTCAGTGAAAGCTAGACTTCATCTACGCCTCAGAACTCCCTTTTTTATTACCACAACTTTGTTGCGTTTTATCGAAACAAGGAAGAAATTTTGTTTTTCAGTTGAGAATAACTTATTCAATTTATAATATGATCAAGCCATCGCGAAGAGTTGCATGGTAATACCTCGGACACTTGCTTCCAACTAGATCACAGTTATTGTATTTAAAACGATATGAAACGGATTGCTTAGCTCGTTTAATTATCTTGATATTTTTTATAATGCCTGCTAGTCATTTTCTTCCTACGAAGTTTAACGTTTTTCTTATCAATTAATGTAACAAGTTTTTCTTCTTCGTGATAAAAAAAATCTTTTTCTTTGTGTTAGAGCAAACACGGATGAAAAAAGTAGCTTTCAAAATATTGTTTAGTTGTATTTCGACGCATAACAAGAGAAATATGTGCAGTGAGTCTCTTCACAAGAAAAGAACAAATAAAATGTGTGCAGCATCTTGAAAGTCATGTTTTTAACAATTTTTTTTATGTTTTTTCATGGTTTAACTGGTAGATTTGTACCTCATAAAAATAATATTGTTTTACAGATACAAGGAGGTCAATGAATTGAAATTACAGCATTTGTTTTTGATAAAAATCGTGAGTTGAGCGGAGGCAAATTCCAATGGATAAAACAAGGAAGAACTTTTGTTAATTTAAAATTTTAGGGTTCAACTGGAAACAAATGGCCGATGAAACTTAGTTGAATTGGAATTAGGTTGATGATTTAGAAGGAAAATCTCATAAAATTATAAGTTTCTGAAATATTTCTACATAGAAATTTCGAAATAATTTGCAAAAGTTAAAAGTTGGACGAATTGATAATTTATCTTATGCCTGTACAACCAACCCGTTCAACTGAATCAAACCCTACAATGAAAGCCATTATTTTCGTAATTTTATTTTATTCTTTGTCCGAAATTGTTAACTCATGGATTGTAAAAGAATACAACATTAAAGTCAAACCCTCAACCGAATCAATTAAAATTTTTTATCGCTTTCAATGCGATTCTTTTTCTCTGTTGATGCACCTGAGAATGAATCGTCAAGATTCTCATCGAGTTTGAGTAATAGAAATGTTTAGCGTCATTTCCTTTTCTTTCATTGAGATCATTTCTATTTTAATTTGAAACGATTTGTTTCAGATGTCAAGTTTTTAATTCACCGGTAGTTGAAAATTTTGTTAAACATCCCATGATATCTTGCAACAGTTTTGTGGAATCTGAACATCATTAAAGTGATCCATCACGATGAAATATTTTAATCTAGGCAGCGCTAAATAAGTTTCAAGATTGTAACCAACATCATTGAAAAATTTTCCAACGTAATATTTTTGATACGAAATAAATATCTTTAAATTCCCAAATATGGATTCTCAGATGTTAAAATAAAATTATTTTAACGATATAAAGTTACGTCACCTTATACTCGCTTACCAGACATCTTAAATCTAGGTTATTTATCCGTAAAAGCCGCTTCGTGATCTTCGCGAATATTTCTTGTGCTGCTTTTAAATATGTAATTTTATCCAAAAAGGAATGTTTTATACTTAAATTAAATCTGATTAAGATTTTCATGTCATTCAATGCTGTTAATTCATTTTTATTGAGACAAATCAAGCAGACATACTTAATTTTATTTGTAGTTAAATGAATTAATTCAACTATGAATTATGATCGACGAAAGCAACGTCTACACTTTGAAAACTACACTAAACAATAATGCGTTTTTCTTTGCTTCAGGGCTTTGTTTGCTTCCATACAACCGATACATCACGACACACAGACCAAGCGACCTCAATTCTAAAAGTGAGTTTTGTTTCATATGGTTCGTTTTCGCTTTTCAAAATTGAATTTAGCTTAAAAGCTTATAGTTGGGTGTAAACCTTACAGAGTATGAGTACTCACATAATGCCGAAGTTTGTTATTCTGTTAAACTTAGAGTTTGTATCAACATTTGTTTCTAAATTTATGCTTTTCTGTGAAAGTAAGCGTTTTTATATCGAAACAATAATTTGCAATCTTCTCCGTCGTAGTGGTGAAAGTTCAAATAAAACTTTTAATTGTGATCTTTCTCCATTCAAGTGTACAAACATTTCTCCAGCATTTTGAATTACTTACTTACAGTAAGCCGCAAAGAAATCGACAAAGAAACAAACGAAATCAAAAGAATTCCATTCGAAAAAATGAAAGTTTTACTTTGTACTGCTGGAGGTAACTTTTGTTTGACACAGAAATGCTTTCATTATGATACCAACGCCTTCATAAACCCATTGTGCCTTATGAAATGTGTGAACAACATTTGCATATCGAATCAAGATACTTATTTTCAAATGAGTTGTCTCGTCTGAATGAATTCATCAATTGGAATAATCTTTAATAGTTGTACTTCGCTTAATCGTTTAATTATTTGCTTCCACAAGTCATCGTCTCAAATACTTGAGCTATCTACAATTTGTTTAACATTAAAAGAGTAATTATCAACTGAAGGTTGTCGCAATATCTTCAAGTTCCGGAAATCAGAAGCTTAAACGATGCATTAAATTTTCACGCTGCCATTTTAATGAGATAATTGCAAATCCAAAGTCTTAAAAAAACTAAGTGATCTCGTTTTCTGCTTTTATTTGCAGATGCTTTCGACTCAAGACGAAGTTTTAATCCAAGAAAAAAGACGGCAACGCTCTACTTCATATTTATTAACTCATCAACAACGAAGTGAAACTTTTTTCGCGCTTTAGAAAATTTATTCAAATGTGTATCAAACTCCCTGATGTTGATGATTCAGTCATTTAGCCGCCTTCAATATTTCTTCTATTTGGTCTCTTTCTTTGACTATGAAAATCATTAAATGTGTGTGTATTGACTATGAAAGCAACGAAGTGAATCCGGTTTGGAGTTTAATGAAGTTTAAGGCAAACAAAATAACTTTGAAATTTTCTTCTATAATCCTTCAGAAATGTTGTTAATTAAATTAAATCCTAGAACATCACGATCATTAGACACATTTTATTCTTAAACTCTGATTTCTTGAAATTTAAATACGCTCCATGAAATTTATATTTATCTAATCATTTTTACCTTCAATTTTCTTTATCACATTTTTGACTATTCGAAGTTATACGGAAACATTTTTGATGGAAATATTTGCCTCTTGTTTATTTTGTATACATACATACATTTTTAGCTAACGCAGTAATTTTACTTGAACGAGTCTTTAGAGTCAAGTTTGACGTCGCTTCTTGTTTGATGCGTGTTTATAGAAAATGTCAGCGGCAACATTTCAATTCAGTTATTTGCTTTTAAACATTTTCAGAAGCCATCTAAACATTGTATTCAATATCAATGTCATTGATAATTTTATTTATTCAATAAGTTTCTATATCTAGGTAAAAAGAAATCTTTACAGTTTATACGTACTTGCACAGAGCATCTGGAAGTTTACAATGAAGTTCTTATTTTATAAAAAAAATAATTCATGAACGCACAAGACACAGAAAAACAATTATCATTCATTATTGTTCTGTCTGTATTCGAAAAGACGCAATTATTCAAAACATAAATTTTAAAAACACTTCAAAATATAAAATTTCAGTAAAAAAGTTTTGAAGGAATTCCAAAGAAATATTCGACGATGAAACTTCATATATCTTGAAAAATAATAAAAAAGAAGAGTCCGAAGTATCAGATAACTGTGTAACAATTTATAAATACAATAGAACAGCAATAACAATTTCAAGATTTTTCTGGACGTTTGCATAACGCAAATAAAAATAGATCCAATCTGTTTCTTGTACATCAGACACACTATAATCTTTCACTACAAATCTCCAACAACAATTACTAAATGTATATTATAAAGAAACAGCGAACCTTTAGATTGCACTCTGAAGATATTTTGAGCCTAACTCAACTTGAAATGACGATTATGTAATTTTCATCAACAGTCAGTAAGAGCGAGAAAGAAAATTATATGCGAAAGGTAGTACACGTTTTGTATGCAATGCATCGAAGCAATAAGCACAATGAATTTAATGCAAATTCGATTTACTGTTTTCAGCTATAACATCAGATGCAACATTTGATCAGATATGGTTCTAAAGCAACAATCATCAGTAAACGCATCCGTTTCACTAGCATGCTGAAATTTTTAGTGGAAACAATTTTATTTTATTTATTTATGTCATGTAAAATAAATGCAATAAAATACAAGCGCCAAGATGCCTCAGAAGTATCTTCTAGGTAAGTATCTGACTTCATTGCCATCAACAGCGTTGGAAAAAAAAACATTCAAGTTTTTATGTGTTAAGCAAAATGTGGAGGAGTAGGCTGACAAAACCTATCGGTAATGGATTGAATGCTGAACAGATACAAAAAAAAAACACCAAAGAAATGCTAAACAATGACAATTATTCTCTTTTAACGATTCGCTTCGGGAGTGGCAGCTAGCAACTGTCTTGTCTTCTGGCGTTGAATTGGATAGAAGAAAAAAAGAATTAAGAAAAACTTCAAACCATAATAATTCCCATTTGTAAATTTAAATAGAAAAAGAAAATCTCTCTCGACTCCTTACAATGACAGAAGATTTCAATGCATGGAAGACGCTGAACCTTAAACGCAAATGGATGTTCTTTGCTATCAAATGTTCAGTACGAAGATTATAAGAGAAGGAAAAGGAAAATAAATAGAAGAATAAGCATTATCAACCATGAGAAGAAATAAATATAATCTAAACAAGAATCAAACGCACTAGAAATGTAAATTAAGCAAGGCAATCGTGCACTTTGAATGCAAATTTATTTATAATGTGCATAAGGTGAGATTCATTAATAAGTCGAAAACAATTTGAAACTGCCTTCTTTTGTGCAACGAAATCGTGACATGATTGATTAAACCATGCCAACAACATGTAATACTATCTTCAGAATAAAACTATTGGCGTCATAAAGTTTGATGCAACGGAAATAAAACATACAAAAAATTCACGATTATAATTTCGTTCAGGTATTTATGTTTCAAAAGTTGATTGTTTCAAAACTCGAAGACACAATTTGAATGAGTCATTTCCTATCCACGTCTCTTCGCCTTCTTTTCATTGTCGCTCTCTCATTTTTAACATTTAATCATCTTCCACTTTCCTATTATAAATTCATTAAATTTTAAAGTTTTGCCTTTTCTGCTGTGATTGTCTTTTGTTTAACTCTTGATATTTTATTTAAACTCTAGACACGAACAAAAAGAAAGTTTTATTTATCGAAATTTATTTTTTGGCTGACGCAGACATTCGAGATTATTCGAATTATTTTTCTTTTTCGACGACATGGCTAGTGACTACATCCATATGTCTGGATTTGCCAATTTCTTCACGTAGATGTTTATGTAATACATAAGTAAATAAGTTAAGCTTGCACATGTTGATTTGGATAGGAAGTCTTCCATCCGTGTGAAGAATGATTTCCATTGCCATTTAATGCTAATTTGTTTGTAAGAATTATTGCTCGTTATACGAAACACCAAGTCTCTTTGAACATTGAAACTTGCATGAGGTTTGGGCGTAGAGTCAATGTTGAAATAAGTCGTATTTTAGTTTAATTCGTATTTTTATATCGCCATATGTTTGGACAGTAAGGTGAACGGTTTGACTTCTAACCGTTAATACAAATTAACATTTTCCAAAATAAACTCTTTTGTCATTCAAACGTGGGAGGATTTCAGACGAGCAATAACACCACTGCAGAAATTAATATTTTATTTACAAAGGTGAGGTGGCAAAATGTCTTCAATTCTGATTCTTGAAACGACTTTTTTGGTGGTGGTTTGATGACACAGCATTCGAAGGTTCAAAGACTCACTGATGAGAAGTAATAACAAGCCGGAAGTCAATCAACCTTTTTTCAATCTTCGTTTAGAACGGAATAAAGTGCTAAAGATTAATGAAAACATTTTATTTTAAAATGCGTGCATGCAACCACGCTTCTTGGATAAATAATTGGAAAGTCCATTGGAATGAAAGGAATCAATTAATTAATTAATCTAAAACATACATGGACGTTCATTCATACGGTCAATTAAAAATAAAAATTAAATAAGATTGCACAATCAAAACGAATTGAACCTACACAACATCTCACAATGTAAAGTTAATTATCTTAACGCTTCAGGCATACCTCGATTGGGAAAATTATTAAGAACTAAGGTTGACAGTAAATATTATGAAGAAAAGGTTTCGAAGGATTATTCTCACAATGGTATGAGAATAAACATTTAACGTCGACATAAAATAGTCTGCCAATGAACTTGACTTTGTTTTAACAAAAAATCGTTGCAATGCTAAGATTTATGAGACGCTTCAATTAAAGCATACACTGGCGATGACAAAGAGCATTAAAAAGAATGGATGTGAAACCAGTTTGACTTATCATGATCATAAGCAATGTTGAGGATGGTATCTAATAAACGTCAGAATGTTGAAGGATAAAGTCGAGAGAAATATAATTAATAAGTTTTGAGCCTACGCGCTCTGAACACGATTCAAATGATTCAATCCGCATTACTTTCCACAACTCTTCACATTTACTCAAGAATCTGAAGAAATATCTTAATTAAATCTTTTCTCGAAATAAATTTTCGCATTACTCAACTGACGCCCCATGTATGTGAATCGCTTGATATCAACTGCGATTTGAATTAAATCTTCAGGCTTGAGAATATCCGTAATTGAAATCTTCTCGCAACAATTTGTGCATGTTTGAACTGTAAGGCAAAGTCACAAATGAAAGTTCAGGAGAATTGAAATGGAAGAAATGGGGGTTAAGTTCATGTGTGCACTCTTGGAAGTTGAAAAGCACATTGCCGAGAATTTTTCTGATGTATTGCTGTTGAAAATTGTTTAATGCAATTATCTGCACTACAATTGACGGCATCCACTGTAGAAGAAGCAAATATGAAATTCCCATCATTTCTCAAACATTTTTTCAACAGCACCAGCAGCAAAAGAATACTCGTATCTACACGCTAGACATGAGTCAATTCATCGCGTACATTGTACGAACAAATCTAATAAAAAATAAAAATAAATTGAAATAAAATGGAAATTCAAAGAAGAAGATCTCGATAGTTACGGATGAGAAAATGTGTGCTGTGAACGGTTGAAAAACAGCAGCATCTTCATTGGTTATTTCTTTCTCTCTCTTTGAGGATATAAGAAGCGATGAAGCCTTTAAAATATGGATTTATAATAAAAAATAATAAGGGAATTGGAGATTTATGCGCACTAACTCAACTATGGCACACGTAGTCGTCCCATTCGCATCTTGTTACATATATACACATAATATTAAGTATTCAACAATGCGAATAAATTTTCTCTGGTTGGCCACAAAAAAAATCAGAATTCACTTTTATGTTGCATTTGTAAACGAAGTCTAATGGAAAGATATATGGCCTTACATCTGCCATTCATTAAAGTAATCTGACATGGCGGGGCAAAGGAAAGAAGATGAAAATTTTAAATAAAACGAAAAGCGAAACCTTTCAGTGTCATTGCTTTTAACTGCAAAGTCGAAATAATATTTGAAATGCATTTTTCTTTCCACTGCATGGATACATATCTACAAGACAAATGAATTCCCAGACATGTAAATTATGACTTAACGTCCCGTCCCGCAAAAAGCATTCACAAAATGTTATTTTTTAGGAGATAAAGCCTCATAAATTTTTAACGAGTTGTGCAACTTGGCCAACATGATGCTTTACATGTAATGATCTTTAAAGAAATTCCTAAAATTTTTCACGCTAATGTCATGGGTTGCAATGTGCTTTAAACTTTATTGATGTGGGCTTCGGTTGTATTCGCACATTAAAATGTCATTTATAGTCAATATAAAGTGCACAGCAACGCTTCTTATAATGGCATTGCTGAGTCATAAGAGTTGTTCAATATTACCATGCACTCCAACAACAGAATTGAAGAAGGAAACAAGGATAATTGCATTCGTTCCTTCAACATCAAATGACAATGAAGATAGACATCAATTTGAAGCTGTTGTTCTTAATTGTTTGGGATTAATCACTGGCAAGTATAAAATAGCCATCTGGTCGTGTTGAAATTAAATATTATGATGTGGAATGTAATACAGAAATGATAAAGCGGCATCTGATTGTGTTGAAGAGTGAAACATGTACGTTGATACAATTGTATGGGGAACAAGTTTAAATGAATACTGTCATTTCTTGATTTCTTTCCTTACTTTACACGTGATACACATCTTATGACATTTAGAGCATAATATTTGCGAAGATCGTAATAGAGAAGAAAGAAAGAAGAATAAAAACTAATTGCATCCATCATCCAAATGCAAAACATTAATTGTTATCTTTACATTGTAAACTTGCAGAAAACATAATTAGGAAGAATTCTTGCAGAACGTTAAGTGATTGCAAAATCACGTCATGAGTCATAAAAAAAGAGAATATTTAAGTGTTTCTCCCATACAGTTATAACTTATGGATCATTCCCGTACCCATAAACGCCATTCCCATTTTCCATTTTACTTTTATTTCACTTAGAAAATGAAAGACAAAAATAATTGGACACAGAAGCTAAAAGCATTGACATCAAAACAAAAAATAAGAAAAATTTCTTTCGCTTATGTTCAGCTTCAAGAACTCATAATTTTTATTCTCGACTATCTATTTACTAAGAGGTGAAGTCATAAAAAGTTGCGGCATTTTAATTAAACGGCAGAAAGACTGCAAATTCAACATCACTATGAAGTATTTCAGTCTTACCTTTGTGAGTGCAAACGATAGAATAAGAAATTGCCTATTAAGGGGGGAGAAGGCATCACAATGGTATATTGAGTGGCCTTCAAAGATTTAGCAGTGAAACGACACTGTAAAGTATCCTTGTCAATTGATTTAAAAAGTAATGTGGGCTGTAAGAAGTGGAAGCAAAGAAGCGGACACTTGATGAAACTTCTTTTGATTTATAACGTCTAAGATCATTAATTGAATTTCCGTAGTGATTAAAAAAACTTTATTAGCCATTAAATTGAGATCCGTTATGTTGATCAAAATGAAATTAAAATTCTTATAATGATTGGAAATATTTTTATGAAGTCACGAAAAAATGCACGGCCTGGCACGACAATCCGAGATTGACCACAGCCGCAGACTCCTGAACGTAATGAAATATTCCTTGTATGAGTTTTTGGAGTCAAAAGCTTTGCTTGCCATTTTTTTGTTTTGTTACGAATTGAGTTGATATTTAATGCGGTTTATCAAATTTATATCGATTTCATCACTGAACCGTTCGATCAGTGGTGGTTTAAGCATGCAAGAAGAGCGTGAAAGAAAATAAAAACTTTTGCGCTTGTTATTTTATTCATCGTCGGTTAATGTTGAAGCAAAGCTACTTTAAAACCGCTATGTCGGGTCGAAACAGTGACTTTGAATATTATTTTTATTCTCTCTTTTTTCTCGATTAAAACTGTTTATATTTCTCTTGTTTGTTTCAGGCAGTTTACACTTTTTACATATTCACGCTGTTTTAATGCAGTTACATCATTCAAATTGTCGGAGTCAATTGACTCATGAATGAGATCGCTAAACACTAAATATTACCATATTCAATCACAATAGAAAGGCCAAACGCATTGCGATGATAGTTGATTTTGCAGAAGAGATGTGGAAGTCCTTATTTGTCAACCACCAAATGTGAAAAGCTCGTTTGAATAAGCATTCGTTTCTTGTCGTATCGTGGGTGGTTTTTAAGTGGAGAGTTAAAGCAATTTATATCGAACGAACATTTGGAGTGGTTGAATGCTTACGATATCTCATTATTCCTAGACTCAACGACATGATGTTTCGCAATGCCACTGACACATGAAATTCTTCAAAAACTTTTAACCTAAAGCGTTTATTGATCGATTGATGACATAAGTTCCCCACACATAATTATAAGATGTGAACGATGTGATGTAATACGCAAAAATTCGCCTTTAAATGCATTTTGCTGTTAAAACCTTCAAACCATCAGCAAGCTTTATTTAGGAAGAAATATTTAGCTCGTGGTAGTTTCATTTCTATTCATTAGCAAGACTCTAACAAAATGTGCATTTGCGACAATCGCTTGCGACGGTCAGTATTGGGTGTTTGCATATACAATTTAAGATCAAACAAAAGCAAGGTCGTCAAAAGTAAAACTGACATTTGAATGTATGATGTGGCAGATTAAATGTGTGAGTGCTAAATCAATATTCAACTCTTTGAACTAAATCAAATCTTTAAGCTGTGTAATAAAAATGACAACTAAGCATACAAAAAAAACTTTTAAAATTATTTTTAAATATCGAACTGAGTCATAGCGATTAATATGTGACGTCACAATATGTGTGAGTGTTTCATTTTACACACACTCAAAATGTGCGAAGCTTAAATTAAGCTGGAGCCAGTCTCAACTTAACGCCTTTGCAAAAATCGGAGTGGTTTCAATGACATTTTTCTTATTTCTTATTTTTAAACTTTTGTACAACACACAACGACACGCTTGATATTTTCTCATAACAGGATTTTCAACATCTATCTATCTGAGAATGAATATTATGAGGTAGCGCTAAGAGGTTTGGTTGTCAGTGTCACACGTTTCAATGGGGAAAAGAAATTAAGATGAAAAATCGCTGGTTGCAAGAATTATTTGCTGCAGATCTTGTTGGTAACTTAAAAGTCAATCACATCACCGGCTAATTGCATAAGTCGTGAATCATAAAAGTAAAGCAATGTTAAGAAAAACTGAAGCAAAATATCATCTGTTGATTAATGTTGGCTCAGGTTCTGAGTATTGAAAAACATTTTATGAAGTAGCTCACGTAATGCGCCATAATTAAGTAAAATTGACTTCTTCATTCATTTAAAAAAGTGTCAGTTCGAAGAAGTTTAAAGAATATAAAGTTGAAACATTTAAGAGCGAGCCCAATAAGACTCGCTAATTTATTTTCTAAGTGGTAATTACATTTCAGCAGGAAATCATAATGTGGTTAATTAATTTTTGTACGTCGCTTCTGCGTTGAACGGTGTTTGACTTTTTTCCTGACATTTTTTTTATTTATTTTGTTTATTTTGCTATTCTTTTTTCTTTTCAATGCAAACGAATGAACGAATAAATTAAATTTTTCTCTCTGTTCAAATATTTAGATAGATAAATGCAAAGTTCAAAGAATCTTTCTTCTCAATCCCTCTTGGTTTCAATCTTCTTCCAATGAATGTAAATTTAAATTGGCAAACATTCTTTCTTCAAGTGTTTGCACATCCATTTTTTTTTTGTTTCTTGTTCTTCAGAAATATGATTCCGAGCATTTCGATTGACTTCGCTTTTCAACACAGCCAAAAATTTAAAAAAATCACCGAAAGAAAGATGAGAACAGAAAAACAGATGGTTTGGATGATGTGAAACTCGTTCCACTTTAATATTTTATTGAATTTACTTCGTTTCCTTTTATGTTGCTTTACTCATGTCCATCCATGTATTTAGCGGCAAAATATGCGAGCAAGATAGCAATTTTCAAAGAATCAAAACCCTTCAATATTCTTCCAAAGAAGCATAGAGAAGACGTTGGCACGATAAATTGAGAACAGCAAAATGGCAGGAAAAAAGAAAATTAACGTCGAGACTGTTAAAAAATAAAAAAAAACATCAACAATATCTGAGACCTCGACCATCGCTTTTGCGGCCTTAACATAGTACAGACTTGCATATTATGAGCATAATTATGACTCTTCTTTACGATTCCTTGCGTTCTTTTCTCGCTATTTTTCGTCTTTTTTCAGAAAAAAATAAGATATGTATGTTCTTTAACCCAGCGAGGCAATTAAAGTCAATCAAGAATATCCCAATAACATAAGATTTTTCTGATTTTTTACGGAAAATTCAATTATTTTTCTCCCTTTTTGCAAAAAACAAATTCTTTGAAAACTTGCGCGAATTAATTTCATTTCACAAATACAAAGAAAATTTGGATTGATTTTAAATGCCAACATTCAACTCAGCGCAGTCTTCTCATGAAGGTTTTGAGCGAGAAATTGCTAAAGTTTCAAGCTTTTAATTTAATTTTTTTCCTCTCTTGAAACTTTTAGTAATTTTACTATTTCTACTTGGCATGGGCGGATATACGATCTTTGACATTCTGCAACTGTAATCGCAGAAACCGCAAATCGTTTTGTCTTTGAACTTTTGCATGTCATTTCATCCGATTCTGCAACTGGATTTTTTCTTTATTCCTTATGTGATCGCGAACAACAAATGAGTAAGCGATCCAATTGAGGATTTTAATAGACATTGTCACATCTGAACTTTAATGTTTGCTTCGAACAAGGCGATAACTAAAACAACTGTCTATAGATTTTAATAATCCCATTCTATTCCAGAAATGTTGTTTTGCCATGTTTGATCGATACTGCCACATCACAGTTTCAGTCACCAGCACAGAAATAAAATCACTTTTGCTTTTCAAAAAAAAAAACAGCTTTAGATTGAAATACTTTTGAAGGCCTTGCGTGGTTGGATCGAGGTATTTGAGTGGTTTAATCGAAGTTTTAGCATTTCAATTTATTTTTATTTCATCTTTCATATTTGAACTTTTCAGATTTTATTTTCTTCGAATTAATTTTCTAGAAATTCTTTTTTTCTTGGCTTGACTTGATCTTTTTTTGTTAACACGCTCATTATCGAATGACAGAAAAAAAAATGAAAACAACTTTTCGAAGATTAATTTTGATTACTTATAAAGTTTAAACAGCTTTATTTATCTTTCGTACGCCAAAGTCAATATGAGGAAACACTTCGAGGTGGAATTTTTTTTCTTTCATCGATCACGTAATGAGCCTGTGAATGGCTCAGTGAATAATTTTTTTTTCGCATCTGGTTCTGTCATTATCAAAAATTCCAATTTTGGTCCAAATTTCACTAAATTTCTTCGCACGATTTTATTAAGAGAAGGAAAATTCATCCAACACTAAAGAAAATTACGCATGAAAATTCCATTTGCTCGCTTTATCCAACATTGAAATCTTTTCATTGTATTCGATTACTTTTTCTCATTCTCATTTTAAAACGAAACGTAAGAGGAAAAAACTTTCATTTATTTCTTTTCTTATACAGTAAACTTTTTAGTTCCACTTTGTGTGCAAAAAAAATCATTCACTTTTAATTTCGTTGGGAAAAGTTGTTTGAACGTCCGAAAGATTTATAAAATGTCCAAAAAAATCTGGTTTCACTTCCAGATGTCGAAAACTTACCACTTTTTACCATGGCTGAGAAATAGCCAAAGTATTAAAGATCATACAATAATCCGCCAAGCAAAAATATTCCGTAAGAAAAACTTTAGATTCAATTCTCTGCACAAGAATCTTCAAAAATTCTTTTTATTTCTTTTTTCCTGTTGAATTTTTCTCGTTTAACTTTTTGATATTTCTTTTCTTGGTTTTTTACTTCTTCCACTTCTTCTTCTTCTTCTCCACTTTATATGCCACTAGCAATTTTTTCTTCTATATTTAATTCACGCACGGTTTCTTTTGCACTTGTGATTCACTCGAAGTCTAAAGTAAGACTGAAGTCTCTGCTCGGTTGGGCGGAGAAAAGACCTACAAGTCGCGAGAAGTTAACATTTTCATTATGAAGTTTACATTGAGTTGAGCATAAGACATCATCGTATCACGAGAAGATAACTTTCTTAACTCTTTTGCTCAATTCATTGATTCTCTCTCGAATCATGTGAGATACGATGAAGAAGTCTCTTAATAAAGCCATGCTCTCGATGACGTCAGGTTTATTTATCTCCGGAAAGCGGCTTCACCATGCTTCATGCGAAGAAGAAATGCAAACAAAAGATAAAAAAAACCTAAACAATCGGTCATCATCGGATCAAAGGCGTTGAAAAATCTTCAGAGAACCTTTTTTGAAATTTATGACTTGGAATTCTTTTCACAATTTTTTTTTCCTTTCTCTATTTCCAGTAACATTTGACTTTATCAAATAAAACATTAATTTTCATGGGTGAACCAAGCAGTTAAGATTTCTGTTGATAAATTTTAGGTGGCAGGAATTCTTGACATATAAGCATTTAATTTTACAGTAGAATATCACAATTAAAACAAAACCCCAAACATCTACTTGAGACTAAACAGAGGATGCATTTGATGTCAGAAAGAGATATTTGACTTATTGATTTATCTTCTGACACTTGATTTCTCAATAAATATATTAAGTTATTCTCCTAACGAAGTCTTAGATTTTTATCAATTTATTAATGTGTCCAGTATACTTATTTAGTATATTAAATTAATAGAAAAGTGTCAGATTCTGAAAGTGAGAAATTACATAGATAAAATTTTTGGTCTGTCAATAAATGACACGGACATTTGTTAAGTACCCGTAAGAAGCTTCGAAGTTTGTCTTCATCTTATTTTGTACGGATCTATAGCTTTGTCATATTACAATCTGAGTTCAGACTGATGAACTGAGAAGCTTCACTAAGTGTTTAGTGGGCAGCACCGCCAAAAATGTTTTGACATGAACCAATGTGGCCATTAAACTTACCTAAAAATGTTAAGAACATGTATAAATATCCGTCAAATGTTGAATGAACTGCCATTTATAATGGATCTCCCTTTATAAAATATGTTGCGTGGGCTGTCATGTCAAAATTCTTAAGAGAATTTGTGGAAATAAAGTAAATATTGCTTAGACTTCTCGTACTGTTTTTTATTCTTCTGTTTTGTAAATAATCGTTCAATGAAGTCATATTATTTACATTTTGAATTTCATTGTCAATTCGGTTTCATACGTAGCTACGTAGCTATTAAATTTTGAGAGCCAGAGGTGATGAAATTAAATAAATTCGTTAATTTAATGATTATATAGTCAGGGATATTTACCAAATAAAAGATTTAATGTAATTATTGGATTGTAAGTATCTTACAGAGACTCAAATTGAATTTAAATTTCAATTTAGTTATAAAAATAATTTAAAAGCTTAGATAACTTCAATTGAAAATAAATATGGAAACGTAGTAATTTTATTTGAAGTTTAATTATAAATTTTTTTGCTCATCTTAAATTCAAACTAAAAATTAAAACTAATTAAGAATGACAAATAAATGAAAACTTGATTATCACAATACAAAGAAAACTTTTGAGACACATAAATGTTTGTTCATTTTATTTGTAAACTATGTGTGGATATGTATCTCAGTATTTTTTCTATATGCAGATAAAGTACATACGTGTCTAGTTACTATCAATTTCAATACAAAAACTTGAAATTTGAAGCTATGAAAATTGAATAACTTTACCTTTATGTGATTTATATCTTTGAACATAGATAATAATTGCATATAGCTTATTGCACGATTGTTGCATTACCTTCGATCGAATTTTAAGAAAGATTGCGCTTAAATAAATCAAAATTTCAAAGAAACTGTTTTTTTTTGTATTATTCTATTCACCAGCTTCCAAAATTTTAATTTGAGAATTTATCAAGAAATGTCGTAGATACTTGATTAAATACCTGATAAATTACGAAAAGAAATGATCGAAAAAGAATCGGATCAGGAAGAAAGATTTTTTGAAAAGACTGATATTGAATTTCCACTCTTACGTCCATCTTCGGCTTCGTGTTAAAAGTACTTCCAATATAAACTTCAGGATTACAATAATTTCTGATAGACTTCACAATATATTTAAAAGTCTTTTCTTCGACAACAGTGTCATTGTTATGGACGAAATTAGTGGTCGTTAAATTGACAAGCGAAGTGGTGTATATAAAAGCATCTGCAGCTATCTCGTCAACTTTGTGATCTTTTACAAATTTCCATCCACATTCTGTGATATTTTCCTCCTTCAAAGAGTGTTTCATATTTCCCAGTATTTTGTAACAAATTCTTCGGTTTTTTTAATAACATGACGTCTGCATGTTTGATAATTTTTAATTTCACTCTCAGTTTGACAAACTACGTAATTAATGATTCATTTTTAGACTTTTCTTTTAAAGTGACTTTCACGAATGATTCGTTTAGAATTCATCAGTTAATTTCTAATGTTCCTAAAATTCCATAATGAAAGGTGGTAGGGGAAGGGGATGGGGAGGAGTGATAAAATATATTTGCATATTTGTTTCTTAAAATTGTTTCGCCAAACACTTAAACGTATAGATTATCAGTCTTTTGTACACATTAATGCAATCATTAATGTAATCTTTCTTGGCCTTTCATTAGGCATTTCGCAATAAGCGTTGAGTTGATAACTTTTCAGTGTATAATTTTCTATACATTTTTGATAAGGTTCAAGTCAACTCTGAGACAACACTTTTGCAAAAAGGAGAAGAAGAAGTCATGCTGACCTGCAATCCGATACAAAATAAAATTCTTACGAATAATTTCGTTAGAAAGAGTTGCTTAGCTTATGCACCTAAAACTCAAGAATGAAATGAGTACAAAATGAATTTTTGGAGAAGAAAGATTCAAAGATTTTTCTATTGAGAATTTTCATCTTTATTAGCCTTTCTATGCATATTTTAAAGGTTCTTAAAATATTTCATTTAAACACTCAAACATATTTTTGACACTGGTGCTGGTTAAATCGATGGCTTTGTTGCGAATCTCTTTAAATTGTTGATCAGATAATTCAAAGGTGACCAAAATTTCATATGAAGCTAACAGTTCATTAATTTTTCCATCCTTTACTTTTTGTGTGTAACAATCATAAATATTGTTGGAGGAAACACCGAAAAATGTTGTAGGAAAAACGAGATCCAATAAAAGATATTCGTTTGGAAATTTTATACGCCATTTCATGAAATATGTTTCGCAGTTTTCTTCCACATAACGTGCTTCATCGATTTTATATAACTTCGGGTCGATGATATTTATATCGGTGAGATGTTTCATCATACAAACTTGATAGGGAGTTAAAGTAAAATTTGGATATCTCTGATCAAGTAAAAAGAGATCGCAAAACAAGTCAGCCTTACAATACGTCTTGGCGGATTTTGCAATGCTTCGTATATTCTTGTTTGTTCTGTAATCAAAATCATCTTCAGTAGAAGTCAAATTAACCAAGCCTTTTCCAATAGCCTTTAAAAGAATCTTTTCGACGTTATAGTCCTTCAAAAATTGCAATCCACAGTCGGTAATATTGTTTACATCAAATATTTTAATAATATTTCTTTCAAAAATGGATTTGGCATGAACCATTAAATTCTCACAGTCAGTGTCGATATATTCATTTTTTTCAATATAATTTTGAAAACAATTTCTATCATCAAGAAAGGAACTTCCACTTGTTATGTAACTGATTAAAAAAAATAAAACAACTGAACTTTTCATCTTTAATCTTTTCAGAACGACTTGTGTTTTACGAATGAATAAAGTCAAGAGAGAAACTGATGTATCTACATACGGGTTTGCAAAATGAGCATTAATGTGACAGAGCATTAATTTGGTGAATTCCAAATGAAAATATTTGACATTTTATTTTTACTTAATATCTAATTTAGCGAATTTTAAGCGCGAATAATTTTCTTGAATTATTAAATTTTAAATTAGAATTTTCTAATATATATTTTATATCCGTAAAAATGTTTGAATCGTTATTGATGTACCTCATTAGAAAGACCTTCATGTTGCAAATGATAAAAAAAGCTTTACGACGTATCTCCACGTTTTCAGGATCTAAAGGAGGACGATTGAAAATAATATAAGAAAGTTAATATTTTTAATTTTATAAAAATGTTTTATTTCTTTTTTTCCTCTTACACATTGTTATATAAAATTTAATATTTATTTCCGTTTTTAGTTGTGTGATATCATTTATATTAATCGTTTTATATAATATATAGATTTTAATATTTTTACAATATTTCCCACATTTCGTCTACTCGTCAATTGTTTAATGTATGTCTTTAGCACTAACTAAAGTTAAATTTCATAATTCCTATTAGCAATTTCATTATCAAACCGACAAAATGCACATTTGACATGGCCATTTTATTGCAACATCATAATTAATGTTAATTACATGATAGAGAAAAAGAATATAGCCGAATATAGGAAGCCAAGAGGTGCGCATTAAATTAAGATTTTTTTTTGTTTTCATGGAAAATTTTAAACAATTTCTGTGTTCGAAAGAACTTTAAAGCAAATGATATTTAGGTATTATAAATAAAAAATATAAGATAGATAGACAGATATTTATATTGTTTCAAGATTAAGGAAGTTTTTCAGTTTGGAACGTTGAATGCAAAGAAAGTTATGAACGATCTTTGATCATGCTGCAAATTTTTTTTATTATTTTTATTACATTCCAATAGATATTAAAACATTTTCTCTTTTTTTTTTATTGTGCTGTAAAATGTTTTTGTAGAAAATTTTATGAAAAAAGAAAGAAAGTTAATGTTAAACATAAATATTCTGTCCCATGTGTTTTTTGCTTATTTATAAACTTAGGAGGGTGAGGACTGGAAGTCAAATGGTCTTAACAAAAAACAAAAAAGGAAATAATAATTATAAAGCTTTTGCAATGGAATCGAGACTCGAAAACGTTTCTTGAAAGTTGAAGCTAAACAGTTTATATTTTAAAGTATAAAATAAAAGTGGTTAATAAATTATGTGGACATAATTTGATATAAAATAAGATAAGAAGTCATATCTAAAGCCAAAAGTTTGTTTTTTTCGCTTAAAAATTATAATCAATTGACTACATGCATAACATTAATGTACGTTTTGTTGTACTTGTTTTTCTTTCTGTTTTCTGTTTCTTCAATGAGAGACAATGGATGAATGAATGAATGAAAGTCCAATGAAGATCAACTTAGTTCTTCATGGTTTCTTCTTTTAAGTTGTCTAATTAAGACATTTTTTTAAGCTATTTCCTGAAAGCACATTAATGTGTGAGTCACGAAGCAGTATCGGAACAATCCGGCAGAGTACGGTCACATTAAAATCTTCTAAAATATGATTACAGGAAGACTTTCATGACATCATCTTTTCGCGATTTGTTTTAATCGTATAAAAAGTTATAAAGTTTTTCTTTGATATTTGAATGGTGATATGTAGGAGAGCGATTATATTTACTTAAATGTGAATTGAATATATCAGTGTGGGCTGTTTAAAAGTGTCAGCAGGAGAATATATGAATAAGCAGTAGAGTATTTAAAAAATATTCAACCTGCATCTCCAAACCAACAGCAACCTCACATTCACAATTAGAACGACATGCAGGCGCCGTTTAATTAATTTACGTGAATAAATATGTATGTGAAGATAATAAAAATTTAAAGTAAAAAGTAATTGCACATGACGCTCAACATCAGCGTGCTTTCAAAAGAAATAAGCTGATAACATAATTTTTTTTCTTTTCATACGTGACTCACTATGCGCTATCTAATCAAATGATGATGATAAAAAAACGTAGCCAATGATCAATTCGTTTTTCATTTTTTTTCTTTTCCTTCTCTTTCCTGTTGATCTTTCTCGTTGTGTGCACGCACGAAAATATGTATGTACAAGGTTAACGATGGAAAAACAACAAAAATAGTTTCAACTTGTTCGTCCTTAAATGTTACGTATTATTTGTATCGTTTGTTTGCTGCTGCGAACCGGTGATTACTGTTATTGTTGATGATGACGATGTCAGCGTTGTTTGTGTTATTAAGTTTGAATTGGAGTTGGCGTTGTTACTACACAAAATTGTGTACACAGAATCAACTTTACTCAGTTTCTCAAATAATGGTATCAAGTCTAGTAGTTCAGAATCTGATGCATCGTCAAACCATGACTTTACTGGCACCTAAAACAACATTTTAATCTAATTGAACAATGAGAATTTCTATTTCATGAATCTTACTGCATTCTCTGGATGAAAAATATAACTTGCAGGACTATTATCAACGATAACAATTTTTTGAAGGTCCCGTCCCAACTTGTTTAAATCCTTAACATAATTTCCACCATGATAAACACATGACTCACGGAAAAGACGAGCACGAAATACGCTCCATCTAAAAAAAGAAGCAGAAAACATTTTTAAATACAATTTCAAAACTCTTTCTTTCTTTCTCTCTTACTGGTCCAGAAGATCAGCAACAGGATCAGCGTATTTTGCAAGCGATGCGGTAAAAAGAACACATTCATACAACTCTCCCATCTTTTTCAGAAACTCATCAACATATGGTCGCTTTAAAACATAAACTTGATGCACAGTGCCATCAATTTCTACCGGCACTACAAAATCAGCATTTGGAATTGGCTAGAATGTCATTTCAATTGATTATCAATTAATTTGCCGTAAATGTCATGTAATTTGACTCACTTTAAAACTACTATGCACAAGCGTTTCATCTAAATCAATGACCATGCATTTTTTATGCATATCTGAGTGGCGTATTGGAGGCAACAGGTATCGATTTTGTCCACTACTACCGGTGAGACCCGTTGCTTGTCCTATTGTCTGTGTTTGAAGTCCATCTATGGAACCTCCATTCTGGCTGGATTTTGATCGTCTCGATGATAATGAAGTGCTTCGCTGTCTCCAACAGCAGAACAATGTCTCCCATATTCTTCGTTTCGGTGGTTTTACATTCTCATCAATGTTTACTGTAATAATTTAAAATTACTTTTAATTAACATCTCCCTTTGTATTTTTGCATCACTTTCAATTCATAAGATTGTGAGTGTGTGTGTTTAATAATTAAAAGTCAAAAATATTTTGTTCTTAAAAGATTCACTTTCAGCCTTCATTTCAATAGATTAATGAGATAGAAACATGAGCAGCATAAGTGTGAAAAACACGTCTATGTATGTCATTCTAAGTAATTTTTTATATAGCGAAGGAAAAAGAAAAATGTGCAAAATCTATTTTCAGATATTCAGGTTCAAAATTATATGTGTGTGATGTTTAATTATTATATGTAATGATTCTATATATAGACACTCTAATAAATGAAAAATTTTAAAGTTTCACTATGTTGGTTTCTATTATTAAAAATAATTGTATTGATAAAACTTCCTTCCGTTTCTTATTTATGAATTTTTTTGAAATACTAGGGATTATGATTAAGGTTCATCATCTCAATTAAAGTTCGAAACAGCATTCATGTCTCCTTCTAATCTTCAATGCTGTGAAGTGTGTAGGTTTATTTTTAGAAGCGATTTATAGTTATATTTTCATGATTTTGAATATTTCTTTTTTCTTCTTTTTTCCTCAAGGCTGTTCGGCAGCCCTGGATAATGCAACACACCAGAGAAACAACACCTATTTTTTCATCAACACAAATATTTGGACAATAATTAAGAAATGCGTAGTTCGCTTTTTGTCTTTACCTTTATCATTGGCAAAAGCGTTCAATTGCTCATCTTCCCGATTGACTTGAGTTATTATTGAGTCCATTTAAACATTTTTTGGACTATATTTTTGAAAAAATGAAAGATTTACGCACGAAAAACGTAAAGCGTTTTTTAAAAATGAATTTTCACTGTGATTCTTTGAAATTTCTTCTTAATTATGTTTTTTTACGATATATCTGATGGTGGCGTATAAAAGTTAAAGTTTTAAAAACACTTAGAATGATTCTGCACTAAATTATTTAATTTTTTATCGATACGATTGAGTCTTTAATATGTGAGCGCTGTAAACAAAGTGGCAATTGCGTGAACTAATACCTAACCAGTGGTTGCGACCATTGGCATTCCGAACCGGTTGCGAAACAACAAAAATTTTAAATAAAACGGTTAATTTGGGTTTTCAACTGTTTTTATTATTAAGATTCATTTTTCCGTCAAAAATACTTATTCCATTTCTGTTCGCTTATTTTTATTCAAAAGCAATTTAAATCATTGGATTTTGTCTTGATTTCTCTTGCCCTTCTGTCCAAGCTTTAGCAATTGTTCTTTTCATTTCTGCATCACCACTGTCGTACATTTTTTTCATGATGTTCATTAATCCTCCCATGGGATCCTTTGAAACTTCTTCTTTCTCATGCTCATCTTCAAATGGTTTATTCTTTCCATCCTTTAATTTTTTTTCAGTTGTTGTGAGAAAACCCCATTTGCTACCTGATATAAACATTGAAAGACCAATTAATAAATGATATTCTAGAAACAAGAATTATTTACCTTCATTAGCTTTTTTAAGGTAGACAGCGACCATATCTGATTTCTTTTTCTTATAACTTTTAGTGACGTCAATGGGCTTCAACAAATTATTCACTACAAAGCGATGATCTTTGTTTTCATTGCCGTGAATAAGAATTTGAAATGAATTTTCACTGAAATCTGCTTCAACATTCTCTTCCGAGATCTTGGATAAGTCAAATGGAATATAAATTTTTACAAACTTGTCACTTTCATCTACAGCATGCTCATGAAGATCAACGAGAATTCTCTTTGGACCGGATGATTCCTCGGCATTTTGTAATGATTTTGCTTTAGCAGCAGCGATCTCTCCTTCAACGTTTTTTATTTCTTTTTGCAGAATATCCTTAGTTCGTTGAAAATTAGCTTTTTCATAGAACTCTTTAAGCTCTTCTAGAAGCTAAACAGATATTTTCAATGATAATAAAGTGCAATGAACATTATTAGCTTACTTTTGTTGCTTCCATGTTCAAACTATTAGCTTATTTAAATTTTTGTTTACTCCTTAAACATCTTTGCAAGAATGAAAATGTGGAGATTGAAGAATGTTCTGGAATTTAGTTCATATATTACAACCTAGGTGGTGCTGTCATCAATATAGAGAAAAATCGAAATATCATAATTTTACATAAATGTAGGTAATTATTAATGAGTTATTTAATTAAATCACATAAATTCTTTTAAAACATGTTTTTATTTTACATTCTTTATGTAAAAATACCATCACAGAAATAAAAATATTAAATATTGTACAGAAACTGGACAAACGGTTTTCGATACTTTCGCCCTCTATAGTCTCAACACAAACGGCAAAGACTAAATAAAAGAACTGCATAAATTGTTTTTATATTTCTTACAAAATAATCTAGTAAATATTATAAATCAATAACTATACAAGCATAAAAACACACTATGGATGATAAGGAAGAGGTGAGTAATGAATAAAATGACTATGAATATTTGATTTCGTGTGAAATTTCAAGGGTTTCAAATTGAATCAATTGATTTTCTGTCAAGGAATTTTCGGCTTTATTTGTTTGCAATTTAGCGAGCAGAATAGTACTGAAAATGATCACAGAATAATCGAAAAAAGCTTCATGTGCTAGAGTTTTAGCACCCTACATATTTAATCGTCGCTTTAGACAATAAATAGTAACTTTTATTTACTCTTTCATTACCATATGATATTTCTTTATTGATCAAACATTTGGAGCTTCATTTGAATTCCTTACTGCTATATGAAGTCAGTTATGGATTTCAAGAGCTTAAGTCAGCAAGCACTTTCAGCTCGCCACCTTTTTAATAATAAAGATAAAGACAAAAAAAATGACACAGCTGCTTCACCATTTCAGAATCAATTCATTGTTGATGATGTCAGTAAAATCATCAAGGAATCTATCGAAACAACAATAGGCGGAAATTCTTATCAACATGATAAGGTCAATAATTGGACAGGAGCTGTAGTTGAGAACTGTTTAAGTGTTCTCACAAAGCAACAAAAGCCTTATAAGTATATTGGTAAGTAAAAAGCAAATACCAAAATATAAAAGAAGAAGAAGATTATAAAACATCTCTGAATCATCATCATCGTCATCATCGTTACCACCACATACTAAAAGTGAATATGCATAAATTAGTATTTATTTTATTCGGTGCTGGCTTCCGTAACGTTCCGCTTTGTCGTATTTTGATTGTTGATTGATGATGAGAGATAAGGTGAATTTTTTTCAACAACCATCCGTGCAAACCTTCAAATGAATAAAAAATAATCTAATAATTATTTCTTAACATGCAATCATCCTCGATAACTTATTTTGCTTTCAATCCTCTACTCCAGTTACCTGTATGATAATGCAGAAAAATGGCGCAGGATTACATACAGCAAGTTCTTGCTACTGGAACAATGACACGGACGGGTCGTGTACGGTGCGTTGGGAGAACAAATCCATGTATTGCATATGCAGGTAAATTATTATTCAGACTTCGCTTATTGCCCACATAATAAATTACAAATAACTACATTAGATATTTAATTCTGCAGTGTTTTTGGTCTTGCTATTTAAATATTGCAAAATATTTAAACTCTACGAAACAACAGAAGTCACTCGAATTAATTGATCGTATTCCTCTCCAAAATCACTTAGTTGTTACGATGCGGACAACAGTCAGCATAGAGCTATTAAATCTTAATAATCAATTTAAGGAAAGTCATTTTATGCCTTTTTTCTACATATTTCTCTTAACTTTTTTTCTCTTTAATTTTCATTATAAATATTTTTTCAATTAGATATTTCAATAATAATTAATTTTATATAAAAAGTAATGAATAAAAATATAATAATTTGTGAGATGCAATTTACAAGGTGTTCATTTCATTAATTGTTGTTTTCAGTGTAATCGTTAGCAGCTGACCATTTGTGTTTGTTGCCTTTGTCAACTTGTTCACGAAGGAATTTAAGACCAGCTGATATCGATGCTTCAATATTTGTAGGTGGAACATATGATTTGGGTTGCTTCGATGTTGACGGTCCGTAATAATCAATTGTCGCTGGAGGTGGAATTGCTGCACCTCTTTGACTACTTTCTGGCGACTGATTTCGACGTTTAAACTTTTTTGAAGTGAAGAAAAGTGTTTTCTTTTCTTCTTCAAAATCTTTTGGATCATAAGTGACATCAGGTTTTACAAAGTTTCTCGATATTGGAGCAAACTCTTGATTACGTACTTCTCTTTGCTTTTCATTCCATTCATCTGCGAATTAAAAAGAAAATTTCGTCAATTTAATTATTCTTACGAAGAAATTAAATATTCACCTTGAGTCATCACATGGCGTTCTCTTTGAGGCTTCCATTCAATATCTTCATCATCACTATCATCACTTTCAGAGTCTGAGTAATTATTATGCTTAGAACTAACTTTTGCCTTATCCCATGGCCGCACATGCTTTTTGCGCTGACGTTCCTTTTCCTTCTCAAGCTTCTCTTTTTCTTTTGCAGCTTTTTCTTCCGAAAGTTTTTTCTCATCTAATGTGTTGTAAAGATTTTCATCTTCAGGTTTTTCTTCTTCCGGCGGAAGTCCTAATCTCGCTCTCTGTCTCGCGCGAGCAATTTTAACACGATTGGCAATAATGCTATCACGGGATTTTTTCAAATCGGCTCGTTGTTTTTGTGCGTCTAAAGTATCGTCTCGTATTTTATTGAGTGCTTTTTGTTGCTTCTGACGCTCCTCATGATCAGTTGAAAACTCATAAAATCCAACGCCATGCTCGCGAGCCTCTGAAACATAATTAAATAATATTACAATTAACATGCTAAGTGCGAACTAAAACTATTTAGTCATTGGACTTTCCAAAGGTAATAAAGAAAAGGAGAGAAAAACAGAAAGAAAATATATGTATGTGAATCGAAATATCTCAGACAACGCTTCTCTCACAACAATCATTTTCTCGGATGAACGTGAAACAGCAATCTCAAAATGAGTGAAAAAAATATTTATCTCTTCTCAGTCTGCTTTTAGCATCGTTCGTGAACAGACTGGTAGCAAGCTAATAGTATTGACGTATTTTTCTTTTTTGGAAATCTCTACTTCAGCTTCCATACCATTTAGTTTTGTCATTTTCACAGACAAAAATATCGAATTTTCCTATTTCTCATCTGGCAATTGATTGTAAAAAAAAGTGGTTGAAAATGTGTCGAGTCAGTCTTCAACAATAATAATATAACAATTAAGTTTCGAACAACATTTCTGAGGATATGAAAAACAACGGCAATGAAGCATACAATTTGAATTCGACGGAAGAAAATTGATAATTTTGGAACAAAAAAAAGTTATGCTTCGGGGTGGAAACTGAATTGAAAACGAAAAAAAACATCATCGATAAGCATTTTACGAATTTATACAAATAAAAGAGACGAGAAAATTGAATTTAATCCAAAAAAGCGAGTGAAATATAAATACGAAATTGCCATGCACAGCAAACATAACAGTATAGTCAACATGATTATGGATGTAGGAGCTGAAAATTCATACTTAAGGAGTCGGAGGAAATTATGCAACGTGAAAAGCATATGTTTAGGTAAATTAGTGCTTGAAGACCTTTAATATTTAATTAACGTCCGAAAAAACATTAAAATAACTCCACACGTTTCCGTTCAATATAAAAACCAGAATTCCTGATACAAAGTATTTGGTTTTATTCCCCCTACAAAAATTAAAAATATTTGCATGATTCACAACACATTTTTTACTGCCGATTATGACATAGGTAATTCTAAAGCAAAGCAAAACAAAACAGAACAACAGAAAATATTTTATGAAACTGTAGAATCAATCTGAGATTCATAAATCTAATCAAATATTTAACAAGTAAAATCGATCATTTCCTAAATTTTGAAAGAAATCAAATTATTTTCCACATCTTATCTATCATGATATCGTCTGTGAAAAGCGATACTTTATTTTCTATTTCGATTCTTATGCTCCCTGTTGTATGTGCGTGTAAATATTTGACTGCAATTGGACACTTTGACTATATAGATTTTGTTTTCGTTTATATGCATGGCAGAACGTAGAAGATAAATATTGATTTCTGTTGGTTTTTAATAAATAAATCATCAGACAGAATTTTAATGAAAAAACAATTACACAGAACTTTGAGATAAAAAGAAGATCTTCTAAGTTGAAAATTGCAAATCAAACAGCATTGCAAATATTGAACTACGCTTTGCATTCTTTATATTCATAAAAAAATCTGTAAGAGACATTTTCGTTTCACAATGTCATCTGATTCTACTTGAAGGCAAATGTATCTTCACAATGTACTTGAGTGCACTACATGCAAAAGGATGTTTCCTCTCACTTATGTTTGTTTATTTTTCCAACTCAGTGTTTCGAAAGACTACTCATCAGGTCATTAAATATCATATCTGCTTAATGTAAAATGACATTTCAAAAAAAAAAATGAATAAATTATCTTTAATATCTAAGTAAAGAAATTGAAGGCAAACATAACAATGAAATGAAAGTAACGATAGAATAGGAAGCGTTTAGCGCAGAATCATTTTGCTGTCATAAAGAATCATTTATCATGCTTGAATTACTAAATATTGACATTTGCTAGCTGCATCTTTTTTGTTTTTGGGTTGAGGACAAGTTCAAAGTTGTTAGTTTGCATTTTTCATGTTTGTCGCATTTTTAAATTTGCATCAATTATTATCTCGTGAGATAGAAATAAATCTTCATCAGAATAATAAAATTCATTCGAATGGAAGCCAAATGGATTTATTTTTATAACTTTCAAGATCATATTGAAGCCGTTGTGCTTGAATGAAATCATCGAAATTGATATTTAGATAAGTATGAATCGTTCAACATCTGCTAACGTTACAAATCAAAATTCGCTTGTTGATAAAACGCACTCGGCTTCGTTTTATTTTTTTTTGTGTACATATAACATGTGCGTTAAGGAAGCAATGTTCAAGAGTCTACTCATCTATGTCAAAAGCAGAAAAAATATATAAGTCACAATGTGGAGGAGCACACTCTGTATCAGTTACAAGTATTATTGTTGGCGTGTTCTTGTAAACATGCTGAAAGTATTTCATGTGTGGCTTGAAAGTATATAAAGAAAAATATTTTCCTAGGGATCGTATGAAAGTTTAGTAATGATCAACACAATTCTTTAAAATTATTTTCTGATTTTAACTTTATCGTAGCAGCAAATTAATGACGTAACAATTAAATACATTATAACGCTTCTGTTCATTTTACTTTGAACTTTTTCTTCACTCTTGTTAGGTATGAAGATTTTCTTACACGCTCATATTTTGAAATTTTTACAACTTAAATCTATCTATTCCCTCGCGCAATCAAAATTGTTTTCCGAATAGAAAAGTATTTAGTGCGAGTTAATTAGAAACAAGCAGGAAGTCAAAGATGCATCAATTTATTTCAATTAACTTTATTTCTTTCTTCGTGCTAAGTTGTATTCTATAAAAAAGTAGTGTAGACGATTGTAGTAAGTAGATATAGATACTGACAATATATTTTTAGAAGCGCATTGGCGCCTCTCATCTGAAATCTCCACTCCAAATTTATCGATTCGATTTCATACTCTTCTCCAAACTATTTGTTGTGTACTTATTGATTACGAGTACAATAAATCAATTGCTACTTCACTTTTGTATTTATTAACGATATCCATAAAGATAATTCACAGAGATCATTTAGGTTCGCTACATCATTTCGGATTCTTTGTAACTGTTAATCATCATATTCAGAGCAATTCGCTACTATAAATCTTAACGAGCTGTGTAATACATTAATTAACACCAGATAGTTCCATATTTAAGTTGCGTAACATAAGCGAAAACAAGTTGAACAAGAAATGATTACTAACAGAAGATAGTTTGCATAAAGAAGTTGTGAAAGCCAATTTATAATAAATTATCAGTAATAAGTTTTAACCAAACGACGACAGCAAATATGCTCAAGTCAATAACCAATTTTCGTATAATTTGAGATGTTTACTTTGCAACGAAGTCGCTCAAAAGCTTCTGAAGTGATCTGTTGCTCGGTCTCACTTCTCTTGAATGAAGCCTCACAAAGCAATTATTAAAAAAAATTAAAATTTTGAATATTTCGCTGAATAAATAAATTGAGATCATAAAGGAGAAAACCTAATGAACATTTTAAAGAAATATGATTCATTGTTAACTTCACACATTTCCAGTGAAATATAAAAAGTGTAACATGGAACTCCTTCATTTGCCACAATTAAGAGACAGTTTTAATTGAATCGAAAACAAGTTTTTAAAAATAATGTTTTGCGTGAAGTTACTTCATGTCAAGTATTTCTTGAATTCAAGATCGAAAGTTTCAGATAACAGGAGACAGCATGTTAAAATGAATAGAAATTTATCATAACATGGACCGCCATGAAAAACATTCCTTCATTCTATTTTAATTACAATGTTGGATTATAAATGTCTACATTTATACTGAAATTAACAATTTTCTCATCTAATCTTGTTATTAATCAAATAATTTTACACGTAAATTCTGACCATCTTTTAATTTGATTACTGCAGATAAGCTCCCCAAATCATAATCAACGCACTTTCCCACAGACTTAAGGCGACGCTCGAAAATGAAAGCATTAATTAATTATCACTGAATTAAATGCGGCATGAATATTTATTCGAATGCTTTTCATGGTTTTGTACCTGAATATTTTATTGTGAAGAAATGTCTACACAAAGTTTGTTGGCTTATTAAAAGAAAATTCAAGATTTTCTCGGGATTGAATAATTTTTTTGCTTGAAAAACTGTAAAAAAAAAATGTTTCACCAGAATATCTTTTCAATTTCCCAATTGAATGTTTCTGCTTTTGTAAGCGGGAATTATGCTTTGAACATTTTCAAGAGATTACAAAACCTTTCATAAAACCACTGATTACATTAAAGCACCAATTTATTATTTAGAGTGAAAATTAAAAATCTTTTGATTTGTAACAATCACTGAACCGAATTGAGGGAAATTGACAGGTCCAGAAAATTTCTTCTTTTAGATATTAATGTTTATTAATCAAAAAAATGTTTTCTAATGATTCAAATGATTTGATCGTTTTTGATATGTTCAACGGCTTGATTATCTGCTTATGATCAGATCAGATAGATTACATAAGACGAAGTTTGGATAAATTTATTAAGATATCTGTTTGTTTTCTTAATAAGATCACTCAAGCTTAATCGACCCTGACGTTAAATGGAGATGATTTTTTTTTGTTTTTTTTTCAAGAACGATGAGAATGTTTTGACGCTTATTTGTAAGCATGATTTTAGTGAGAAAGTGTTCGTTCAACAAACATCAAAAGATTGACAAGAAATGTTGACAAGGAGCGTAAGAAACTCTCCATTTAATAGTTATTTTTCAGCAGATGTATAATGACAGAAATTCATAAAATAAAATGAATCAGCCAACACACTAGTTGATGTTTTTTCGTCTGATATTTGTCAGCAACATTTTGAGAAGTGACTTAAATTATTTCTGCTCGACATAAACGTCTGTGCTCATATGTCATGAAAAGTGATGAGTATTAATACATTTCTCAAAATTCTCTCTGTTCTATCGCAAATTTATATTTTATCGCTTAATTACTATCGCTAACATGCGCACGGGGCTTGACAACATATAACGTAACTTACAGGTTGAATTTTTATGACAACCTTAATAAATGTAGGACAACAATAATCATAAAATATGAATCTGATTCAAATGACTCTCGCAGCTCGTTGAATTGCCGTTTATCAAAACATTAAACTTTTAATCCCTCCCAACTTGACTTCCAACTCATTTGTATCTTTGAATATTTTTTCAAAATAAAACTCAAAACGTTGTAAAAATAGAACCACGTTCACAAAACTCATCAAATAAATAAATTAATTGATACGAGTTTATATCAACACTTTCCTAAGTTTAGAAAAGAATTTTCATTTATTTCATTGCATAACAAGTTCAACGATCCGTTTGATACTCAATTTAATTGATAATGCAATTAAGATTTATCGTTGAAAGATTTATTACAAACTTCTTTTATTTTAGAAACCAGTTTCAACAAACTTTTTTGACATGTGTGAGCTGCATTGTTTGCTCTGCGCTTTTATTTCATTCCTGATAATTTTTGATCGTTAGTAAAGCCGAAAGTAAACGTTAAGTGAATCACATTTGAGAAAAAAAATTAACAGTTTTATTTTATTTTTCGTTTCTTCTGTTTTTCGTATTTAGACAGAACAAACATTTATGAATGGAAACGTAAAATAAATTGAAACGAAATCTGAAATAATAACAAAAGAGGTTTGAAGGTGCTATCTCTGATCTATTTTATTATTCTGTTTACGAATGTGTTTGATCAGAAATAAAATATATCTAAGTCATTTGATCGACACAAAGCAATTCGTGCAAAATTTATTTAGCCTTTCATTTGACAGTTGAAATTTTAACAATTAAGGCATTTCAGTGTTTAAGTACACGCTTTTTCAATCAACTTATTACGCCCAGTAAATATCTAATTGTTCCCATAACTAATTGGAATTTCTCAAAAGGAATAATTTCATGACATGGTCTATAATCACTATCTACAGGAGTGTCGGAAAATATAAAAAAAGTTTCTTTTAAGAAATTTCGTTAAAAAATACTGAAATTAATGCCTGTCATAAGTTATAAGCGATTAGGCCACTCGAGAAAGATTCATGGTCAATATACTTTAACAGATCAAAATCTATACGAGAAATGTGTAGTGAATAGATTTGAATAATCATTCTTGATCATATCTGATTACTTTGATGAAGTATAAAGAGAGAAATTGGAGGAAAATTAATATAAACATTCATGGGAAAATTTATGGCCGTGTTAAATGTAATCCTATTCCGTTGCATACACATTGATTTACATCGAACGATAACAACTTCTTTTCCTAATAATAAAACTATAATTTATATCAATCTTGTCACAACAAAGTGAGAAATTTGATTGAAGTGTCAATAAGATGAGATATCACAGTGAATTGGCATAAGAAATTCACCAGAATTATTAAACATAAACAAACAGGTTTTTTTCGGAAAGGTGAGCACACAACGTCAAACCAAAACGAGTAAGGCTAATCAACAAGAATCAGAAAACGACAAAAAAAAACTCGCTACAAGTTCTAGCTCATCATCATAAGATTGAGATCCGGTTTATCTGCTTATTTTGATAGTTTTCTGAAAGTCTTAAATATTAATAATCTTTGGAGCTTTCACATTTTTTCGAATGTTTCGCAGTTAAGAAAATTAACTAAGATAAGCCACATAATGATCACAATTATCATTGACCACATAGAGTGAAGCAGCTTGGACTGGTTTTGTTAATAAGAGTCATTTCAACTGATGTAATTGATTCATTAATAGAGAGAAAACAAAAAGTTGAAATCAAATATCCATCACGCAATCTCGTTAAAAGAAATTGGTAAATAATTTGTTTTCAACGAGTTAGTGACAAGTATTGTCGGCGTCGGTAGCAACTGATAAAAGAAACTAATAAATCTCTTTAACTATTTAGGATGCTAAAAGTTCAAATAATAAAAAAGCAATAAATCTCTCCTTTACGCGTCGATATACTCAAATTGATTTCAAGATATAAAATTAAATTGAATGTTTACCCGCAAGATCAAAGTCAACATCTCAAGGGGTCTAAAGTCATTGTCAGAAAAGTTGTTTGACAAGTTATCATTCGTATTTTTAATGATCTTACACACATTAAATACTTGACAACTGCACACTGAATATATCTGAGAATAAAATACCGAAAACGTAATGACGACATTAAAATATTTTACAAATTTTTCCGAACCATGTGCTCAACGTCGAGTGTGTTCGCATTTGAGAGGGGAAAAGAATTCAAAACAAATTTAATTTCTTCAAAACAATAGGAAACGCAATTGGGCGCCAAACTCATTTCTCTCTGGTTCTTTGCACCATTTATTTATTATTGTAAGATTTATTTCTTCAATATAGTGTTTATTATTGTTTTAAAGCTATAAATCAATCCCAGAATCATTGAAAGAAGCTAAATAATTCTAAAAAAAGTATATGCTTTGGCAATTAAATCTAAAATATTGTCGAAAAATTCAACCTCAAAATATTTTTTAAAGGCTTGAAAGTGAATAATGTGGGGCTTGTAATAAATCGGTTGAATATAATTTAAGATATATAGATATGCAGAGGGACAGAGCGAACGAATGTCTCGTTTACATTATTGATCAATTAATTTATCTATGCCACACATTTGAATCTGAGCAGGAATAAATATCTAAGCCTTATAAATATTTCATTGAATAAATGGAAAGAAACTTTCGAAATTTATATAAAATTAGACTTTACAGCTATTCATCTTGTTAATTGAATTGCATTTCCGAATATAGGAATTCAGAGTTGTCGTTCAATGAAATTATGTGGTATAAGAAAACATTAACATTTAAATTTTGATGGTATTCATGATGATTGTTGAATGAGAATCAAACAAAATTGGTTTCTGTTTGATTGAACATTAAAATGTGATAATGTTTTAATCGAAAGATGTTGACAGTTTGGAATTATTTGTAGTGTTTTAGGGTGGAAGTTTAAAATAAAATTGTTAAAATGTTCAATCAGCAAAAAAAAGAAAAACATGCAAACTATGTAGATAGATAAGTTGAAATATTCACCCACAATAATGTTATGTTCCCCTTCAATGTCTAAATTGCGGATGTCGCAAATAATAATGAAATTATCTTTTGCAGTTATTTTTACAATGTCCCTCATATCAACGACGACTGCCATCAAATGCTACGTTTGTGGTGATGAATCAGAATTGCCGTTTTTGGAAACGAAATCAATGAACATCAATGAAACATTTATTAAAGAGAAAATTCACAACTCATGTGACGAATTTGATCGTATTCCATTGGAAGAGAAGCATAAGTATGAAATGGAGTGCCCGGATGATTACGTGGGTTGCATGTTACAAGTTGGAGGTGAGTTTTGTTTCACCATTCTTTGCAGATATTAAATCAAAAAGAAAATAGAAATAGTTCATGTCGTACTGAGTAGTAAAACTTGAAATTACGACTTCAAGACACGCGATTAGATCTTTTCACAAATTTGGCGTGTAGTCTGGTGGCGTTTCTATGCAGTCTTACATAGTAAAACATTTTGATTATAATATTTTGCTCAACGATGAATAGTACATATTTCTATTTACTTGCTACTTGTTTGAATTTTCATTCATAAGTTAAATTATTGTCTTTTATTTTTAGAGGAAGTTCTTCGAACATGTTCCCGACTTAGCATTGACGATTGCCGAACAGCAAATAGAGTTCATTACTGCTACTGTAATCGACAACTTTGTAATGGAGAAAATGCAGAAAGTATAATTGAAAAAATGGGCGATATTGACATGGAAGAGAATGACGACGATGTTGATAACGAAAGTATGGATGAAGCATCGGGCTCGGAGGAAGATGACGAAGATTATAATTACCACACTACAAGTCATAAAATCGATTCCACCGAGACATCAAAACAAGGTGGTGGAAATACTCATGGAAATAATCTCGTTATTTTATCGGTGTCAACATCACCACAGCCAACAATTAACAAAGCTGTCAATTTTAATTTAAATAAAAATCTTCTCATCTTTTTGACGTTCACTTACGTTACAAAATTTATGATTACAGTCAAATGAGTTTCTTGCTCACTACTCAATCCTATTCATCTTAATTATGTATTTCATAAAGAAAGAAGCAAACAAAAGAACAATGCCTCAGCATTTTCTATCGAATGACATTTTACAAATTAAACTAGAGGTTGAAACATGCTAATTGGTTTAATTACTCTCAAAACCAAAATTGATTAAAACTGATAGAGCACCAGGAAATATTTTCCAAAAAAGATGAGATGGTTGATTATATGAACTAAATGACATTAGAATGGTGTAAAACACATTTAGCCTATATTGTATTAGAAAAGCATTTCCCTACTTCACTAGTTTTAAGTATTTATTCATAGTAAAAACTTTTCTTTCTTACTTTTCATTCAACTCAACACACCAAAGAAAAGCTTTGCGTAATCACAAAATTTTAAAAACTCATTGTGATTGGTGCTAAAGCATTTGTGATTTTAAATTGAAAATATTTTATTTTGTAGAGGGAAAAAGCGAAGTAGCGTTAAATTAAGAAACCATTCCAACTACATACGTTATGTAAGTGATGTATGCAACGAAGATTTAGAAATTACAATTTGAATGTTAGAATTATAAATGTGCTTAGCAGTTTTGACAACTATATACGTATATTACGTAAGAAAAACATATTGCATTGAAATAAATCGATGTTTTATAAAATAAATAAAAGATAAACAAAAATAAACTCACCATCGAACAAAATATCTTGATAATGAAGTGAACTTCTTTCCTTATTTACTTCTTCTTGCTTTTCCCATTCCTCACGTTGCTTAAGAAATTGAAGTCCTACATCTGGTCCAACAATAGTTTCATTATCACTTTCATGAGAAATTTCACCTGGAGATTTTGAGCCTTCGTTGTTTCTGTTCACTTGTTCTGATCTTGATTCGACGACATCCAGCAATTCACTGTCTTGATCCTTTAATTTTTGTAATTCTTTTTTAGAAATTTTGCGGCTTCTTCCAAAGCAATCGGTATAATCGACCCTTAATAATTAATCATTAGTGATATATAATTCCATTATATATTAATATTACTTACATTTCATCTTCATCCTCTTCATTCCAATCTCCTTTCTCTTGTTGCCCTTTTTTATTAAATAAAACCAGAGAATTGTCATCGCTGTTAAGAGACCCTTTTGAGTTCACCATTCGTTCATAATATTTTGCTTTCGCTTCAAGTATTTTCCTCGATTTTTTAAACTCTCCTGAATCATCATGCTCGAAAACTTTAGCATTCGAAGTTTTAATAACCCCCTCATGTTTTGGGTCAAGTGACTTGTTCACTTTATTTACAGATTTATTCTTCTGAATTAAAGGAACAGCTTTTTTGTTTTTAAGAGCTTCTTCTTGTTTTCTTAATAACTCTGCTTTCAAACTTAACAATGATGACTTTTCAACGTCGATCCGTTTCGATGGATCGTTCATTATTATTATTATTCTTTACGTTTTACATTTGAAATTGTAAAATATATCTAAAATTTTTGTTTACCTTTTTTATAACAAGTTTTATAGCATGTTATAACAGTTTGAATTGAATTTGAATTTTTAGAGACTGTTAAATTTGTTAAAATTTGTTGAATAATTCCTGAATTTTAACAGCAAAAATATTGAGATGATGAAGAAAAGTTAAAAATTGTAAGATCATTGTCGTCAATGATTATTTGCAGTAAAGGATTTGAACAGTCATTGTGATAATCTTAACTATAAAAAAGTGTTTCACTTAAAATTTCTACTTGAATGAGTTGGTAGGATGTAACAAAATGCAGAAATCATCTGCTTAAAACAATATCATTATTAATTTAACACTTGAATGTTTTAATCAATTTTCATAAAAAATCTTTGTTTTATATGTCAGCTTGAATATCCGGCTGGCGTTTGGATATATTTTAAATAAATATTTTTCCATAAATATCTGCAAGATATCTGCAACAAAATATTTAAACATACAAAACATTCTTCTGCCCCATACATTGGAAAAATAAACAACTATCAATGCTTATGTCTACATTTTTCACTCAACATTTCAAAAGAATGTTTAAGTTACCCTTGAGACAATGTTACATATTTTCACAATTTGTGGTCTAGAAATGAAAAGTGTGAATTTTTGGTTGCCAACATAGTGCTAACAATCAGATAACAAAAGTTGACAACAGAGGAATTTATTTATGAGATAAATTTATGTCAAACACATACAAATTTGAATTCCTTCTATGCTTTGAATTTTGAATTCAGTCATGAATCAATCGAAGTATGATCATCTCAAGTTATTCAATGTTGTATTGTTGGAAGAAAAAAATCTTATGTAAACATCCTTAGTATGCTCATACAATATTTTGATTAATTATTCTATATGAGTTGATTAATTGATTTTCATTTGAAATTTATTGAAGGTTTTGAATTTCATGACTGTAGAAAAGTTTTACTTTCATTTAATATCGAAAACGCATAGAAGTAATGCATTCAATAATAAACTAATTTCAAGTGGCGCTTCGAATAAAGGGAAAGGTCAGTGACATGTTTTATTTGTTCATCTTTTTATAAAAGTTCTATGCCGTCTTCTTAATAAGCGGCCTTATTTTATTGAATCTCAAATGTTTCCTATTGGTTTTAAATAGGTTTTCAAACCAATTTCCAATAACTCCAATTCAGTGTCTTTCAAATATAATCTTAAGGGACCACCCGCTCAAAATGAACTGAATCCATTAATTTAATACCCAACCGTCTTTTTAAGGCTCGGCTTTATAGCTTCTCAAAAGTATTTAATTAAATCGCGCGGTTTTCTCTCCTTAATTGATAAATCTCACTGTGACTTTTATACATGCTAATCCTATTTTGATTTAAAAGACGTGTTTGCCAAATATTTTATTTTATTTTATTTATGGAAGCGTGATTTAATCTTTGTGTGTTGAATAATTATTATGATCAAATAATGGTTTTGAAACCCTTTCATTCCTTTGCCCAAAGAACATTACAAACATCTAAGCAAAACATTCCAAAGGTCTTAATTTTTTATCTCATGAGAAAATTTTCGGAATTTTATTTATTTATATGAGGACAAAAGAATTGAACCATAAACGCGAAAGTAATAATCACACGATTTCTTGGAGTAGATAAAACTGAAAGATTCTGAAAAAAATTTAAGCTTTAGCGAATATGAAATATTGTGATGTTAATTCGGTACAAATATCCATGAATCATCTGAACTTGGTTTTATGATATTTTAAATATTAACTTATTAGGATTTCAAATTGATCTGTGGTCGTTGAAATCATAAAACGATTCCTTGCATCAAGTCGTTAGAAAGTCATCTTAGCTAAGAAAAATAATCATAATTTAGATTTTAGTTTTGAATAGGTTTGATACCGTTTTTTTTCTAGCAATTGATTCTAAAATTGAATTCAAATAATCGATTAAAAAAATGCCAATTTAGTCTATAAAATTCTTTCTATGTATGCATACCTACATTCGATATCTACAGATTTATTTATTTTAGATTTTTTTGTTTTGGTTAAGCCTGATTTCTTCTGTAAGCTTCTTTCACTTTTCTTATTTGATGAAATCCGACAACGAAACAGAAATTTATACAAATTATTACTTTAAACAGGCATATAATCCCAATCATTAGCATGCTGCTTTATAGGCGTTCTAGTGATGAATCTTCTCAATTATCGTGATTATTGTTAGTCGAAGTGAGCTTGATGATTTTAATCCTTTCTAAAGTGTTCTTGAAATAGTAGTAAAATTCTCAGTGTGAATTAATTAAAACATTTCGACGGTTTATTAACTTAAATAAGTAGATATTTATTGTTATTAACATAATTTTCAAATATGTATCATTTAAAAACGATTTTGCCTTAAGACTCTAAACAAATTTGGTCATTGAAGTTATCAATATTGAAATTATCAAAAATGTGACTTATTTGGAGAAGAAATTTTAGAGTTTCGTTTTCTTCATTAATATTTATTGTCTTTTGCTTAAATCATCTAGAAAGAATTTCAGATCATTATTGAAAGGAGATATCTATACATATAAATTTAAAACATTTTTATTATATGCAAAGATAGCATAAAAGTCATGAATGACAAACATTCAAAATATAAAATTCAAATAGACATTTATTCAGTGATTGATGATGCTTGTACTGCAGAGGCTGTTAAAGGCTGTTTTTGAAAACACGTGCCAAACTTTTTGTCATACCGATATGCTGTGACTGCGATCGATCTGTTCATACACATCGAGACAAAGTCATAAAAGATCATTTTGAGATTGATGCATTTAATTTGGAATGCATCCATATGTTGCGCTTTTATTGTATCCTTTATTTGTTTTCTACACATAAATAAATATTATTTCCTTTCTTTCCGCACCATTTGACAATTGAACAAGAGTAGGAAGAAATAAAAGTAGGAGAATTTATTTAAATAATCTTCTAATTATAAATGTGAGGCGGCTAATGAGTGCGTGAAAAGGGAAGGATTTAAATAGAAAGCGTGTTAAGGTCGCATTTGTAAAATTAAATCCATTCATGAAGAGCAATATGTGACAGATAAGAAAATATTAACGACTTTTGGTCCATAATCTGTGAAACACTTTAACATAGATGAATTTATCACCTCATAATGGGGGATAATCCTAAAAGGGTAATGGCTTTGCTATCGTAAATCTATCACTATTTAAGTGTGCGTCAATTTGACGATGTGCCTTTTATGTTTCATGTATGTAAATGTAAACACTCTCAAATATTCACAACGAGAAAGAATTGCCTGTGGCCTGGGACCATTTCAAAAAGTTTTGGTTTGTAAGAAATTCCCAAAACATGCTTCGTTTCCTCACAATTGAAAAATTTCTCGGTTATTCGGGTGCGCTTAACGCTTCAACATTGTTGAGACATTCACAAGGCTTCTGTTGTATTTTTTTTTTCAAAGTAAACATAACATGAAAAAAGTTGAGATCAAAATATCAAATTTCAGACTGCGAACAAATTTTGTAGCATATATCATTAGCTTTGTAAATTAATCATGACCTCTTCAGTAATCGATTTTGACATCAGAAGTTTGTAATTTTAGTTTTAAAAAAGGGAAGCAATTTGTTTTATCGCTATCGAGTGTTGTTTGAAAAACACCGAAGTAATTAATCTCCCAAATTTTCTAAACCTAAGGATGATGCCAATGAAGGAGAAAGAAGGATGTATAGATTTCCCGCTTAATTGAAGACGACTTGCATCTGGTTGGAAGTAATTTGTCTTTGCCTAGCAATCGTTAAACTCTTTATGTATATTAAATATAGACAAAGCATTTTAAAAGTACTTTATACCTCAAGTCATTGGTGCGGCGATAAATTTACCAAAAATATGTTCAAGCTGTATGTTCTTTTCTAGAAGGAATAGATATTTAAGATAATACATTTCTCTTTCATCTCCTTTATTTATTGCTTCATGTTTTTGTTCAAAACAATCAATGTTTATATTAAACAATAACAAGTTCAAATTTCTTTAAATTTTGACTAGATGAACAAATATTTCTGAATTTATCATACTTGAGCACACTTAAATATGTACAACAAATCTTAGTCTTTAGCTTCTCATTTTCATTTGCGAGACAAAAAAGATTTTTTTGCGATCATGAGGACGCCACTCGATTCTAAATTTATAATGTTCCGAATGCTGTGGGAGTGCGTAAATTTATTGTGCAAACACTAATTGTGTTCACTTTAAAAAAGAGGCAAACGATCTCAAATGATCTTTACAAAGCGATAAGGTCTTTATACTTTCACTACCGGCAGTTTATATTTGGAGAAAATATTCTTGCCAAAAATCATTGTAAGATTTCAAACATTTCGTTTGGAATAATAAGAATCTTGTACACTTGTACTTGTGAACTTAAAAATTAATTTAAAGTATGACAGTTTTTAATAACTTGCTTGGATGCTAATAATAAAAGAGTGAAACGGTACAAAAATTTCTTCTAAAAACAATTTGTCGCAACTGATGAATGACTGATTCACAAAACCTCAAGTTGTTCTACTTTGCTATTTACCTTTTTGCTCGTTTTCGTGTACAATGCAAACCGTTCAATTTTTTTTCTTCTCACTCTATTAAAGGTCTGTGATGTGATTTCATTTTGGCCATATAATTCTAAGTTGTTTTTATATTAATTAAGTGAGGTGAACAAACTCATCTTAGGACGTGCAAAAAGATCTGAAATTGTTTGATTTAATTCATGATGGCCCAAATGTAGAAGCATGAAATAAATTTTACAAAACGCTAATAAAAGGCTAGCAAAAAATATTTAGGTTCTCCAGCTATTAGCATAAATTACAGTTGTGATATCTTTTTCTCAAATGATTCACATTTTGAAGCCTGTTAAATAAAAACCTGTTAAATGTTTGATTTAGATATGATCAGCCTTACTTTCCGTTTCTTTCTCTTTTTCTTTCCACAAGAACTTGCTGAAAGGTTGTGTTTATTAAACTTCTCAATGTTTATGATTAAGTATGTTTCAAAATGATGAAGCATTTGAAGAAAGTTTTATCTTTAATAAAGGGAATTGGATATTTTCTGGTTGATTAACACATTTCACAAGTAGCAAACTAAATATTTATTATATGCAAAAAGCTTCACATTCGTTTTTGCACATTTACTCTTCTTGAAACAGTTTCTTTTGTACAATTTAATTGTGGTCTAATGGAACAAAATGGGAACAAAATCTTTTTCATTTACTCAGGTTGTTTGAAGATTAATTAACACAACTTCAATACCTAATAAAGGCTTGTTTCTTTTGTTTTTCTTTTATATTTATAAACGGCAAAGTTTGTAAGTGGAAGTAGATATTTATTTATTTTTTTAGAAAAAATTAACAAATTTTAAACCACATTTCCCTTAAACACATTTAGATACATGGAATTTCAATTTTATTTATTATTAGTCATAAAGAATCTAAGCATAAAAATATGAATGAATATTTCCGGTCTGGAAGGAAAATGACCAAAAATTTTACTTCAATTGAAACCAACTTATCTGTGAAAGAATGAAAGGAAAAAGAAATCTTTTATCAAATTTGTGCCAAATTTAATTTTGCGTAACTCATTATTTATGATGCTTTTATTCCTTCTCATGTCTGAACGTAAATAAAATAAGCTTCGTTGAAATATTATTTTTCCGTTCCAAAGAAACTTTTCATGAAATATTATTTCACTGCTTTCTTAGAATATTTATTTTTAATTCATATTTGCTTTCGGTCTTAGCAATTCATAAATATAATTCTAAGATAATAATTAGCCACTTCCTTACGGAACTATAATTCTTAAATTTCCTTTTACTTTAGTGATGGAGAAGAAGAAATCATTTTTTAATGAAGATAATTTTTCAATATTTATCCTCTCAATTTTCATATTTAAGTAAAACTCATGACAACCGGTAGCAATTCATTCTTCTTAGCAAAAATATCTGTAACTAGTAAAGTCTGTAAAATGTCATCAAAATCTGTTCATAATAATAAATATGATGAGGGGAAGAAGTTAAATATTTAAATGATCGTTGAATTATTTCGTTAAATGTTATCATTAGTTTTAGAAAATAAACAGCAGAAAACATTGTATATTTAAGCTTCTGTAAAAATCGCATGCAAAGTCGTGACAGACACGCTAAGCACAAAAAGATCTAGATATGCACAAAAATTAAAAACAATCATTGATATTTTAAATTGTACAGAAAAGGTTGCCACGCGCTTCAAACATTCAATTTCCAAAAGCAGAACACATAAAAGGCGAAATAATTCCATTAACTCTGGTCTTCATTTTATCCAGCCTGACAATTCTGAAGAAAAAATTATTTAAGTGCAACATGACATGACATTGATTTGTTATTTTGCACCTCATTTAAAAAGGTTTGATTCAATTCATTACATATTTCTGGATAGCAAGTGGTTTGTTTGAAACGAATGGTTCTTCGATTTTTATTTCAAGTCTCTCTTTATTTATCTGAAGTGTAAATTTTTTAATGATTCTTATTTGTTTATATAAGGATAGATGGCATACCGAAAAAGAACCAAACACTGTTGGAGGTGCAAGGAAATTTATGAAAGGTTTAAAATAGAAAATTCCTAAATCTTTACCTGAACCAAATTAACAATTTATGTCGCCTATCGATGATTTCGATATCTTCATATGATCACCTAAAACAAGTTTCAAGATCGTTTGTGTTCAATATTCAAATTTCGATTTCCTTTTCTGTACTTACGTATTAAATTATTAATTTAGTTGCTTTAATCGAAAACAAAATCCAAAATTAATATTTTTAATTACTTCTAAGAATTGAAGATCACAAATGAATGGAATATTTTTGTTCTTATTATTATTTAGCTTACGTAGATGTATGCCGACTAATCATAAAATATAAAACGTTTTTCGAATTCTTACATCGCGATGCATTGGTGTCATATCTAAACGAATCGAATATCATTTGCATAAGTGCAAAATGCTAAAAAGTTCATGTAGATACTTTTACATTTTCTAATGTACCTTAACTTCATTTTAAATCTTTTTACGTTCTTTCCGTCTACAGTCACGCATTTCTTATTTATAATCAAACTGGTTGAAAAAGCACGAAAAATTCGAATTCGTAGCTGTCGATAGCCAATGAAATGAACATTTGTTACAATCTCTCAGCATGTTTTTTATAGCGTCAACTTGAGACGGTTGGAATCAAAATAACATTTATTCAGATATCTACTATGATAAATTCAAGAAAAGAAAAAATCTGAAATAACTTAAGCTTTGTAAATACTATGTGAGGTTTTTAAACTAATTCCAATCTATGATTATAGATTAATTTATGATAAGAATATTATTTCTAATATTTTTATTATAGGTATAGATGAAGCACTTCAAATGATGAAGAATTTCAGTTTCACTTATTTACTCGCTTTACTTTTTATTCTTTATTGAATAAATATTCAATTGTTTAATATCATTTGATCATTTTGTTTTGTGTCGTGTGCATGTGTTGATGAATTTCGTTTATTCCTTCAAGATGCAAGAATATTTTAAAAATAAAGTAACAAAAAATAAAAATGACAAATTTGCCGTTAATAATTCTTTTCATTTTCTTTTGAAGATCAAATCTTTATCCATACATAAATCATTTCCCTTTCTAGACCAGCCATGCTTACTCAGATATTCAAGTTCACAGATAAGTTATTATATTTCATCCATGATTTCATGTGACAAATGATTATGCTTCGCTCGAAAACAAATCGCTTAATTAAAACATAAATTAGAAAAATTAGTGAAAGATCTAGAACAAAAAAAAAGAAAGAAATATGCCTAGAAACTATTTGACATTGAAAAATTCATTCACACTGCTGGTATCATCTGTTAAACTTCAAGTAGATAGTTTTTTTCTGCTAAGGAAATGTGGAGAATATTTTCTATTTCGATGTCGAGAAATTTAGTCGATTATCACAACAAAAAAATTTATCTGACAAGTTTTGTCATGTGCGTAAATTGAAATTATGACTTAATAAAACTCTCATAAATTTGCCACAACTCTGAACTTTTCTTTATTTTCACACTGTGTGTCTACGTGCGAATTATTTCGTTTTGAAGTCTTCTTTTTAGATGAGAATATATATTGGAATACAAAGTCTGATTCTTATTAACCGATCATCGAAATTTTAAATGAAACATTTCTCAATTTGAAAAAGATTGATTTTTTCTTGGATCTGCAGTTCAGTTTCTGCAATAGAACTGCTAAATGCAATAAAATTCAAATAAATAATTCTCATAGAACAAACAAATAACCATTCATCATTGGATTTACGTGTTCACGGTCAAACAAATAACGTAAATATTTTGACAAGTTCAATGTGAACAGCATAGATGAAAATTTATATTTAAAGTCATGTGCCGATGATGGATAACTTTTATCGGGTACACTCCAAATTCGAAATGACTAAAGATTAGTTCGCACGCATTTATTTATCGTTCATTCAACTTTGTCTGATTTTTTTTTATTGGAGTTTTTATCACACTTTTGTTTCATTGAATTCGTAGACAAATAATCAAAAAATTATCTTATAAATAAAGCATCTGCCTCAATACATTGTTGCGTATCGTTAACTCTTAACAATCGTAAACACTTGCGTAAATATATTTTTTATTGCTTTTTTTTTGTTTCATTAGAAACCATCATAAAAATAAGAAAAAAATTGAGCACAAATTTTATTTTAATTCTCTAAATCCAAAGAAAATTTTCAAAACTCGAACTTGAATTTAATTTCTTAATCTTTGATCTCCATAAGTCGGTGTCTCTCATAAGGTGTAACATTTACATTTAAAATTATTCCTAATGATAAATTTCTGCGAATATCAAACAAAAACTTACATAAATTCTTCTTTAGTTTTTAAACACTCTATAAAATTGATTATGATAATTAATTCAGATCCCACGTATCTTGCCAAAAATCCCTAATCAAGAAAGATTGAAAAGGTTAATAATGTGCTACATAGTAAGAATTTTTGTGGATATTTTTTTGTTTGAAATTGATAATAAACAAAATTTATGGGGTAGGAGAAATGGTAAATCAAACTTCTGTCCATGTTGCTGAATGTTCATTAAATAATTTATTGGAATGGATCGAAATTTTGATAAAATGTCATCACAAATTATAAGAAAGAAAATTATTCAAAGTGTCATGGTCATGACTTGTGACAGTTCAACATCAAGTAAAATTTCATAAAAATAATGTTTTAATTAAAATTGACATTTATCAATTGTCAACCATGCACAATGTCTGCCACTTTAGAAAGGAATAACTTTTACAAAAATCTTGTGACAATCTTCGTCACCGTAAAAAGAAATTGTCGAGACAATAAGAAGAATTGATATTTCATGTTTTGTTATCAACAGTTTCTATTTAGGAAGACTACCTAGTTTTATGTATTTAAGTGGCGATAACTTTGATTTCCTTACGATCGGGCCATTAATTTTCACGCACTTCTTTAACACACTTCATAAGTTTTTATTGTAAAGTTAACCAGACATCGATAAAAATTATGAAGCATGTAAATATTTTCTTTTATGCAAATTGAAATATTTTCAAATTTTATTTATTTCAATTCGGTTCCATTATAGAAACAATAAAATAAATTGTCCACAGTGACCATGCCTATAAATATATTTTTTTCGCATAATAAAATAATTAAAATTAATTAAATCAACATCGAACGAATCGACATCGGTTGTAAATCTACCTTTTTCGTCTATCGATATAATCGCTTTTTCTGCAACATTCTATGGAAACAAATAAATATTTTGAATCAAGTGTGGCTAATTTCTAGAAACTTTGACCAGTTCAAAAACCCCGTTAGAGTTTAAAAGCACTTCAAACCTAATACAAATTAACACTTAAGCCACTTAAAGAAACATAGTGATATTCATCTGACTTTATTAAGTCCCAAATGTGCGATTAATAATGACAAGCATTGACAAAGTCAAGGCTGAGCAATAACAACTATTCGTCTGGATTAGCGAAGTTGTCATACCATCTGTGATGAGAGAATTTGCAGAAAGAAAAGAGATTTTATTAATTCTTTCACAGTTTTCATCTGAAATAGATGTACAAAAATTTCTGCATACATTAATATTCTAATCTAGCATTTTTTATCGTTTGGTGGTACTTAAACCCAATAACATAAAATTTATTAAATTGGGAAGAGAAACGAAACTTATAATGGTTAATTTGCATTCCCGTTGAACTTCGTCGTGTGGTCGTTTTTAAAAAATTTTCTGATCAATTTTTAATAATTTTTTTGCAACGACTTTATTGACTCCTTTCACTGAATTCATTTAAAACATTTGATGCAAATTCGATGACTCATACATGCTATAGTCGTAATTGTCAATGATATCGAGATAAAATAAAATTTAATTTATTTAATTAGTATTCTTGCTTTGAAAGGGGTCAGCATTTTGTTGAACCGTGTTCATGCAAAAAAAAATCCGATTGATATACATCGTAAAAAGAAGTCGATGTACAAAAGAGATTCAAGGGAGAATGGTTGGGTTTTGGGAACAGATATAATAAAATATAAAATTGATGAAGCACAAACCGAAAAAAGTGATTTTTTGAATGAAATGAGTTGAATAACCTCAGCTTGCATTTGTGACCAAAGCAAATTTATCTTGATAACGGATCCAACATTTAAAAGGAGGTTCGTAATGGCTATGCTCAGTTTCTTTTTGCTAAGATTTGAATTTAAATACATTTGCATAAATTGGACTTAAAAGCATTTGAGTTAAAACCTCCAATGACACGCGTATTCAAAGTCAGCAGAGAGTAACTTTCATTTCTAAGCAAAGGACATAAAAGTAATCTCCTACTAATGTAAGAATCAGCTAACAACTAAGTTCTTTTTCAATTCCTAATGGAAAAACAAAGGTAAAATAAATGGAAGTCAATTACCTCAAGTTGATAGAAATCTATTAAGCTAAAAAACTGCAAATTGGTTGTAATAGAAAATTTTAAGATTAATTTTGAGAGATTTTTTTAACAAGTGAAAAGTGATGACTCAATTAAAGAAGAATAGAGAAAAAAATATAACTTGATTAGTGTTTAGAATTCTTCGATTGTTGACTTTTCTCATGTTATTGTGATATTCTCAATTAGATAAATTTTTCCAATTTACAGAATTTTTTAAAGACCATCAAGATTGGCTGTATAAGACCTTTATTCAAAAAAAAACCAAACGTTTAATGACTAGCCTGAATCGCGATCATGTATAAAAGACACAATCATTCTATTCAAATCATTATTGATCGCTGCTAAAGTTCAATGCACCAAAATGACTGATGATGATTATTGAATTACGCAAAGAAATAAAAATAAATCAGGAAAGGAACAAAGTCAGGCGTTGTTCTTCTATTAGAAGTGCGTGTTGCGATCATTATCATCCAAGTGAGAAAAAGGCACAAAACTCACACCTTCGACAGTAATTTCAACTACTTACATACAATCTCACGCACTGCAAACTTCTTTACTAATACTTGAGCAATGAAAGATTTCTTTGATGACGAATTTTCTTTTCATACTTGTTCGCTATCGCTTTTTGTAGTTTCTAGCTGCGGGGAATATTTTTGATGACGTTTATGAACTGAAACATCTCACGTGATTAGCTTTTGAAAATTCTTTAATATGATAATCGAAATATATTTTTTTCGAGAAACAGCAACGGAAATTTTTGGAGAAAACCATAAGATTGTATTAATATTTAGAGATAATATTTGTTGATTTATGATTTGCGGTTTAAAGAGATGTGTCGAAAAGTATGCAAATTTGAGAGTGGAGAAAACAGGAGAAATGAGTTTTTTTTCCTTTCATTCGTTTAAGATTGTTCTGACCTGGTTCATTCACCTTGAACTCGTTTCATTAAATTTGCAAGAAATTAGTTCTTTTACAGTTGAATGGTTTATTTATCTTTCAGGTGTGAGCGGAATAAATCTCTTTTACAAATGCAACAAATTAAAAGTTTTTTGTTTAATCTTTTTAAATTTGGTGGAACAACTGTTGGGAACCGGAATGTATTGAACATGTTTCGAAGAATCAGGATTAATTTTTACACATTTTTATGAATCGAAATAACTTTCATATTTAAGCTTGTGTATTGGACGTATGTAGCATTTCCATCCCTGGTTTAATGCTGACGCATGACTGTAATAAAATCAAACTTCCTTATGTTTAAAAAAGTTGAAAGCTAAGAAAGTGAGGTCGACAGTAAAATTTTGTTTCTTAAGGTTTTTTTTCCTTTCTTCGTTTAATTAAAATTTTGCCAGGGTTCTGGAAGGAAACTTGAAGGCAATTTCTGCTGACTGAAAGATTAAATTTTGTGAGTAAATAAAGATGAATGATTTAATATTTTCTATAAATAAATATTTGGTTAAGTTGTTAGAAAGCAACCGGTATTCTGATATTCAAAAGCCCTGTTTATGGCAACACAAGTCTGCCTCATAAACGTAAACTTAAATTGCGAATGTTCACAACGTCATGTCTTTTAAAAATTTCTTCTTATTTTTTTCTCTTGATTTTAAATCTTTGAATGAAACCGGTCAATTAAAAGATTCTGTTAAATTTTCGATTCGTTAAGGAAGTTACTTTTTTATTAATGAAGAGATAATAACACCACTTAGTCAGAACGTAAATCGAAAACAACAAACATGTTAGTCTTTCATATTGTCAAGTTTGATGACGGAAAAATTTGGCGTACGTGTGAAACCTCATGTTGCTTATAAAGCATAAATAATCTCATCCGCAAAAACTTTAAAAGAATGAAATTGACAGAAGAAACGGTCGATTCTTCTAATAAATTCAAACATTCTTACTTAGATAGCAATTAAAATTTTGTAACCTGATCCACTAGATATTTAGTAAAATATGAGTCTATGAGTCCATTTTTAGTCATTAGTGTCTATAAAGTTCTTTTTATTTCACATTTTTAAAAAATGGGTAGAAGTTTCTATGATATAAGAATATCGTCTGGAGACATGGAAGAAGCAAAATTTTAGTAGATTTGTTTCCAAGGATTTTATTTTGCTAAATCTATGATCGCCAACTCACGAAAAACAAATATTTCTGTACAATAAAGTCAAACAAGCGGATAAAGAATGAATATCTACGAATAAATTTTTTTTCACAATTAATTTTAAATTTATTTCATTCCAAGCCAATGCTACAAATTAAAATTTTGTTTCTAGTAAATTTTAACCAGAAAACAATTTTTATAGAATGACTAGGCATCTTTCAATGTGTTTACATATAAACTCAATGTTAAGTGAATCTCAGAGTCAAATTTCAATTACAATTTCATTTTAAATTAAGCCAGCTTTCATTAAATGCTATTAGAGAATTTCATGTTTCATTTTTTTATTTTTCATTGAAACCGAAAGGTAAAAAAGTTATTTATTATTAAACAGAGAACTTATTTCATCATCTTTCTTTCCTCAAAAATTATTTCATTTTAATAACTAAGAAATAGTCAGATTAGATCATATTATTAATCTCAGTTTCAATTCTTTTTCTTTTACATTATCTTCAAAAGTAAAAAATACTTTCCAAATTTCACTTATTCTAAAAGTCTTAAATAGGAAGGAAAATGAAGCAAAACTTACAGCTTGAAAGAGATGTTCAAGATCTTACAATCACATTTTTATTCCAATGCATATAAAAATATTATGGCACTATAAGTATACGTTGGAACAATCTTAGCTTTCGGCATTTCGTTGACGTTAAGCTTCAAGATTTCAATTTCGTATAAAACATTTCATTTCTTGAATTGTTTCAATTAATTTTTCAATATCTTTGGAATAAATGTTCAGATAAGCAATAAGACTTGCTAATCTTACCTGAGTACATCATGACGTAAAGTTGTGAGTTCTAAAAAAAGCCTTTGAGAAGACTTTAATATTTATTTAAAAATGATTTTAAGAATATTTTATTTTTTTGCTTTAAAATTCGAAGGTGTAATTGCTTGAGGTAAGTATCAAATGCTGTATTGAATCACATGTCAATGATTCCTTTATAATATATTTATGATATCTAAGGAAACAAATAATGTGAGCATAGATAAAGAGTCAAAGATTGTATGCTGGTTATCAATATTAGTTGCTAGTTGTTGTAATCATCAATCATATGATCATCAATAAGGTTAATTGAGTGGCCAGCTGCAGATAAATTCACATCATCATAATCTTCATCCTCAAGCTCGTCAGATGTAAATGCTTCATCTTTATCAACATCCTGATCGATGTCGTCAGGTGTTGAAGTTGTCGTTGTTGATTTTGTTGAAGTTTTGGTTAGTTTCTTTCTTGATTTTGGCTTGTGATTGCTATTACTATTACTACTTGAACTGAATTTTATTTGATTATTCTTCTTGATAAACGGAGGCTTCTTCCTATTTCCCTTTTGAGAACCACAGTCATCGTTCGTTATACATTTTCTTTGATGTTGATTTTGATTTCCACTTGTTGATTTTCTTTTATTATTAAAAATATTAATACTATTGTTGGGTTTTGTATTGTTATGATATTGGCTTATACTGGAACTTGTTTCTTTTAAGCATTCAACCCCTTCAGGTTCGTCAATTCGACATTTACGTTTTCTCTTTTTCTTTCTATTTGGTTTTACTGAGCTATTGCATTTTGGTTTTGCTTTTAATCCTTTCGCAATAATATTTTGGAGAACATTACCCGTGTCGCATAACTGTTTCAGTCCATGTTTCACACGATTTGGTCCAAATAGACGAGCGATCAAAGCTTCTACTTGTGCTTGAGCAACTGTTTTTGTTAAAGTTTTTGTGTAAATTGAAAGTTTTCCAAGCGGACGGGTAGCTGGGAGTTGAATTTTTCGTGGCTGTCCATGGCGATTCAGACCAAGGTAAAGTTTACGTTTAGCATTAGAATGATATGTTGATGAGTATGTGTTATAATGATGCTGTTCCATAGATTCATTGAAGACGCAATCATCAGTAAACTCCGCCTACACAATAAGAAAAGAAAGAAAAAAAACAATAAAAAACCCACATAAACTTTGTTTTTTGAATAATTGTTTGAGAAATTGTTTGAAACTCACAGATCCATAGATTGCTCCGCAGGAATTCATGCATAAATATAAACAAGTAGCAACTCCTTGTATTTTTATTTGACCGACATTAACAGTTGTACGTTGTAAAATTGCTACAATGATGAAGAAGAAAAATAAAATTTAAGATTAGTCATTCATAATGTTAACATGGATGTTAAATCCAATCCCACATTTGAACAAAAATCACGAATAATAACTTGTCATCTAATTGAGAATGAAGCGTTCAAACAAGTTTAAAAGTTTCATGTAAAGTGATGACAAAAAAACGATAAAATTTAATTATCTATTTAAGTTCGCTTCTTAATAAGTCTACAAATTAAAGTTATTGCACAATGGGCTATTAACATGTGTTATATTTACGTAAATGTTTATTCAGCAATACCACAATCTTTGAAGTTATGGTGATTTGTGGTCGCCCCTTAAATGAATATTAAAAAGTTCTTAAATTACTTTAAGGAAGCGATTTTTCGAAAAGGATAATTTAGTGGACTTGATACTTGTGATAAATACAGGGCTTGATTTCCGAAAACTTTTAATATATGACATTTAATTAAGTAGTTTAGTAAATTATACCTTGTAATATGTGAAAATTACATGTAATTAGTCGATACAAATTTATGTTAAATTCTCATAAAACATGATATAATCGTTAAAGTGTCGTATACCTGCTTGAAACAGAAGCATATATTAATCAGTTATTGAGTTGCTTGCAACTTGCAACACGTTGTAACATAATAACAGCAATTTATAATCAAATATACCTTGCAGGTCAAAAATATATCATGAGCGGTTAAATTTATTTCCATAAAAGTTCATGAAATTCTTTATATATGACATTGAGAAAAATATCACAAAAAGTAAAAGTGTTTGAAGGCAAATAATCTGAATTTCAAATAAAATGAAATGAGAATGGAGCGAGAAGTGCAAATATTTGGTTTAAAATTGGCAAGTCAGTGACTTCGTATTATTCTTTGGATTTTTCACCTACAATTGAGATATTTTATGAGCGACTTTAAATTCTTTTATCTTCATTTAAGATAAAATGACAACAGAGTTGAAAATTCATTTTCCAGATTAAATTATTTTCATTTCCTACAAACATTTAAAAAGAATTTCAATTCTCTGAATATTAATCGAAAATTTGGAATTCAAAATTTAGTTTTATCACTGAACTGAAAGTATCTGATTTTTAATGCGAAAATCTCTTCAAGAAGATTCTTGAGATTAAATGAATAATTTAAATTATTTTTATGATCTTCACGAAACTCGTTTTCAATAATTATTTGTGCGACTTTCAAAATTTTAAGAATACCGTGAGGGAAAAAAATGCAAACTTTAAAGAGATTCGAATAAAAAGGAAAGTTAGTATGTTGGCATCATATGTATGTCTGATTGTTAGTTAATAACATAACTGCAAAGCATTTTAAAGAAGAATGCATGCCCACAGACATTAATAAATAACTAACTAAAAAATTATTGAACTAAACTGCAAAATATTAACTACCGCTAATATAAATATGACAGATGTAAATACGAATGAAGATAAAATTAAATGTATCATGTATCATATATCATAAAAGGAAGAAACGAGGAAAAGAATTAAAAAAGCAACAATGAAGATATCAAATTAAACTAACCAAAAAATAAATGAATGGCTTTTATCATAACGTTATGTCAGAACATAATAAATTTTAAATATGCATGTATGTACATAAAGATACATTGAGGGTATTCACGACATGTTTTAATCCAAAGGATATTTTTTAATGTATTGAAGTGAAACTGTCATAACTGATAAAATTTACATGGATGAAAATTTCAATTGAACAACAATAGAAATAAATCACATTTGATTGGGTACAACTAGTAATAGCTCCCAATAACTGTGCCACAATTTCGTCTTTGTCACACTTATTGTTTGAAATTGATTGCAATGCAGTTTGATGCGAATATAGAAAAATAAATGAAAAGAGGGGACAATGACACGAGAACCAAAACGAATCGGAAGTAATAATTTATATATTAAGTGGATTAGAATATTCGCATTATTCAAGCGCATTACTTTTATTATATTTCAACTCTACAAGTGACTGACTAGCCTGTTTGGCCGTTCAAATATTCGTTAACGATTTAAGGAATGCTTAGTCAATCGAAAGATGAAGATGTAAAGGAAGTTTATCATGGGGAGATATGTAAAAGAAAAAGTCATGAAACGTAATTGTGTACATATTTTTCATTCCAATGTGTAGCCCTGAAACAAGATCGACGATGAATGAAGCTGCAAGTACACTTTCTTAAGAGTATTCTTTATTTTAAGAATAAACATTAAATATGTTTACGCTTCATGAGAATTGCGTAAAGAGAAATAACATTCTTTTTTAGCCTATGGGGAATCCCATTGTTTATTTTATAATCATGACTGTAGTGAGAGAAGAAAAGAGTTTTCACTCACTAAAATTAACAACAGATTATAACGATGTAAGTTGTAACAAACGTGTTCGCTCCATTTTTATTCCCCATTCCAAAACATTACGAGTTTGATTCATGATAATGTTTTCAAAATGAATTAGAATCATGCTGTGAAATTACTCGAATTTTATCAAAAAATTTGTTTTAAGAGCTCAAGATGAATCAAATTAAAGGTATGCAAATGACGATATCGTTAATTGATTGCTTTCCATCTTATCAATGATGATAATTTGAAACATCGTGAACTAAAACATTTTGTGACTGAGAAGAATTTGCATGAAGTTTCTACCTTATTCATGACTGTTTTTAGAAATAATTAAGTCCACATGTGATGCTATTGGCAATAATTTAGAAGGAGAATAGCATTATCAATTGACAAAGCAGGTTCCATTTCTCGGTCATTAAATTGAATGTTTAAATCTATGACACTTTTGAGAGTCTATTAAAACTACCTATTTAAAGAATATTCAAATCTTTATCGATCTCATCTATTTTGTCTTGATGAAGTTTTCAAATTTTTAACCAGCTCGAAGGAGAGTTCTCGGCGACTGTTAAAATCTTGACTTTATTACTTTTTTTCTAGCAAATTCTTTTTTTTTTGCGGTTGATAGCTTTTTTTTATTAAAACATGGCCTAGGGGTCTTTTCACTAAATTATTTTACGCGTTTGATTTTTACGACTCGTTAAGTTCATGTACAAATTGCGTTTGAAATACATTTCGCACAATAACATTTGGTAAAAAGGTTGATGACTTCTAATTGAAGTGAATTATTTAAGAAATAAAAGTCTTTACGTTAAACGATGCTCAAAAATATAAAATTTTGAAACGAAAAAATCACAGCTGACTCAATTTAAACTGAGACACTCAGAGAAACATCTTAACTTATTTATATGCTTGCATATTTCTCCTTTTCATTATGCAAATAAAGAAGAGTTGCCAACGAATTTCTTAAAATCTGTTGCTGTTCGGAATCAAATGGCTTGAATCTCTTAAAAAATTTTTGCATTCCTTTTGCGTAATCTAAATGGAAAAGAAAGTCATGAATGGAATAAAAGAGATTGGTTTGACTTTAAAAATGTTCTAAATTTTATGAATAGATTTGCAAATAAGAGAGACACCAACTTGTTACTTCATTATTCTAAAATTAGAAGAACAAAAACGTTGAGAAAACTAAACAACACGAGACGTCTAATTTTTTTTACTTCTCTGTCTGATTAAACGACGAGACGAATTAAGTATTAATTGGAGCATGTAAAAGCATCATCATCATTATCATCATATGATCGATAGCATCAGAATGATAGAATTAGGCATAAACAAACAAATGAGTTTCGCATTTCAGATATGCATCTAATAATTTTCAACACATTTAGCCCCAAGAAATTTTCTGTTAAATTTGCATCTTGCAACGATTTGTATCGCAGAAAACACGTTTAATAAAGATGTTGTCCCAACAATATCGAAAAGAAAACAATGCATTACCGAAAAGAAAACTTACAAAAAATATCCGCTTGCTGCTTGAGCTTTAATGGGAAAATATGAGGCAATAACAGCAGAAATTTTCGGCAACAAGAAAAAACCAAATTTTTGATTTTTTCGTGCCATCCTTTATGAAGAAAAAGAGTTATTAAAATATCTTGAAGCTGCTGCCTTTTCAAAATTAAAATATATTTATGTAAATAACCTCTTTGATAACAGAAACCATCGTGATAATTAAATTATTTAAACGATGCTTTCATCTCGAAACTTCAGAAAGATTGAAGATTCTTGTGTCGTTCATTCTTTTTTATAGTTTTCTTTTATATAATTGAATATTTATCGACAAATCTAAATACTATCCAAGTTTACAAATCGTCCTTAAATTATGTCTTAATTTATTTTGAATGTGGGAAATTTATTTTAATTTTATTTGTTCACGAGCACATAAAATTCTATCGAAATAAACAAAAATAATCACGAAACTTACTAAAGTCACTCATGTCATCCGTTGTTCCATTGACTGTACCATCGGCCAATAACTGCAAGAAACGATTTTTTATATACAGCTGAATTTTTCGTGCACTTCCAGAAATATGAGACAAGTTTGCTGATCTCTCGTTTCTGTCCAACGTTGACAATTTTTCTTTGTTATTTTTAACCCGCTTCGCTCCACTTACACTATTGTTTCTATTATTTGAACTATTTAGGTGAACACTGCGATTAGTTCGAGACAATATTTGATTACTTGACTCAGGTTTACTTTTATTTTTAAGATAAAACAACTCGTAAACACTCGTGGTCATCGTTTCGGAATTTGTCAAAAAAGTTTCTGCAACATTTTCGATTAGCGTTTGTTGATTGAGACTCAAATTATTACTGTACATATTTTCATTACCATTATCTTTTATTGTCCCTTTATCATTGTCATAAGTGGCTTTCAGATTGTTTTCACCACTGTTTAAGAAGTTCACTATCTCACGTTTTCTATCCACTTTATCACTGACTCCAGTGATTTTTAAAAATTCTTCATAATTCTGATGTTCTATCGATGAGATTGATTCGTGCTCGTCATTCTTTTGATTCAGTATTCTTGATCGTTGACTATTGGTGTTTGGTGTGTTCATTAAAAGACGTCCTGTAGGTCTTGCAGAACAACAATAAATTGGCCACAAGAAGAAGAAAAGAATGAGGGCACCCAGCAAAGCTAGGGCCCTCAAATGATAACACTTTGTCATGGACGTCACCGCTTGCATGAAGCAATTACTTTAGAAAACTTTATGTGATCATTAAAAACCTTTTATTTAAATGATAAACCTTTAATTTTTCACGTGTCTTAATGATGTGGTTATAAAAATTCCTCCAAATGAAAACATTTTCCATCATTTTCTCTCTCGTCTATCAAAACGCACAACATATATGTTTCCTTCTAATTATTGGCAATGAGTCTATGCGATATATTAGCATTTGAAATATCTTTTGTCATTTATGTGCCAGATTTAATTTTGCACTTCAATTTTTCTTTTCGCCTATGATGCTGCTCTCAAAATTAACTTTCTTCTCCTGGGTTGAATGAATTTTTTGCTGCGTTAAGTTTTCTTTTTGTAGATATTTATTTAAAGTAAATTTTTCTCCTTAGAATAAATCTTTTACTTGCTTTCACTTAGGTCGTAAATCGTCCTAAATAAAGTTTCAAGACAATAACTATTCTCGTTTGTATGAGTTTTGTAATTATTTAAGTTTTGAATATTATTTACTGTTGCTTCTTTTTATTTTTACTTTTATTTCTTTTTGCTAATCGCACACGCAAATTAATCAAGTATTTTGAGTGATTTTATTACACTTGCAAAATATTTACAGACTAGAGCAATTCATTAAATAGATAGATAGACAATCAAAGTTGTGACCACTTTTCTCTTAAAATGTGAACACACAAGAAAAAAAATCACGACGACTTTAATGACATGTATCGTTTTAGATAAATGATTTACATAACAACTTTAGTAATTATATTCGTGCGTTTTCACTTTCTTTTATTTTTATTGTCTGTAGAACTTTCTTACGGGCTGCAAAATTTAAGAAGATGCCACAACTTTTTTCTTAATTTTTTCTTCGAGTCTATTTCACTTTATAAATCAATAAGAAAATTAAACATTTCTTTAGTCACTTTTTTATCTTTTAATTATTTCCGGGTTTCCGTTGCGTTGGTAGCGTTGATTTTGGTTGCACGACAATTATTATTTTTTTAAGAAAATATTTAATTCTTTTGATCTGGCGATTTTAATCGCACTTTATTGAATAATTATTTTCAATAATTTTACTTTATTTTATGCCGCACGTCTTTGGCAGCACCCAATTTCTCAAACACATGCGTTCAACTCGGTATATTGATAATAACTGACTGAACAGTGTGGATTAAATTTTCTTCGGCTTTTCGGCTTTCGTTCGAGTCTCTCGCTGGGCGTATGTTCGAATTCGTGAAGAACTTCGTTTCAAATGAAAATGAAAGCATGATGCAGTGTTCATTCTTCTGTTCTTAGTTAGTGCATTAAGATCGCAGAAGTATGTTTGTTCGTATGCTTTTTCTTTCTTCTCTATCGCATAATGTTACTAATTCGTGTGATTCGATTAATTTTTCTTTTCCTTAAGAATTTTTTTTTATCCTCACTGGAAGAAGGAGAAATAAAAAATTAAATGTTTCCTTAATTTAGTCAGTTGATTACAGAGAATTACTTTGTGTTAATCTGTCAAGTAAATGTTTCTTCTTTTATTGAGAAGAAGAAAGAACACGTAAAATTTTTTTGTAGGGAATCTCGTTTAATGACGACGAATGGGAATAAGAAAAACAAGTAGATTTTTATAAAGATATTTATCCAGTCATATATTATCCACTGAATTCATTCAACATCCACCGAAAAGGTGGAAAGAAAAACAAGTTGAGCGCTTCTGAAATAAATCATTGGAGTTACAGAATTTGAAGTAATTTCACATTCAACAAGAAGTGTAATGAAAAAATGCATTAAATAATTTACCATTTCACCTTTAGCTATTTTGCCCAAATATTAAGATCTGAACAAGATATTTATTGCTTGAACATTTAAATTCGTGTTCATTGGTGTGATATATGATGATGCATTCGCAAGATGTTTGCAAATTTTGAAACTCGATATAATCGTGTTTTATTAAAAAGCGAAATTTTAGCGAATTTACACGATTTTTAATTTTTTTCGGGGATGGTCTTAAAGCAATGATGGTCAGTCTAACCATGACCAATATATAAATAATACAGGAATGGGCGTTGTTGATGCATAACACGATTAATGACCATAATATGTATAATAACCGCGTTATTTCTAATCAAAATAAAAAAATAAAAAGAAATTTCTGTTCCGATTCAATGCTTGAGAAACGAACTAAATAACTAATAACTCAATTTATTTTGACTTCTCGCGAACGATCATTAGAGTGTCTTAATTAATTACTTAATTTAAGTCAATCGTTCCGAACCCTTTAGTTTTAGGAAGTTTATGACGCTCGACAACTTTTTGAATATCTCAACTTCTTCACTAAATTTTCGATAGAAAACACAACACAGATTTTTATCCAAATCTGTGAAACTATAAATTATTGATCGCCGAAAAAAGCAATTCATTAAGTTTCGACACTAAAATGGTTCAATATCCAAACTGTTGTAAATAACTTTTATTTCATTTTTCGTGTTGATTATTTATTTGAGACTCACAAAACAAAGTTTGCATTGATAAATTTATGTGTCGACGATACATGTTCTTCAAATGAAATTAAAATTGATACTTCGGTAACTTCAAGAGCTCGATCCATGACTTTTGTTTCAGTCTGTCGAACGTTTTAGATTACGCAGTGTCAGAATGAAACCTCCCGATTTTTGCTAAGCTTGTATGGGCGTAAAGGTATGTAAATAAGCAGAGAATATTAAAGAATTTTAATCTATTTTTACCTTTTATGATAGAATGCAAACTTTTTATTTTAAATGATTTGAAATCAAAATATTTTTCACAATTTTATTCATTATCGAATCTAAATAAATGCATCAGACATGCTGCGAAGCGATTTTTTCAATCGACGCTGGCGCATATTATGGACACCTGTGGCGTTAATATGAAGGTTTGATGGCTTTTTTGATTGTTTTTTATTAAATCGATCTAAAATTTTATTTTTAAAGAATTGGCGATGACACTGTTAGTGGCTTCATTTAAAATTAATTTTTCACTTTTCGCTTGTTAATTTCCAAGAAATTCAATACTTAATCTTGTACACCCGGATAAAGAATTTATTACCTTCATTAGTGACTTCTTCATGAACGATTGAATTAAGATCACCACCGACTTAGTTGTGTTTTTATTAATTAGGTATCTAGGTAGATATCTTCATATTTATAAAAGGAGATATCAAGAGAAGATTTTTCTGAAAACAAGTCAATTAAGATGGTGAAATAAATCATAAATAATAAATAAAGATTAGAAAATTTGAAAAAAATAAATTCTTGCAGAACGATTGCAGATCATATTTTCCGAATAAGATTTCAAACGTATTAAAAAATTGCACAATAAAAATAAGATGTTTTAACGGCTGAATAGTATTTGAAAATTTTATACGATTTCTCTGCGTTTCACAATAAATACCTATAAAATCGCGTCTGTCGGAAAGTCAAAACACTGAACAAACATATATCTTAAAAACTTCAAATATGAAAAGAAATTTGATAACATTCTCAGTTTTACAATAATTTATTAATAACACTTTGTTAAATTTCTTTTTAAAGAAGGATGTCAGGAAGATAAAACCAAAAAACAAATCAATTCTTTTTTTGTTTACACATTTTATACCAAAGCTTTTCATGAATTCGCATTACAAAGCATTGCAACTTGAGTTTTCTACCAAAATTTCTTCAGGAGAAAATATGAAAATATGTCTGGAACAATTTTGAGAAATTTGATTTCTGTAAGAAGATCTGTTATCAATCTAGGTTCCAGACATGTTTCCTCAAATAGCAATAGCTTTGGAGGCTACCGATCAAACATTTATAAGTGGTACTGGTTGTTTAGTGGAACGGGAATTGCAATTGGATATTTTGCCTTAAAAAGTCTTAAGAGCCAAAATCAAATTTATGCCCTTCAGCAGCGTAAGGTAAGTTTATATTTTCCCTTATTTTTCTTATTATATTTTTTCAAAATATTATACTTTTCATTAAAGGATGAGTTGGCAGAAAAGGCTATAAAATTAACAGCACGAGAGAAACGTTTCATAAAATTTGCATCTGTGGAATTCGATGGTCAAATTTACTGTATGGAAACATAAATTGCGCAATTTCATCATTTCAAAAGATTATAGAGTTTTATTTTTTTTCTGTTTATAGGCACACCACAAGATTTCATAGAGTCGGTAGTTGAACAAGAACCACGTCCGAGATTAAAAAGAAAAGTTTTAACAGCTCAAGAAATTCAACAGCTGAAGGAAATTACGCCACCTCTAAAGCATGGATCTCCAATGCTTTTTAGAAAACTTCGTGACAATGGAATTATCAGCTACACAGAATATTTATTCTTACTCAGCGTATTGACAAGTAATTATCGTCAGATTTATAATTATGCACATGCTGTTTATGACGCAATGATCTTTCAGAACCACAATCGGGCTTCAAAATTGCTTTTAATATGTTTGACACTGATGGTAATCAAAGAGTTGACAAATCCGAGTTTCTTGTGGTAAGTTTTTCATTTGCATAAACTTTCTTCTCTGACATTCAAAAGTATAAAAATTAAATTTATAAATCAAAAAAAATATTTTTCTTCGTAAAAAGAACTTTAAATTTCTTATCAACATCTTCAGACGACATTGAATATTTTCTATTATTTCTACGGAAACATAGATTCGACAACTTTTAGGTGGGAGTTTAAAGAATCGTGAGGTCGACGATGATTCAAAAGAAGCTGTGAGATTTGGTTTTATTGCTGATTTTATAAATTTGTTTTCGTTGTTTATATTAAAAGTTTTTAAAGCTTTCCTTCCTAAAGCAAATAAAATGTCTTTAAGCGTGATTTTTTATTATCAAAACAAAAACTTGATGTCTATCAAATTTATGGACAATATTTGAAATGATATCAAGAAATATTATTCTATTGGGTGTAAAGTTTTATTTTGATTTGAACTTGTGTGTTCCAGAAAACAGTAAAATTGAAAAAATAAATATAATTTTATTAACTTTTCGGTTTCTGTCTCAACAGCTACTTGCATTGCTGTCGACCTCAGCACAGGCCAAATTTTTATTACGCTCTCATGAGCGATCCAAGTTAGAAAATGATGACGGTGATAAAAAAGCTGAAACAAAAAAAAATCGCGGTTTTGTAAGTGCGAATTACGAATATTGAATGAATATCGTCCTTAACTGTTTGGTGGAGAATGTTTGTTTCGCAACTATAATTAATACTAACATTCGTGAATAGTTTTGAATAGTTACATAGTGATATTGTCGTCGCTAATAATTTTTCCGCTTTTTTCATGCTGATTTCAATTTTTTCTTTTATTTTACTTTATACTTAAATAAACTTGAATGCATTTCAGATGGAAAAAATTTTCAGTTTCGCATGGAAAGGGAAACGTGGCTTGGATACAGAAGTGCAAGAAGGATCTGACGATCATTATGTAGATGATGAGCAAGGTCTTCAACGTAAACATAAAGTTGATACAACACTCCAAATTCATTTCTTTGGAAAAAAGGGCAACAAAGATCTTGAGTTCGATGGATTTTATAAATTCATGAAAAATCTGCAGACAGAAGTCCTTGAACTTGAGTTCCATGAATTCTCAAAAGGTCATGAAAAAATCTCAGAGGTTGATTTTGCTAAGATTTTACTTCGTTACACTTACTTGGATACAGACGACTATGACAATTATTTGGATCGTTTGTTAGACAGAGAAGCCAAGGAAAAGGGTGTTTCATTTGAAGAGTTTCGTCAGTTTTGTCAGTTCTTAAATAATCTTGAAGATTTTTCTATTGCTATGAGAATGTACACATTAGCAGATCGTTCAATCTCAAAAGGTGATAAAAAAAATTTGAAATTTCCTTTCATCGCAAGTTGTTAATTTATGACCTGGTTTAATTCTTTAACAGATGAGTTTGCACGTGCTGTAAAAATTTGCACTGGTTCGCCTCTTAATGAACATTTGATTGATACAGTTTTTGCTATATTTGATGAAGACGGTGATGGACTTTTAAGCTATAAAGAGTTTATAGCAATTATGAGGGTAAGAAAGACTTAAACGAAACTGAATAAATATTAAAGTCACTATTTATGTTTCTATTTTGCATCCTAGGATCGATTGCATCGAGGGTTCAAAGTGAGTAACTTCAAAATTTATGAAAATCTCCTGGATGAAGGACAAGGAGACGGACGATTTTTATCTGTTATGAAATCTAGAGCGTGTCGTAGACTCAGTGGATATATGAGACACTTTTACAATCGTGTGTGACAAATCACTTAATGACAGTGATCATTACGCTTAAGTTTTTATTTATGCTATTTTTTTACATTTTACATTATTTTTTGTATCTTATGCTTCATGAGTGTGACTAGCTTATGTTTATTTTACAAATTCATGTTCAGTGTTTTGCTAATAATTAATTAAAGATCTAATGAATTTTTCTCCCCATTTTATTCTCTTTTTGCAATTTTTCTTCAAATATTTTACAGTCTACAGCGAAGGCAGAAGGCTGGCAAGCTTTCAAAAGCTGCTTAAAACAAGAAATGAAGACAAACATATAGAAATACTTACCAAAGAATATTCTCTATAATATTTATTTAAGTATTTTCCAACCTTGTTTTGTTTCCAACAATATTTTTATCTAAATATTCTCTTTCAAAGTTCCAAAGTTTTGTCTGCTTAAAAGTGAAAAGATATTTATTGTAATAACAATTTCTTTGATCACATTAATATGGAATTATCATTTGTTTATTTTAAATTCAGAAACGTGTTACCAACTTACGAGAATTAAAATTCGTGTTATTTTAAAATTCAATGTTATTATCTAAAATAATTTGTTATGTTTTATTCCATTGAATTAATTAAATAAAAAATATTAATAGATGTCTACCAAATTGAGTTCATAATTTCTTAGTAAATTGTTGCAGTGCAATCAGGATTATGGAATGTGTGTGGTAAATACGTAACATAATATTGAAATGTAAATGTAGTAGGACATTTTAAGCCAGGTTACATTAGATATTTCCCCGGATACACCAACAAATATAAACCGTTATGAAAAATTGTTTGGTCGTTCATACAGCCTACACTAGTTACAGCTCAAAAGTCTACAAAATATTTGCTCGTGAATATTTTAGTTGAAAAGAACAGTCCTAGGACTGTCGTCTACTTTTTTGTCATATTCCTGCGTAGTTATAAAATATATTTTTAAACCACTGGACATGATCTTCTCAATGTGTGACACATGACGTAGGAAAAAATTCAGTTGTAAATTTTACAGAAAATATTTCTTTTTTTTTCTTTATTACATTAGATGATGATGATACAGTTACATAAATAAGATTTTTTCTCTATATTTGATTGATACAAGTCCCTTTTACAATCACTAAGTTAAATGAAAATTACTTGTCGAGTAATATTTCAAGTTATAAATTTAAGGAGGATTTTCTTGCAAAAACTAATTTCTCTTTTTTTTTTTCTCTGTATAAATTTTGTTCAGTTTCAATTTTTTTTTTCACTTATGTAGAGGTCACTTTAATGTTTTAAGGGCGAGTTTTTTCATCTGTAATTGTGGTTGAATTTTTATTTCTTACAAGTATTTTTATTCTGAAACAATTATCATTTACTGCTTTCTTCCCTCAATCAATTTTACATGAAATTCAACACGAATTAAATATCTATAAGAATATCTCCATAACGTCAAAATAGAATTTATAGGATTATCCAATTGTACAATCTACTTTAATTTAAAATTATGATATGGTGGACTTTGAGTTCATTTATTTCTTAATCAAACACAACAATTCTTCTTTTTAATTTTATGTATCTTTAAAGTTTTTCGGTCATGAAAAATAAATTATTCATTCAATTATGAACTTAAGAATTGACAATCTTTGAATTTTATTATTTCTTATGGATCATTATTTTTCATCTGATCATTATTTCCAGTTTTGTGTAGTGTCATAACTTGGAAGATGTTTTGACACAATTATAGAAGAGTAACATTAAGTAATGCCAGCAGTTGAGTGGATTTCTTTAAACATAAATAAATATTTCTTACATAAGAGATGAAACAATTATATTTTTTTTAAACAACGAATTAATTTTTATGTAGATACTTCGTCATTTGGCGAGATATCTACAAAGAAAACGACTATTTAAAGGGGATATTAAACATTGTAAATATGCATGTATTTTGTTGCAATTATAACGTAAGATAAAGGAGAGCATCTGGTCCCAATCAGTGCGTAAATGAGAATGAATTAAGCTTAAGAAATATTGAGGGAATCGATAAGAATGAAAATAAATTGGAAAATATTTTTTTGGTGGTGGAGAAAGGTAAAGGCACGATAAGCGAAAATTCTAAGAAAGGCTGATTCAGTATCGAAAACCCTGTATGAACAATCAATCTCATTAACAATAGAAAAAGCTAAAGATTAATTTATTTTTGTTTACAACTGAAATATTTAGTAGGAAAATAATGAAAATTGAGATTTGAAAACTTTCTGTTCCAGACGGAAAACAATATTAAAAAGTAAGTTAGAAATGTAAATAAAAAAAATCAAAACTGCCTCCCCAAAATATTTTTGTACGAGATGACGATTTCAGCAGAAATATTTTCTAGAACAATGTAAAATGTTCTCTTATGTTTGCATAAAAATAGGCACAATTGTTTAAGGCATCTACAAAAGTGTGTGTATGTGTGTGGAGGTAATTAACAATTTTAAATATCGTAGAGATCGATAAGGTTTTCTTCGTGAAGACTTAGAAGATAAAGGTTGAGAAATACAGCGAGATGTTAAGTAAGTATGTTACTCATTACGCATATTGTATCAATCCATGATATTTTCTAATATTTAAATAATAATCATAAAGTAGATAAGTAAACACAAAATAAAAAGAATCTTTTAATTACTCAATCAAAAAACTTTTATTAAACAATAAAATTAAAATACAAACTTCTATTAAAATCATACTGTAATAATCTCCAGACAAGAAAAGAAAAAAACTTTTAAAATTAAAACTCTTTTACATGTTACATTAAGGGATGGTGAACGTTTTCTTTCTATCATACAACTTTTTCAGCAAAAGATAGATTTTTAAATAAAAAGTTTTAGGTACTTTCAAAACTTGAGAACAGAAAAAATTTGAGTTCATGAATAGATATTGTTGTTTTCAACTTAGACAGATTAAATGGTCGATTGAATCTTTTCAGAAACATTTTGTTGCAATATTCTTCTTTTGGGGGGAGGGAGGGTTGACAGTATGAAAGATTTGTATATGTAAGAGTATACGTAAATTTTAAAAATAATTGAATCTTGAGTAAACATTGAACATCATATATGTAGCTTGCATTTTCATGTCATCTAATTTCATTTTTATATGGGTAGACTATTTTTATCATGCTTAATATTATCTATCGATATAACTCTGAGGTTTCTTAAAAACAAGATGACACACAATTTCATTTATATATTTATTAAAAAATTATGATTCATAAACTGAAAAATTATGCTAGATATGCTAATTCTCAAAAACGAAACATTAGATACAATGACTGCAAGATATTCTTGTGAATCGAGTCAGACATTCAGAGAATTAAGAATACTTCCAAGAAGTAGCTTTTCTAAAAGATGAGCTTTTGTCACAAGAGCAGCGCGCATTCAATGTAAAATCATAAAAGAGAAAAAGAAACTTGAAATGAGAAAAGAAAGATGCAAATAAAACACAATGGCACACAATCTAGGTATATCGACAAAATGATTCACTTTCCTTTAATTAAAATTATCATAATGAATGCAGTTTTGTGAGTATCTATTTCTCGAACTACATCGGTATGCTACACAGACGTAGATTATTTAATTCTTATGGCAAATTCAACTCTTCTTTTAAAAATATATGTACGTAACATGATCGAGGTTCAATAATATCAAACAAATGAAAAGAACAAAGAAAAAAAAACTACTTTGATTCGAAACATTGAAACAATTATCATTTCATATAATTTCTGAATGTTTCATTATGATATTTAACATTATAAAGTTTTTTTTTCCTTCTATCGCCTATGAACTCTTTCTTTGAAAATATAGAAACTTTAATTTTACACTTTTTTATATGACTTCTAATGTTTCCTCATTCTTTTGTACCCAAATTAATTTATGTATCTGTTGTTGCTAATATATATTTTATGCATTATCTAAATAAGTACATTGCACATAGGATTTTCCATTCATTGAAAGAGTCGTGCACATTGTCCCGTAACTAATGACGTCAAACCAAAAAATTTCAAAAGAATTCATTCTTAATATCTTTATCAATAACAAACTTTACTTTTCTTTACCTAAGCAGAGTAAGACATTTTATTTAAAGTAAGGATCGAATGACCAGTTATCTGAAATTTGATAGTTGAGCTTATGTGAAGAGTTTTAAGAATATCATGATACTTGTGCTGACATCTACATCAGATTTACAAACATCGAAATTTTCTGAAACCTTACGTTAATCATACGTAACTCATACGTTATAGATGTAACGTATGATAATTGAGCTTTATCATTATTGTGTAGTATTTTATCCTTATACAGATGTATCTATAAGTAAGGTAACATGATATTCTTATATAATACCAACACTTTTATCCATAACTCTTTTCATCGTCATTGAATTTCCGATAAGTCATCTATTCTTTCGACTTTCTTGTGATACCTTTCCATAAATAAAATATAATTACTCTACAGTAATTCTATCGTTATAAACAATCGATCTTCTGAATAAATTGTCTTAGCATTGTTTCGAACAAGTGACAAAAGACAATCAAAGATTTTCGTAGTACGGAGGCTCGGACATTTCTAGAGCTTTATGTTTTTACACTTCACAAGCTTTTTTAAATGTGCACCGTTGGTTTATTTTTCAACTTATGCATTTAAAGTTACGATAAATGTTTTCATATTCCACTTTTACTTGTTTTTTTTGATATAAGAATTACACTTTGGCTAAGGGCGGAAGTATTTTTTTTCTGATTTTATATATTTTTTTTATATCCTAAAATCTACCAGGAATTATCATTATCTATCATGTTTATGCTCACTTTCCAATTATCTTTGACGCTCACCTACATTTCTTAACAAAGAAGAAAAAAGAAAAGAAAAAAATCACTTTGTCCTGCCGCGATCAAGTAAAAACGTGACAAACGATGATATAATGAATTATATTATTATATCTTAGATACATAACACCATAAAATGGCACTTACATTATATGAATTTCTCTCTTGTTTTATCTAAACATAAAAATATATGTAAATGACTATTTAACCTTTTTTTATTATTATAATGTTCCACACTTCTTGTCAAATTGCTAATATTTCTCTTGCACAATGCCAGCAACAATGATGTTGAAGAAGAAGAAACGTCAAAGTTCAGTTGTGATGTTTGTTTTCACTTCTTTTTTTTCTCATTATTTAATTATAATGATAATTGAACTCAACAATGAAAATCTTAAGAGAATGATTCCGATCAATAACTGATGCAATTTGTATTGTATTGTTCACTCATTTTTATTACACTGTTTGTGATGTGATGTCGATGATAAAAGTTGTCACTTGTTGTTGGGCCTGATGTTGGCGGTGGTTGAAGCGACGCATTAGTATTATTATTATTATTGTTGTTGAAAGCAGTTGAAGCTGATGTTTTGACGCTCTGCTGGAATTGATTGACACTCAAATAATTGTTATTCTGATGCTGATTATGGTGGTGAGCGTTGTTGACTGAAGCACCGTTGTTTTGAGTGTTTAAGACGGGCTATGTACTCCATCCTTCCGATATTCTCGGTCGTTTTGTGTGGGGAGCATTCGGCGAATCATAATCAGGAAGATGTGATAAACCAATCGATTGACTGTGCCGCATGTCACCTGGAGATGTCGGATTTGTCGAGGAGCCTAGAAAATAAAACCGAATAAGAAAAAATAAGATTATTTTCATTTCTTTGTAGTGAATTACCAGGTGTAGGCGTTAAATGTCCCCCCGTCGATGATGGTCGCGAATTCATCATATGTGAATGATTCAAATTGCTACCTAATGACGATGCTGACGAATGACTAACACCACCAATTACTGACGATGTTCCTCCACCTAAAGAAGTCACAATTGTTTGCTGCTGATGTTGACTAAGCAATTGATCCCGCGGTGGTGATATTGGCTCCGCTTTAATTTTGACTGGCGCTGGTGATGATGAGGAAGGTGGTGGCGTGCTATTCGATACAGCCAAATGAGGTATTCCACTGAAAAGAGAAGCAAAACACGAAAAATAGCATCAGTATATGTCTAGAATTAACACAACTAACTACCTGGTATGTTGCAATGTTCCCAAGTTTTGATGCGATGAATTCCACGATGTTATCATGTTTAAGTCGGATGATGACATTGAAAAATCTTGCGCTCCAAACGTACTCACAGGATAATTATTCAAACCTGGTATGGGAGTTTGCAATGCGACAACAGGAGTGTTGAGAGTCGATGAGGATTGACGATTATGCTGTGAGAAGCAAATTATGTTTTTAACGATCATCGTTAATTCCTCGTCCCTCTCACTCACCTCAGCATAGCTTAAATCATCTGAATTCATATTTGATGTCGTGGGTGTTGGTATGACAACCCTTAAATTTGTACTTCTTGATGGTCCAACTGGTGAATGTTGCTTATGAACTATGTGGTGTGCTGTTGTTGGTCATGTGCCAATAAAAGATTGAAATTATTTGAGAAAATGTTTCATAAAAGTTTTAAAAGTTCATGAATATGTTAATAAAGTTAATTAATTCGCAATTTACAAGTCAATACATTTTGAAATTGATCAACAAAACTTTATTGTGAAATAAAGAACCAAAAGTCAGCAAGGTTAATTTTAATCATGTGAAACAAAAGTTGAATTTCAGTAGTTGTTCCAAGAATTATGAACATTAAAAGAAAAAGAAAAATTTTCCACCGACAAACTTTCCGGAATAAAGTTAATTTGATCATTAAATGTAACGTTATGCGCCATGTACCTTCTAAATAACTTTAAAACAATTTTGTTTCATACGAAAAAACCACGAAACATAAATGCACACACACACAACATATTTACATAAAATCAAAGATGTTAGTATGGTATATTCACTCTTACATTTATTATTATGGTGCCCACCTAAAACCGGACTAGGACTTGGCGATGGACCCAGTGGTGATGAAGGATAACCATTTGACATTTCAAGCATACCACCAGATGGATAAACTATAGCGAGTGAAATTGAAGCTCAGATAATAAGTAAAACAATGAAGTCATGTAAATGATGTTGCTGAATTCTTACCTGAATCTGTTTCCGAGCTGGAAGGTCTTGGACTTATGTTTTGATGTGCCATTTGCGGACTAGCTTGCAGCATGTTTGCATCACTATATGATCCAACAGGAACCGAGACTGGAAGTGTATAACTTCCTCCCCCACCCATTCTGTTTGATGTTAGCTGTTGGTTTCTTTGCATCATCATTTGAAAATCTTCATCAATTTTATTATATTTCGCTTCGGTACGTGGCGTCAATGTATAACTGTCGTCGGGTTCTGGTGATTCTGGTGACATTTGTCCATTCTTATTCTCTTTCTATGTAGAACAAAAGGATTAAATAAGATTAGCTATTAGATGAACATAAGTAGGATACTTAAGTCGTTGTAAATAAATATTTGAAATATGAGAATTAACCGAAATCTTTTGATATAACATACCTCAATTATGTTTTTATTGGTCAGGGATTCATGCGGCTCATTATATTCTGTGTACTTAAGTAAAACTTTATCCATATCAGTGCTGGCATATTGATACAATTTGTTACTGCTAGAAAATATAATTAATGCTATTTCACAGTCGCATAGCACAGATAGCTCGTATGCTTTCTTCATTACGCCGAATTTTCTTTTATTGAATGTGACCTAGAATGCAAAGCGTCATCATAACGCAACATGAAAGCATTTTTAAGTAAAAATCTTCACCTGTCTATTCCGTTCATCGGTGATGCGGGAAATTTGAATTTTTTTCCTACCCATGGTGGCCACAATTTAACAATTCTATTTATTTCTCAAATGAAAAGTGAAGCTCGTTTGTTGTTTATTTGAGTCTTTATAATGTGTACGTATAGCAAACAAGCGTTTTAGTGATGAAACTTTTTTTCTTGTAGACTCTTTGGAGCCGATTTTATGGAGAAATCCAAGGAAAATGAAATTTGTTGTCCCAACTTTCCCAATTAAGATGAATTGCAACAATGTAAGAATTTTCTTATGCAAGCATCAAGCAAATGTTTGATCCAGCAAATAAAAGATTCAGTGATAAATCATTGAATTTACTTTCGTCCTTCTTTAATCTTGTTTTTGCGCCCAATTTAATTTCGTTATGGTTATTTTATGCAAAATCTGAAAGCACAAAAAAAAAAGAAAATTGTGATGAGTAAATGGACATCTCAAAATATTTTCTGATATCAACATGAATAAATTGAGTTGATATTTCTATATCATGTATAAACGTCAAGGTCAATGGTTCAACTAGAGCTATAATGATGAATAATGAAAGTTTTCGTGATTTCAATTCAACCCTTAAAGTGAATGAATAAACCGGCAACGATGTCACAAGCTAACTTAGTTACTTAGTAAATATTCTCATTTGAAGGACATCTCTTAATGATATGCGGAATTATATTCTTTTATTATTTCACTGTGGGTTGTTCAGGGGCATTTATGTACATATTTACATCTACTTATGTATATGTGTTAAAAAATCAATATTTTAAAAGTAGAAAAGGCAACGCTTGAGTAAAGGAAACGTAACTAAATTTAACTGTTGAGCTTTTAAGAACATAAAGTTTTGCTGGTGCAATGATAAAATATCGATACTTGAATATCCTTGGCCTTCTCAATACGTTTTATTATGTGAGAGAAAAATGATATTCATGGGGCTAACATATAAAAGCTTTGACTAATAGGAAAATTAACATGTTTAAGTTGACCGCTGCATTGAAAATCAAGGTTAGTTCTGCTACTATTCGGAAAATTCATTGAAACGTGGCAATGCTTAAAAAACACGTTTCTATTATTTTCTTTACAAAAATCAATTGACGAGAAGCAAAACCTCTCAGATATAATTTGTGGAAATGAAATTTAATCTTCCTTTTTATCTAGAATTTAAAGAAAGATTGGAAAAGAAATCAGGCGATAAAACTAGATTTGTCGTACGTACTTAGTCAAAGTTAATTGCATTGTAATACGATTCTAAAAATTATAGAAATGACTGCCCAATAGCTAAGACGTTGTATAAGGAAGGGAAACTCACATGTTCATTGGAGTAGAATGAGAGAAAATATGTAATTCAATTGAAACAATGGCATGAATGTTTAATATAATGTTTGAGAAATGAATTGAGAAAAGGACGTCATTCATATCTAAACCCTTAGGGAAAATTTACGTCACCGCACGTTTTCGCTACAATGAATAAATTGTTGTAGTGACGAAGGTAAAAATGAAACAAAACTCGAACATTTTCTTTTAAAACATTTTATATTTGTTTGGATATCGATATCACAGCATTGACTATTGCTTGTAAAGTGAAAAAAAAGCGGAGGCTCAGACAAAATAATTGACAAAGATCCTTAAAATTTTTAAACTCTCTGCTTAACAAGAATTGTTACTTAGAAGCACTCTGTAAAGAAAAAATAAAGTGAAACGAGCCTACATTTCAGTTCTTTCATGTTTTGCTCAGACTTTTTTGTTCTTCTTCTTGTCTTTTATGTTTGAGGGTTGGAGCGCGTGGGTGAAGGCTATTTATATATATATACAGGAGGGAAAAAAATAACAAACTGCGTGCGGCATTGAAAATATGTGAAAAATCAATAAAAATGGGTATTTCCAGAAGTTTGCCAAAAGTATTTATTTTTGTTATTCTATATTTTCCCGTTTTCAATTAGCAGCAAAAAAATTACGTGATTTTCCATCCTCTAGAGAATTTCCTTGATAAAAAGCTTTGGTATGCAATAATTGATCATAATTAGTAAAAATATTTTATCCAAATGAACAGCGAGCGACTAAGACAAAGGTGATTTGAGGGTACTTTATCTTAGTATTGCGCCCTGTACTAATGGGAAGAGTTTAAATCCTACGATTTGATTAATTATCTTTGTTTTAATCTGTCTTGAAGAAAATCTTTTTAATCTTTTTTGGTAATTAGAGACTGTTTCTTAATAACAGTTTAAAATATTTTTACCTCACTGACTGCTAAAATGAAGAAAAGCAAAGCAAAGCATAAGGAAATTAAATTCTTATATAGAATTCAGTGGAAAACTTTCTCAGAAAATATCAATACTCAACTCGCTGATGTATGTTGGTTGAGAAGGAATAAGAAGAAACAAATTAACTAAGAAGAAGAAGTGATGTAGAGCTAATGTGCACGTTTTTTGGCAAAATTTCAAGGCGATAAAAAATTGACAAAATGTTTCAAACTCAACGAGCTCACAAACAAAATTCTTGAGAGAAAAGCAAAAGGAAAATATGTCGTAACTATAAGTCTTATGTCGACATATAAACAACAGTAAAGAAAAAAATAAAGAGTTTTCATATTCACAAAAGAATGATCTTTGTAAATTTAATAAGCAGTCTCATAAATACAATGAGTTCTTGTCCTTCTATTCTTTTCTTGTGTTTTATAATCACAAAAGTTAGAAACGTGCGTATCAGTAACGTGCAAAACATGATAAGAGAAAACAAAATTTGTTCTGTTGTGATGATAAGTAACAAAAATGAAATGAATTTGAATTTAAATCAAGTAGAAATTAGGGTAGTTGGCTAATTATCGACCACCTCGAAATCGCGTTCAATTATCGACCACTACTTTCGAACTTAATTTTCTCAGCTATTTTTTATTATTTATGGCTTAGAACTTTGTAGAGAGGTAGAGCATAGTCCAAAGTAGTTCTCTACAAAGTTCTAAGACATAAATAATAAATAATAGCTAAGAAAATTAAGTTCGAAAGTAGTGGTCGATAATTGGACGCGATTTCGAGGTGGTCGATAATTAGCCAACCACCCTATGAATATTTTAAAACTTCATCAAATATAGATTTCTTCGAAAAATAATATTATAAAGTGAATGTGCATGTGTTTACCTTTATATCATTCCTGGACTTTTACATAAAAATAACTTTACTCCTGATTAAAGCCACATATGAACACGTTTATTTATGGTCACGTTTTATCTCAAATAATCTCGATTTCTCAAGAATTTTTTTAATTATTTCTTGCAATACTTAGTTGAGACAGTAAACGTGTTCTAATACTTTCTTGTCACACGTATATACAGTAGATGTAACTTGAGTCGGCTCCCTTAAAGATTCACCCACGAAGGTTTGTGCACATAATACAGCTCAGCTTTATATATCAAATTATATATAATACATATAAAAACAGTGAGCTTTTCATTCACATCGTCTCTACTTTTTTTCTTTTTTTGTTTTTACAAAAATCGATTTTCATTAAAAATCTATAGCCCTACATTTTCCAACTCACTTGATGTACAAACACACTGAACGCGAGAGAATGGAAAATGTAGAAGAAAAGAAAATTCCTTCTAATGTTTAACAATTATATATGTAGCACTTTATCCCGCAACAAATCACAGTGAAGAAAAGCACTCGGGATTTTCTTTTATTTTTCCCTCTCGAAAAAAAAAGTTATCAACAAAAGTTTAATGTTTTAAAAATATTTTTCTTATTTTTATTCATGAAATCATTAACGCGGAGAAAAAATATATTTTTCCTTTTACTTCTGCACTCTGAAAAAAGTACTCCACAACAAGCAGAAGAACATCAGTCTTTGAAAACGAAATTCGACTGAATGAAACATATGAGAGTTGTGGTTATCACTGAACTAAAGAAATATTTTCTTCTTACATTTTTTTGCTTTTACGTCAATTGAATAGATGTATGCTCTGTGTTTGGTATAGGAAAAATTCAACATGAAGTGAGACGACTAGATGTTTCATCTTATAAATTTTTCATTTACTCTGAGAGAGAAAACCTTTTTTGTTATACAGCGCACAACAACGACGCATATACATTGCTCCATTTTCAAGAGAGTGACACACTCATTTTTCAAAAAGGATCGTAATATGAGAGCAATTTTCACTGCTTCTGCATTTATTTCGTATTTGCTTATATGTTTTTTAATGATATTGTTTTACAATCTTTCTCAATTGATGATGCACAAATATTTAGTGGCACCGCAAAGGTCTTTCTTTCAGACGAAAATTTCACTTCAAAATATCTCACAGAATTAACACTGTGGGGGCTTCAGATTTCTGGTTACAACGTGCATTCTTATACTCTGACGTTACACTACATATGATCCCCTGCCTTCATTTCAAGTGACCCAATTCGAAGCTATATCCTTTGATATAAAATGTGACTTTCATGCTTTTCACCGCTTTTTCAATGTTACCAAATTTATTTGACTTCGATTTTCTTTCCTTTTTTTTGTACCTTCCATTACCTGGCGTCATAATAATTCGAGTGAAACGTGGAAAATATTTTTACAGTCAAATACCAAGCCATTGTCTACTTGAGCAGAACATATTTATTCATGTATTTAATATGATTTTTGAGCTTACGCTTGTGATTTCTCAAGAAAAAAATCGCATCGAAATGTCTGATTATCATCACCTTAGCATCAAATTTCGTTTTAAACCCTCAATGTCTCATTTCTTCTTCCCCAAAGTTTTTGAAGTGCATTAACATTAAGGAAGTATTCACAATTGTCGTGGAAATGTTTGTGTCTGCTTATTTCATTTTTTTTTCTTTTAATTCTTTCTTCAACGGAAGTCAAGAATTATGTATTGCAAGAAACGCGTGGCCCTTCTTCATCATCATCATTTTCTTATAACAGATGTAGACAAC